TAAGAAACAGATTTACTGTGGATTAGAGAAGAGCCACCGTTACATAACTGCATACTGTACGGTCATAAAACTTTAAAGTAAAGATAAGTATATATTAAAAAGGATTAAGTTATTTATTATTATCATTAAAAGCATGTATAAAAGGCATACTAGAAAGGTAGAAAAGCTATTTATATAAAAACTTATTTTAAGTAGTAGCCTAGATGACTTCACAGGCAGACTTTCCGCAGTCCCCTCCCTCCGCCCGACTTTTTCCCCCATATCATGGCTTGAAAAAGAATAGGCCGATAAACTCCAATTAATAAATATGACCGCCATAATCCCAACAGTCAGACGACAGTTTCCCTCCCCACCTCCCAGTCGACTTCGGCTGTAAAGTCACGTGCAGCAATCTCTAAATGACGTACAACTGGCACCACATCGCTGGAAACTGGTCAGATCCAGCCCGAATCTCATTAAATCCGTGTCTCAATCTGCAGCTGCATTGGCATCTCACGACAAGGCGACAAGCTTTTTTCCCTCGCCGTCGCAATCCAACGACCGAACATGCTGCGACCCGTAACACTCCGCCCGCTCCGGGCGGCTCAACAGCCCGCATTCCGCGCCGCCCGCCGCACAATCTCTTCGTCGCGCGGTTCGTCCAAGCTGACGCAAGAGTTTGATCTCAACAGACTCAATGCTCAGCGCCGCGACTACGACCGCAACCGCACTGCGTTTCTCACCGCCGGCGCCGTCGCCGGCATCATCTCCTTCATCTACACGGCCTGGAAACTGAAAAAGGCCATTGAGGCAAACAATGCCAAGGAAGGCGGCGGCGGTGTCAAGTTTGACTCCCCGCCCAACATCCCGACGGAACAGTTCAAGACGGAGGCCGGCGAGCTGCGCAAGATCATTGTCCACGACGAGGACGGCAACGAAGTCGTGCCGACGGGCAACAGCACCGTGCCGCTCTTCCCGCGCACCATCAACGTCAGCCTCCCCCTCGACACGAAGCGGCAGAGCACCCTCGAGGCCTCCATCACCGACTCGGCCGGCACGCAGTACACGCTCGTCGGGCTGGGCATGCGCAGCGTCACCTTCATCGGCATCAACGTCTACCTGGTCGGCCTGTACGTCGCCACGCAGGACATCGCCCGACTCCAGCACTACCTCGTCAAGAGCGTCAACCCGGTGGCCACGACGCTGATCCCGTCGGAGAAGGACGCGCTGCGCCGGCGGCTGCTGGACCCGGTCGAGGGCGAGGCGCTGTGGGACGCGCTGCTGCGCGACGCCGGCCTGCGCAGCGTGCTGCGCATCGCGCCCGTGCGCGACACCGACTTCCACCACCTCCGCGACGGCTTCGTGCGCGCCGTCCAGGCCCGCTCCGCCCTCGACAAGGCCGCGTACGGCGACGAGGCGTTCGGCGCCGCCATGAAGGCCTTCAAGGCGCTCTTCAACCGCGGTCAGGTGCCCAAGAAGAAGGAGATGCTGCTGTGCCGCGGCGAGGGCGGCGCCCTGGCCGTCACCTACGACGCGGGTGGGAAGCAGCAGCGCGAGGTGCTGGGCACGATCGAGGATCCCAGGCTCAGCCACCTGCTGTGGCTCAACTACCTGGCAGGCAGCAAGGTCGCGTCGGAGCCGGCGCGCAAGAACATCGTCGAGGGCGTCATGGAGTTTGTGGAGCGGCCGGTCGGCACGGTCGCAACGCAGGTGGTATAGAAGCGTGTTGCCGTTCGGCACGGAGACCCGAGCGTGTACAATGTGTATTATTAGACGGGGCGGTTGACTTCACAGGAGGGGAAATATACTGTTCGCGGCGACGAGTATCAGATACTTCACTCAGCGATGTGAGATTTCAATACAATATTCATGTTACATTGCATGTACGCTCAAATGGCATGTGAACGCAGGGGCTTGTTCGGACGTGGGTGGAGTGACTGACAAAGCCGACAACATGGGAGCAATACAACTTCAACACAAGAAAGAGTCGCAAGAGTCGAACGGCTAAATATCCACGATTAATGGTTCAGCAAGAGCATTGCAATGCGTCTATTAATATGTGTCTCTCTATACATGGTAGCCTTGCGCCACGGCTAGAGTCTTGCACTGAAAGCCAATCAGTTTTCAGAATCTTGCGAGCCGGCCCGCGCCGGAGATGTCAAGGAACAAACAAGAAAAGGGTATGCAAAGGCGTGTTTCGTTCGCTTACGCCTTGAGAGCGCCGGCCTCGGTCAGGAGGGCCTTGAGCTTGCCGGAGCTGCTGAGGCTCTGGAGGTCCGAGTTGCCGCCAATGTGCTTCTTGGCGATGTAGACGTTGGGGACGGTGCGCTGGCCCGAGATGTCCTCGAGGGCGTCCTGCACGGCGCTGCCATCGGCTGTGTTTGTATCGTGTTAGCTGTATCCGATCGGGATTGGAGGAGGAGACGGGGATGGGCATACACTCTTCGTCGAGCTCGACGACCTTGAAGTCGGCGTCGAGAGAGCTGAGGAGGCTCTTGGTAGCCTTGCAGTAAGGGCAGTAGGACTTGGAGAAGACCACTAGAGCGGGAAAGAAATGATTAGTATTCGGAACGGAAATGGGCTGCCGCGCGCGCAAAGGACGCATAGAGAGTCCGGCGCAGCGGAAGGAGGGGTATTGCGGCGGGCATGGTGGCGGTGCGACAACGGGTGGTGGTGAAGAAGTCTAGGGTAACTTACTGACGGCGTTGTCGTCAATGAGCTTCTGGGCTTTCTGGGAGGCCATGGCGACGGATTGCGGACTGGGAGAGGAGAATAGGTTGCGAAAGAAGTTGAGGTTCATTTGGGAGGGGAGAGGTGATGGACGGCGGGCGGGCAGGTTAATAATATTCGGTCTGGTAAGTAGCTTTCCAGCGGGGACCAGTGAATGGAATCGGTTGGCGGGGTTCTGTCCAAGAACTATTGTTCGCGTCACAGCGGCAGTTGACGATGACAAAGCGGGGCGGTGCAAAGACGACACTGCGCGAAATGCGGCGGTGGTGTGCATGTGCATTTGCTTTGCAGCAAAAGGCTTGTACTCTACCAAGTAGGCAAGGTCGGTCGGTGGTGATGCAATCGGGTGGTGGTGACGGCAAGGCTTGATTGGAAATCGAGAACTCGGACGAATTGGACCGGGCCGACGGTCTTGGGGAATGAATGACGTTATACCTGGCCTGGGTTGGTGTGGATTTTCAATGATGCAATGCCTGGTACCTGGGTTACTGGGTGCTGGCTTGCCGTACGGACGGGTTACGATTGAATGCTTCTCCTTTTTTTTCCTTCGCTTTTTTGCAGAGGTGGAAACCCGCTGTATTTATCACACATTTCGCTGTGGAGCGCGGAGCCATCTCCCGTCCGGATTCCAAAGCGGAATCGCTCAGGTACAAAAGATTCTCGGCGATTCCCGCTAGTCATTTGTCTGCAATGCTGGGCGTTGCTTAGAGTTCGGTTCGAATGCAATAGAAGATAGGCATCCGACCTGACCAATGTGACGTTTTCATGCAAGAGCGGCTGATTACATCCGCCTCGGATCTTGTGATCTTGTGATCTTGTGCGAGTCTGCGTGCGTTCTCCCCAGCATACAGTGGCTTCAGGCACGCAGGACTGCCACAATCATTGTTCGCTTGGCTCAGGGCAACATGGTTAACCCAACGCACATTTGCTCTCCACGAAGCGTACAATATCAACTATAATCCAAAATTACATCAAGTCCCCCTTCAAGCGCCGTGATACTCACTGCACGTGCTCTCATCAAAGACATCTCACTTGTCATCTCCTTCAGGGTAGCATCTTGCCATTCCACAAGTCGCCCCCGCTAAAAAGAATCATACACCTGGCGCCTCCCTGATGATCCAACCTACATTCAGCCAACCAGCAGACCTCTTCAGCTGGATTGACTGCTGCCCAACCCCGCGCTCTCACCAACCCTCGGCGCGCATTGCACCCGATCACGACAAGTCGTGCGACCTTGTCGACGACCAACGACCTGATCGCTTCAGCGACCCCTCCTCCCTCGGCCCGTCCTCCTCCGGCCCGTCGCATCGTCGCTCAGCTTGACGCAAACACCACGCCTCATCCAATCGCACTACTCTTCAAACCGCATCGCAACGCATTGTCCGCAAGTCAACCTCCACTCCCGGCAAAGGTGTCCTTTCATAGGCCACCTTACCCCCCCGACGACAAGGTGGATTCAACCCGTGCTGCCGTGGCATCCCCCGGTGCCTTGCAGAACATCGGCAGCTACATCACCGGCACCCTCGACACGCTCTCTGCTACTCTCGACTCCTCCAACCAGTACATCGCTACCACACTCGGCCTCCACCCCTCCCTCGTCTACACCGCCGCTGCCGTCCTCCTCGCCGTCCCCGTCACCATGTCGCGCTACGGCTGGTCCCGCGGGAGCCCCTACGCTTCCCAGCCCGGCGGAGTCCCCGCCATTACCGAGGACGACTACGCATACATCACCTCCCAGGATATCGACGACGCCGGCCTGGCCGCCCCCGCCCTGAGCGCACCGCGTCGTCAGCACTCACCCGCCGCCACCGCCGACGATGATGTGCTGCTCATCAAGCACCGCGGCGTCAACTACCCGACGCACTTCCCCCACGGCGCCATCGACGACGGCCGACTCCAGGTCCACGATGTCGCCCTGCGCGCCGGCCTCATGATGAGCCTCTCAGAGCGCGAGACCCGCTCTCTCAGGTTTGTCTACAAGGGTCGCCAGCTCAAGTCGCCCTCCGCCCCCGTCCGCGAATACGGCATCAGAAACAACAGCACTCTGATGGCCATCCTGCCTGAGGGTGGCGGCTTTGGCGGCCGCGCCGACGGCTCCGACGAGGAAACGGTCGTCGTCAACGAATCCAAATCGCAGAGGAAGAACAGGCGGCGCAAGGAGGCCAAGAAACGCATCGATGGTGGCGACGGCGGCGATGACGCCGCCAGCAGCCCCCGTGACAACACGTCCAGTGCCGGCGCCAAGTCGCCGTCGCCCATTCCCGGCGCCGCTGGCCAGAAACGCATCAATGAGCTTGCCGACGAGTTCAACTCAAAGTGGCTGCCGTTATGCAACAAGTTCATCGCAAAGCCGCCCGCCGATCCGCGGAAGCGCACCGACGAGCACCTGCGGCTTTCCGAGACGGTCATGCAACTCATCCTGCTCAAGCTCGACGAGGTTGAGCCAGAGGGTAACCCGGATGTGCGACAGAGTCGCAAAGACCTAACTCGTACTGTGCAAGACGTGTTGAGGCAGCTGGATGTCGCCGCGGGGACTCTCGACGAGTAAGCACTCTACAGATAGATATGTACTTTCCACCTTTTTCTACGGGCTTTCTGTCTTGTTTTCTTTGTATTTCGCCGGCCATTGGATGGATCATTTAGAGATAGACTGAGAGAAGAGGGCAAAAACTAGGGTTGTTCGAGACGGAACAAGGAAAAGCGCCATACTGATATTGTATTCGGCATGCCGTGGATGGCATTGGGCTGCGATACGCGGCACCTGTACGGTCTACAGATAGATCCGATCATTGGTTATTATTAGCGTCACGACTAGAATAGGTACGATGCAATGCATTGGAATAAAATGGTCTGCCTCAAACGGGCCAAACCAACAAGCCGACCGTTTTGTACGGGTACACAACGTGTGTACGACCTGTGTTTGACGTTTGTATTTGTTAGGTCTTCTGGCAAGCGGTCTCAGTGCAAACAGTGTGAGTAGTGCCACGGCCAGTGACATGCTTTACCCCACCACCTCAGGTCACTTGGGACTTTGGGCTCTCACAAAAACTTTGCACGTGACGAACTGGCAATTTGGTGGTGGAACGTTGCCCGGCGAATTCTCGGCAAATGGGCCTGCTAGGTCTTGTTGCCCTAAGCCGTCTTTAACACGCAGCCCTGCTCGCTTGCCAAAAATTCGACCCTAGACCAATTAAAGCTAGCGCCACCTTCAGCTAGAGGCACAACCCAAGCCCTCAACACAGTGTGCTCGACTGGATTTTCTTTCGTTAATCGCGAACCACTTCCTTCCGCCCAGGGAACGACACACTAACCCACAGCAAACCACAGGAAACCAGATTCTCGTCTCGCCTCGAGGGTTTGTTTTTGTTCAAAGCTGGTCGACTTGGACATTCTTTTTCTTTTTCTTCTTTCCATTTCATATTAAAAAAAGAATCCGGTCACGATGTCTTCCTTCGAGCCAGTTGTGAGTAACCGCCGCATTGGAAGATGGATGGTTGCGCACTCTTTCAACGCCTGCACAAGAACACTGCGACGGAATTCGAAGCTTCACGGGATGAGCGACGCGATGCACGGCGCGCTGGGTGCTGCATTCTACACTGCGGCAAATATTACGACCGATGCCGAGCTCGCCACCATGCATCCCCGCGAATCGCTGCATCGACCGTCGTGTTGACACTTGATCGGGCTTGAAAGAGGGCTGGAACAACCACGCAGGAACGGAAGCGCGCGGAACATTGGGCTAATGGATTTGTCGTGCAGGTCATTGTCGATGGCAAGGGCCACCTTCTCGGTCGCCTCGCCTCCATTGTTGCTAAGCAGCTTCTCAACGGCCAGAAGGTTGTCGTTGTCCGCTGCGAGGCCCTCAACATCTCTGGCGAGTTCTTCCGCTCGAAGCGTACGTTATACCACCTATGATCAGCGAGCGCCTTGAGTCGTGTTTTGCTCTCGAGCGCATCAACACCCTCACGAACCGAACCAATACTGACCTCACACAGTCAAGTACCACGCCTACCTCCGCAAGATGACCCGTTTCAACCCTACCCGCGGTGGTAAGTCTCTCTCAGTCCGCCAGCTGCGGCGCATGCACTAACTCTGTCAAGGTCCCTTCCACTTCCGCGCTCCCTCCCGCATCTTCTACAAGGCCGTCCGTGGCATGATCCCCCACAAGACTGCCCGCGGTGCCGCCGCCCTGGAGCGCCTCAAGGTCTTCGAGGGTGTCCCTCCCCCCTACGACAAGAAGAAGAAGATGGTTGTTCCCCAGGCTCTCCGTGTCCTCCGCCTGCAGCCCGGCCGCAAGTACTGCACCGTCGGCCGTCTCAGCCACGAGGTCGGCTGGAAGTACCAGGACGTTGTCGCCCGCCTGGAAGAGAGAAGAAAGGCCAAGGGCGCTGCCTACTACGAGCGCAAGCGTGTTGCCGCCCGCCAAATCTCCGACGCCAAGAAGTCCGCGGCCGCCAAGAGCCAGGCCTCCAAGAAGCTTGCCGCTCTCGGCTACTAAGTTGAAGTTGGCAGGTCTCTCCTCTCTGAAGTCTTACGGGCATCTTTGGAGGGAGAGGGACGTGGCTTTCGCATTGTCTAGTCATTTGTCGTGCGGTTCATTACATTGGCGCGGTGGTTCATAGGGAATTACATCATGGTTTTGCTGCTTGCTGCGTGATGGCAAAGGGATGGTGGCGCGGTTTACATTTTGGGGGGAGAATTATCCCGATGTGCTATATGAGACTCTTTTGGTTTTGGCTGGACTGGGTCTCTTCTGTCGCAAAACTGGACAGGCAGAGAGGCGAAAAGAGGAAGAAGACGAAAGGAAAACAAATCAACCCCCAGTACAGAACAACAACCATCCCAACACACATTCGCATACGAGACAAGATCAACACGTGGTTTTTATGAACGAAGGCGACATGCTTGACGAAGGGCGACGGATGGCTGAACAACTTGCAGAAGACTACAAAAATTCTACGATGGAAAGACAAGAAAAAAAAATACACAAAAAGGACAAACATTTAACCGGTCACTGGTTTCTTTATTTCGGCTTATAAAATGAACGGTTATTCTTATCCCTGCCAACCCCGCGACTTGGCTGCTTCCTCTGCTGTGGTTGAAGAGGAAGATAGGGATAATTCGAGGATGGAGAGACGTGATGTGGGCGGCTGCGTAGGAGTAGAAATGGAATACAATTCTCATGATCTTTTATATGATTTTCACCTTCCTACATCAATTGAGTGAAGCGTCTACCTAGAAGCTATGTCGGCATACAGAATAGGTTGGCGTTATTTGCCAGACGTTGTGCCCACGCCGTTAGAAACGGTCGTCTTGGGGAAAGGAACAGCCACACCATGATTCCTAACATTACGTGACTGCTCTCGTAAAGTGCCTAAAATATTCACAATGAATCATGAACCTTTAACATTCTATTTAATTTTTTTCCAAGTCCCTTGCCATGGCCTGGCCGCTGAGTTCACTTGTGATAATTATAGTGTTTGGGTGGCCCACCATCTCCCCCAGATCATGTGCCGATAAGATAGAGCGCGGACAGCGTGGCGCTATGAAGTGTCCTTTATCGCAGGTCCGCCAGCTATGATTAGCATCTACATACAAACAACCAACCTCGGAAATCAGCCTCCATTGACCACGTACGAGAAATTTCCAACCATTCCACGACATACTCTACGCGTTCCAAGTCAAACAAAATCGACCCCCTCAACAACCCACAAAATAATACACATAACAGACATTTGCAGCCACCATGTCGGACCTTGATCACTTTGACCTCGTCCCCATCACGCTCAACAGCGACACCAAAGAGGTCACCACGGGCCGGAGCTCACGCGCCCTGCGGGCCGAGCTCGAGCAGCTCAACGAGCTGCACCGGTCGATGCTCGCCCTCGAGACCCCCGGCGGCGTACCCCCGCCGCCCGTGCCCGTGAACCCGAAGCGCACCGCACAAGTGACGAAGCTGCGGGACAACGGCAACAACGAGTATCGCCGGCAAAAGTACGACGAGGCGATCCGGCTGTACACGCTGGGCCTGCAGATGGCGCTGGCGCGGCCGCTGTGGGAGCCGAGCGCGCTGGTGCGCGAGGAGGCGGCGGCGATGCTGGCGAACCGCGCGCAGGCGCACATGGCGCTGCAGGGGTGGCCGGAGGGCGCGGTGGACGCACTGGCGAGCGTGGAGGCGCGCAGGGTGGGCAACGCCAAGGCGTGGTGGCGGAGGGGAAGGTGCCTGTACGAGATGGCGAGGCTGGAGGAGGCGCGCGAGTGGGTGAAGGAGGGCCTGGAGGTGGAGGGCGAGGAGGCGGACCTGGTGAGCCTGCTCAAGGAGATTGAGGAGAGGATCAGCAAGCAAAGGGCGGAGCAGTAGATGGGAGGGGCTGAGGGTGTAATGCATGGGATGGATGGTACGCTCTGGAGGAAGCGAAGGACTGGATTTGGTTCATTTGTCCGTGTATAGCGTGTCTTTTTTTGCGGTTATGCAAAAGTAATAGAACTTTGATTTTGCATGATTACCCGGATGAACCTTTCTGGGATTTCGCGAAACGGAAGTCTGATTCAGCTCTCGCATGGATCGATATGCCTACTGCTTAGGACGAGATTGGTAATCTGAAGCAGACACGTGCTCTGAGTCCCTGTGACCGCCTAGGCTAATCATTTCAGAGACTTGCAGTTCTTCCCCCTACCGCTGCGGCAATGGCTTGCGCATATCTCGATCAGCTTCAGCCCTGGGCTTGGCCAGATGACCGAGCAGCGGCCCGGATTGGCATCAAAATGAATCAGAACACAGCCATAGAGCGGCGTGGCCATCGCTTTACAGCGCAAGGGTTCCTAGGTTCTGCCCTGACACCAAGGCCGGGCTGTCGCTCAGATTGACTTGAAAATCCAGCCGGTCCATGCCACACACTTTCGTCAGCAACGCAGCAAGTGCACCGGGCAAAAATACCTCCATCTACCCGCTGATAGATGTTGTGTCCCGAACTCGCATACACTCGGATTAATGTTCCCCCACGCACCTCATAATCGCAACACAAACGTCACGCCAGTCACGTTATCGTCAACGTCGCACAGTCACTGGCCTCGTCGTCCACGGGGGCGGCGGCCGGAAGAATGAATATGCATGCGTTGGAGTTTGGACAGGGCGCAGCGAGCCATGTCGGCGCAGAGAAAGCGGCGGAACCTGCAACGAACACGACGCCCTACGGCCCCATCGATATTGACGACGCAGCAAGGAACGAGCTGGCTGGACAGGTGCAGGCGGACATTGCAGTGGAAACGCAACAACAACAAAGTCAGATCACCAAGGAGGGCTTGGACAATCACCACGACGGCGAGGCGCCACTTGAGCAAATGGTGACGACAAATTCGGAATACGAAATACCACACTTCACAAACAAGCGTCCGGCATCGCAAGAGCCGGACGAGGTGATGGATGCCAAACGAGTCAAGTTTGAGCCGAGCAACGGTGCAGATGCCAAACGAATCAAGCTTGAGCCGGACGAGGGCGCCTCTGAGCAACAAGGTCAACAACCACCCGCCTTTGCCATTCCTTTTCCTGATAAAGTAGGCACACAGCCGCCCCGCTTGAATCCTTCTGCAGTGCGCGCGTTGACCACCCTTGATAAGCCCGCAGTCTTGGAAGAACGAGCTGGTGAGATCGAATATCGTGTCGTCAACAACGACGGCAGCAGGGAGAGCATCATCATCCTGACCGGGCTCAAGTGCCTGTTCCAGAAGCAGCTGCCCAAGATGCCCAAGGATTACATCGCGCGGCTCGTCTACGACCGGAACCACCTATCCATGGCCATCGTCAAGCCGCGGCCGGCGCCGTCGTCGCTCGAGGTCGTCGGCGGCATCTGCTACCGCGCCTTCCGCCGCCGCCGCTTCGCTGAAGTCGTCTTCTGCGCCATCTCCTCGGACCAGCAGGTGCGCGGGTACGGGGCGCACCTGATGGCGCACCTCAAGGACTACGTGCGCACCGCGACGTCCCCGCCCATCATGCACCTCCTCACCTACGCGGACAACTACGCGACGGGCTACTTTCAGAAGCAAGGGTTCACCAAGGATGTGACGCTCGCGCGCGCGCTCTGGGCCGGCTGCATCAAGGACTACGAGGGCGGCACGCTGATGCAGTGCAGCCTGCTGCCGCGCGTGCGCTACCTCGAGGCCGGCCGCATGCTGCTGAAGCAGCGCGCGTGCGTGCTCGCCAAGATCCGGCCGCTCAGCCGGAGCCACGTGGTGCACCCGCCGCCGGCGCAGTGGGCTGCCGCGGCAGCCGGGGGTGTGGTCGCGCCGATCGATCCGCTGTCGGTGCCGGCGATCCGCGCCACGGGCTGGTGCCCGGCGATGGACGAGCTGGCGCGGGCGCCGCGCCACGGGCCGCACTTTGCGGAGATGCGGCGCGTGCTGTACCAGGTGCAGAACCACAAGCAGGCGTGGCCGTTCCTGGCGCCGGTCAGCCGCGACGACGTGCCGGACTACCACGCCGTCATCGCGGACCCGATGGACCTGGCGACCATGGAGGAGCGCCTGCTGCGCGACGCCTACGCGGGGCCGGCGCAGCTCGTCGCCGACATGCGGCTCGTCTTCGCCAACTGCAGGCGGTACAACGACGCGGCCACCGTTTACAGCAAGTGCGCGGTCAAGCTGGAAAAGTACATGTGGACCTTGGTCGGGGAGGTGCCGGAGTGGCACGAGCTGCTCGACGAGGAGAAGAAGACCGGTGGCTAGCCTCTCGCGCTGCGGACATGAACGGGGGGGCAGCGTTGACGGTAGGAATCCTGGAGCAGCAGCAGATGGGCCGGGGAGCGCGACAAGTGGGCGGTGTGGGCAGGATGGAGGCATCCGTGAGCGTCTGTGCTCGCGCCGTGGCAGGTAAACGAACATGTGGCCACGCGAGAGGGAACGTGAAATGAAAGAACGAATACAATTGCTGTGTAGTATTGGCTTATATGCAAACCATCCTCCCCTTTTTACTTTTCTCTTCTTTTCTTTTTCGCGTTTGGTTTCGTTGTCCATCATGACCGGCCCGCGACAATCTCCGCGGCGACCTTGGCCGTGGCGTTGACGATGAGCGCGTGCTCCTGCGCGTGCATCCTCTCCTTCAGCCCCTCCAGCGCCTCGCCCTGCCGACACGGAATCTCCTGCACCAGGATCGGCGCGCCGCGGTCGACCTCGGCGATGACGTAGTGCGCCATGATGCCCGTGCGGGCGAGCGTGCCGGCCTGGAACGCGGCGAACGCGCGCTCGATGGCGTTTGCGCCGTCAAACTCGCCTTGTCGTTGGTCAGCACTTTTTCCCAGAAAAAGGGGTAGTTTTAAAAAAAAAACAGATGCAACAAGGGAAACGTACCGGGCATGGCGGGGTGCAGGTTGATGATGCGGATGCCCGCCTTGTCGATGGGGTCCAGGAAGGACGGCGAGAAGACGTACATCCACCCGGCGAGCACGATCAGCTCCGGGCGCCGGTCCTCCGGCGCGGCGAGGATCTTGGCCGCGAGCGCCGCGTCGTATCGCCGACGAGCCTCTGCGATCTGCGCCTCGTCTGACTCGCCCTTCTTCTGGAAGCCGTTGCTGATGAGGTTGAAGTATTCCCACGGTATGCCTGAAGTTTTTTTCTCACATTAGCACAATGGTCGCGCGCAGTTTGTGTTTCTCTCCTCTTTCTTCGCTTCATGAAAACATCATCTTGAGTTGTGACGCAGGGTCTATAGAAAGAAGCTAAAATAAAACGTACCAGCCTGGTCAGCACGGGCCGTCGCATGCGCGCTCTTACGGTTGGTGATGAGCGAAATGATGCAGCTGTGCGGTAGTGAGCCGCTGGCGATGCCGTCGATCAGGGCCTGGAAGTTGGAGCCGAAGCCCGAGGCCATTACCGTGATGCGGCATGGCGAACTTCCCGTCTCAGCCATTTTGGCTTTTTTTTTCCTTTCCTTATAGATGGGTAAAAAAATATTATAACCTCCTCTGGCCGTGGTGCTTCCAAGTGGCTGATGTTGAAAGTTTTTGGATGCGTCACGTGACGAGGTTGATATGAAAGTGCAGTCGTGATAGCAACGGTTTGCTAGATTCTAGGTTTAGATGGTTTATTGATTTTAAATTTTACTCACGTGCAAGGCAGATGGACTGGATTTTCTGTTGAACAATGACTATATCTCGTTGGAGAATGGTTGTTGTGAATGAGTAAGCTTGCTACCGTCTTTGGCAACTACCACGCGCAATTTGCGACGTAAGAACCTGGCACAATGAAAAAGACAATTGTGGTTGAGTTACAAGCCGAATTGACCAAGATTTCTTGTACATAAAAAATTCAGCAATTATTACTCAAGAATGATGCGTACAACTAGATTGAGCAGTTTGGAACGCCGAAGGAACGCCAGCCGCGACACCTCCCGGGTAGGTAGGGAAGAGTGACGGGTACTGCTCTCTTCTCGTGCCCGAGTTCTTTGGAACCAATAAAGAAAAAATATACAAGGTGTCAGGCTTCCGTAAAGTAGTTTCTGTGTAACTTGCATTACGCTGAATAGGACTTGCTGAAGGGTGAGTTGCGAGTGGTCGAATATGCCATGAAACCTGGGCAACAACGGCAACTCGCCGTCACCTGGTCATTCACCTGGTCATTCACCTGGTCTGGTGACAACTTCCTTTCTTTGTTGTCTTCCGCCGCAGACGCGCCGTTTCTGACCCCACCCACAAAGCCATGGGGCGAGGTTTTGCGTAGGAAGCACAAGTTTTAAAAAGAAGTGCCATTTTATTTGCTTCTTCTCGCCGTCGTATGGCGCAATCAGGCCGACCACTCCCGCCAGCCTAACAGATCGGAACGATGCGAAACTAGTAAAAGAAAGGGGCAGGGCTCCGCTCAGACTACATTAGAATTTGAGAAATTTGCGTGACGAATATAAAAGAAATGTATTGTGATATCTGGATATTCCGACCCAACGCCTGTCCCCAAAAAGTAAAAACAGCAAAGCAGTGCATATGACTGACTGATGTCATATGGTTGGTTGTAAACTAGTAGAAAAAGAGGAACACAGGATCCAGGACAAGCTGCTGGGGGTCATGCTAGAAGAGTAGTTGGAGGGCGAATGCCAAGGTGTTTCGTGGGCTGGGTATAGTAGAGGCGTCGTCGAATCGTGGGTGACATGTTTGGGTAGAGGCGACCCGATGGTTTCGAGCAGGTCGATGTAATTGTTCTTGATTACTTTGAGTGACAACTGGAATTGATGGCTCGAGTTTGTTGCCTCAGCAGAGCCGGATTGTTTAGGCAACCTTTTCGACAAGCTGCTGCTTTTCTGAGATGACGGGCTTCTTGGGACGCGGTCGCATGACGGCGTCCTGAGAGCTCATGCGGCGGTCGAGGGCACGCTCGAGCTTGGCACCGAGGGCGAGCTTGCGTAGGTTGTCCGTCTTTTCCTCATCGAGAGCGACGCGTTGAGAGGAGAGGGCCTTGTTCTCCATGCGATCGAGGCCGCAGGCGATGTCGCGGAACTCAGCCTGGGCTGAGTCGGTGGTGGCAAAGGTCGGGGTGACGGATGGTGTGACGCTGTATGTGCTGTAGCGGACCGAGGTGCGAGCCTTTGTTGAAGTCTTCATGTTAATAGCGATCGGGTATGGTGTGGCCAGAGGTGTAGATTTAGGATTGGAAGCAAGAGTAGCGAGGGGAGAGTGAAATATGGAGGACAAGGTAGTGGTAGAAGTGGTGGAATGTGTATAGGTATATACGTGACGGCAATGATGTGTGATGCTGTGTTGTGTTGTGCTATCGGTCGGGTTCAGTGGTATTGCCAGTAGCGCAGGGGTTGGTGGGTTGGTGGATGGTGCTGCTACCAAGGTAGTGAGTGGTAGCGTGGCAGCAGATATGTTGGCAGCCGGCGCAAAAGGAATAGGGCAACTTGATGGGGCGGTTGCGTCTGGACAAGTCTCGGAGCGAATTGCGCATGCAAAGGGTGAGACAGGTTGATGGGTATTTTGCTAGGCAGGGTGAAGACCAGGCGACAACGTGGCGAGGCCGTCAGGGGTCGTCGAGGAGAGGCGCGGAGAGGGCGGGCAAGAGGAAGAGGATGGCGATGAACATACCGAAGGGGCCATGATTGGGCGAGAGGACTCGAGGGAGGCGGGCATGATTATGGATTCTGCAGAGATTGGGCGGAAATGCGAGCTTGGTTGAAGGGGGGATGGAAAAAAGCGAAGGAGAACTTGTGGCGACGTCGGTTGGAGCGATTCAAGAAGAGGGGGAGCAATCCATGAGCGACGAGACCCGGAACGGCTGCAGCCAGGTCAGGGGTTGGGCGAGGGAGGCGGTGGGTGTGTGGTTGCGGCGTGAGTGGGCGGCGGTTGAGGGAGGAGGAATGCGTCGCGTTTCGGGTTGGCGATGGAGGAGGAGGAGTATGTAGGAGGAGGACGGAGGATGGGCTATGGGGGAGCAGAGAGGAACGTGATGGCGGCGAGGAGTGATGGGGCTGGTCGGACCCAGACAGACAGACAGACAGTATTGGGCAGCCAGGAATCTGTAATAAGCGTCGGTAGTATCGTTGGGCAGGCAAGGCAGACGAGGTGGTTTTTATTACGAGTAGAGACGAACAGGGACAATCCAAGACGTCGGGAGCCAACGGCGGCAAACGGTCAATCAGCGGTTTCTAGCGTGACAAACGGGAAAGTAACAAGGCAATGTGACGACCGTGAGTGGAGAGAAAGCCCGGTCTGAAATTTCACATGGACGTGCTAGGGTGGGAAAGGTTACTGGTAAGATGGGGGAATAAAAAGAAGAAAAATAGCCAGGCAAAAGAAAAGAGGGACGGGATCGACGCAAAAGCGCGGCCATGCAATATCCGTATCCTAGACAGACAGGGGACGCTGCCAAGTACATTTGGCAAGTACCTATGTATGTACTGTATGTCTGTATGTACATACATACATACATAGGTGGCTGGCTTGCAAGGAGCAAGGGGATGAGTCGTTTGCAAGGGCAAGTCGGGACAAACTGGGGGGCCGGCAAGAGAAGAGGCAAGGCAGGTACCCGGCGGCTGCAGGCTCGGCTGCATCAAAAGATAAAAATAACTGAAATTGAGAAAACAAAGACATTCCGTCATTCCAACTCAATCATCATTATCAAGACAAATCATCCCATCAGAGCGAACGAGATCTCTTCCTGCAGCAAGGCCCCCAGAGCTTGATAGCGGCCAATGCCTTTTGCCGGCCCTGCTGACGGTTGCATTTTTAGTGGGCCCGCCGCAAACTCCAGGCCAGCGGCCCAGGCGCTGTCAACTTTAGTACTTGATCCCTGTTTGCCACGCTGCCACTATTCACGCACTCCTGGTACTTGGGGATTTTTCTTGATATTGCGAGCCTTTCGCGAGTTTCTGGGAGTCAACACCAGGTACGGGATACAGCTTATTGGTCCCTCAAACGTCCTGCCATCGCCGTGCCACATCGCCATCCGCCGTTAATGTCCTTGCGGCTGCCACTGCCACTGCCACTGCCACTGCTCCACGCCACAGCCTCCCAGTATCACTCGTACCATCCATCACATCACACCACAACACACCACGGACGCCTCGCTCGACTCACCACCTCTGCCGATTCCTACCTTCTTTGGCCCAAGCCCGCTGCCCGTCCGCGTCTTGTCTTGAGGCAAGCACTACGAATACAGGGCCCCTTCCGCATTCCAGGCACTCCGGCCCAAGACACTGACTGACGCCGGCACAAGAGAAAATAAAACAATTCAAGAGCAGAATGACATGGAAACTGACAAAAGTAGCCTGCCTGAAACACACCTGCGTGGCATTTACGGCAATTTTCTCGCCGACTATTCACCATCTCGTCGTGACCCCGAGCTACAAACGAACCCTGCGCAAACCGTCGCTCCCGGCACTCCACGTTGCCATTCAACCTTGGCATCTTGGCGTTGTATGTCTTGATACTGCTGAGTGTCGGTTCTGATGCACGTACAGATAGATTGCATGCACGGATATTGCTAACTACCACCAGGCTGCGCTCTGCCGGCTACCTAACTAAGATGCACCGACTGCCGCCAAGGGAGTAGGAACGCCTGGTTTTGCTTTTCCCCGTCAGTCGTACCTTAAAATATGCATGTCCCTCGCCCGAGCCTCGGCCCCTACATCTCCCCCCCTGAGAAAAAGAAAGCAAAAAAGATAGCAAAGGCAAGGCAAGGGAAGATGGAGGCGCAAAAAGAACCAGTGACAGTCTGCAGTCTCTAGAAGCGCCTACTGACACGGAAACACGCCACAACGCCAAATTTAGCCTTGCAAGTCACTCCCTTCATGCATGACTCTCTCCGTCTGTATCGGCACATCCCATCCCCGGAAATGACAAGCCTCCGTGCGCCGCCTTTGCGCTCTCTGAGTGCAGCACAACGACGGTGCACGGCCGCTTCATCTTCGGGCCGCCGCCATGCATGAAACAGCTGCATGCATGCACGGATATTTAATGACACAACCCGGTGCGGAAATGTGGCCGGCTTTCTCCCAAAGGCGTCTTTTGCAGAATTGTTATCAAATACTGCGGAGCGGAAAAACTGATTGTCGCATGGCTATCAAACCCCGAAGGCTGGGCCATCTACCCATCACTGTTCCCCGACCCGTTTCCCGGTGCGGAGTGCCTGCCACAGCCTCACGGGTGATAGGCAGGATTGCTGGAATACCCGTTGCCAATTTCCCGCGGCCTGCGAGCGATTCAAAGTATTCGAATCGCCATCATGGACAAGATCAAATACGTCGCCGACCAAATTTACCACTCTACCAATATTCTCTTCCGCTTCAGCAGCTTCCACTTCGGGACTAGCACGAGGCTGGAGCCGTGCTGACACTTATTAGACACGTCTCGAACAGCCTTTGACATGATGGCGATGCTTTGTCAACTACGATTTACAACCTATCTCTTTCCTGCTGGTTGAGACATTTTCAAAATGACCAGACGAATTGTCATAGCGCACAACACTGCTGCCACTGCCGCTGCCACCACGACGCAGCCAACGCTGCAAGTGCCGTCCCAACCTCCACCCAGCTACAATCAACTTCAATCTGGCATGCGCTGTCTCGGCATCTCGTCTGCTCAGCTACGCCTCTGGCAGACCTACGACGACGAGAGTGAGGACGATGACGTACCTAGTTCTGCTATGGCGAAGAGGACACCCCACCTCATCATCACCTCGGACCTCTTGATTCCCGGCGATGGCGAGCCAATTCCCAATGGCGCATTGGTCGTCACCTCCAAGACGATTGCCTGGGTGGGACACCGCGATGCAATTCCCTCAAAGTATCATGAGGGACCTTGTAGAGTCCACCATGTTCCGTACATGATGCCCGGCCTCTGGGACGTTCACGCGCACATCGTTGGCCCGAATCCAGACCCTGAGACTGCCCCACGAGGACTGGTTTACGGGCCATACGGCGAGCACCCGGCCTCGCAGGGCGCCCGCCTCGCCCGAGGCTGCTGGCAGGCACTGCAGTGTGGCTATACTTCGCTGCGTGACTGCGGCGGTTTCGGCTGCGAGATGGCCAATGCCATCAATGACGGCTCCATCGTCGGGCCCAACATCTATAGCTGCGGCGGCTTCATCAGCCAGACGGCTGGCCACGGCGATCGGTTCGACATGCCCCCTGGAGATGCCCTGCTGCACTTTGGCGTCAACAACATCCAGCCGGGCTTCTTCTGCCAGGGCTGGGGCGCACTGGCCGACGGCGTCGACGAATGCCGCCGCGCGGTCCGCTTAAACGTCCGTCGCGGCGCCGCATGCATCAAGATCCTAGCCAGCGGTGGTGTCATGTCCCTCGACGACGACCCCCTCGATGCACAGTTTAGTGAGGCAGAAATGTCCGCGCTCGTGGAAGAGGCCACGCGCATGGGGCGCGCCGTGGCGGCCCATTGTCATGGCAAACCCGGCATCCTGGCGTCTATCAAGGCCGGCGTGAGGACGATTGAGCATGGCACGTACGCAGACGAAGAATGCCTCGACCTTATCAAGAGCCAGGGCATAATCCTGGTGCCGACGGCTGCCGTCCTAGAAATGCTCGCGGGCCTCGACGACGCGATTCCAAAGAAGATCGCCGAGAAGATTAAGCAGGTGGCCGCCAAGATGGAGGGTATGTATAAGATGGCCCTGGCCAAAGGCGTCACCATTGCCATGGGCTCGGATGCTCAACCCAGCTGGCTCGATGCGTCGGAGATTGTCTACGCCGTCAAGATGGGCATGACGAGTCTGCAGGCGATCAAGGCGGCAACGGCGACAGCGCCATTGACGCTGGGCCGCAGGGCACCCATGTCGGGCCAGCTGAAGGTCGGGTATGATGCGGATATCCTGGGGCTTACGGCGGACCCGATTGAAGACATCACGGTTCTCAAGAATAGTGACAATGTAGGATGGGTGTGGAAGGGGGGTAAGCTGTTCAAGGGACCCAACGTTGGGCTTTGGGGAGAAGAGTAGCCATGCAAAGAGTGATTGTGGTGATGATTATGATTACGATGATTACGATGATTACGATGATTACGATGATTACGATGATTACGATGATGATGATGATGGATGGAAGTAGCACAGACTATCATCATGCATGTAGCTCGCAACTCAGTCTGTTATAGCAGATCCAAAGGCTGAAGGAAATTGTAGAAATGACGAGCACAAGTTCCAGAAGTATGCTGATGAGCAGGATGGCGAAGACGCACACACTCAGTCATGGCATCTCGCATAACAAACTGTCTTCTCTCCGCCCACCCCCATTGCACATGTCGTGACAATACCCGCCTGACAATGAAAGTTGCTGCCACTTCTCGTCTACGCGCAGATAATGCGGCCGACATGACCAGCTGGAAGCAGCCGCGCATTCCCATCCACCGAAACCTACGTCGCCGTGTAACCGCCGTCCACGAGGATATCCGTTCCGGTGACGTAGCTGGACGCGCTGGACGCGAGGAACAGATACACTGCCTTTAACTCTAGCGTCTCGCCAAATCGCCTGTTTTTTTTTAGCAAAACGTGTGAGCATTGTGAACTCGAGAGATTCGTTGTGTTAGTTTCGACGTACCCCATTGGCACCCTGTCCAGAATCGCGCTCATGGTCTCCTCCGCGATCGGCCCCGAGATGCCCGTCTTGAAGAAGCCCGGGGACACGCTGTTGACGCGGGCGAAGCCGAGCCACTCAATGGCCAGAGATTTGCCTACAGTTCTGTAAGCAAACGACCGCAACACCATCCAAAAAGAAGCAATTTCGGAAGACGCGAACGAAATCACTCCAGCGCACTTACAGAGGTGAACCACCGCGGCCTTGGAGGCGTTGTACGCGGCCTGCCGCCGGGGCACGTTGACGATGTGCCCGGACATGCTCGCCGTCGCGATGAAGCTCCCGCCCGCGAAGCCGCCCTCGAGCGGCGCGCCGCCGAGCGCCGTGCCCTCGCGCCTCTGCCGCCGAAAGTGCTGCCCGGCGACGTGCGCGCAGTGCGCCACGCCATCCGTGTTGGTCCGCGTGAGCGCGCGGTACCGCTCCACGTCGGCGTCGATGAATGCCTCGTCGCCCCACGAGACGCCCGCGTTGGCGACGAACACGTCGAGCCGGCCGTTCAGGTCCTGCATCGCAGCGAGCACGCCGGCCTGGACCTGCTCGAGCGAGGCGACGTCCACCTTGTACGCCTCGCCTGGAGCCACAGAGTCAGTAAAGGAGCATGCCAAGCTCACTTGCTTTCGGGCAAGGTGCGGGAAGAAAAACGTACATGTCACGCCATAGGCCGCCGCGATCCGCTCGGCCTCAGTGACGGCGGCGTCGTTGCGGTTGTACCATAGGGCGACGTTGGCACCGGCCTCGGCAAAGGCCTCGGCGACGGCGAGCCCGATGCCCTGACCCGCGCCGGATATGATGGCCGTCTTGCCGGACAGCGAGAAGAGTGGCATGACGGGGCCCGCCGCGGGGGGCAGCGTGTTGTTGCGCCGAAAGACGCCGTTTTCCATCGGGCCAGCCATGGTTGCGTGTGCAGTTGCGAACTTTTCTCTTCAAAGAACCTCGAAAAAGTCTCTGAATGAAGTTGGCTTCAGCTTAGAGGATTTAGTACAGAAACTTACAAGTCGGCCAAGGAAAGTAAAAAGCGCAAGGCTTGGTGCTAGCTTGAAGCTGGACTATTAAGCTTCGGTTCCTGGATCCCCACGGAAACCCCCACGCAAAGTTCGCGGGGTAATCTAGCTTGGGGGGCAGGATGCTGCTTAACGTATCCGCTACAAGAATGTAACGTTGGCTGCCAAAGGTTCTTCCTTTTATTGTGCATGCCGACGCGGCTGTTGTACGGGGCTCGCTTCTGATGGCGATAGTGTCGACGCCTTGTGTTCTCTGCTGAGCAGCCGTCTCGGTTACATCAAACCAACACAGCGGTAAACGGAGCATGAGTAGGAGCATCTTGTGGAAGAGTCGGCCCGTTGCGGCCAGAAATGAGGTATTCATGGGTATTTCGTTCGCACCCTAGTGCGAGCTTAAAGTTAGGGACTAATAATAGCGACGCCTTAATATCAGTACGCGCCGTTCTAGTCAGATATATATATATGTATGCAAGGATGGACTGGTAGGGGATGCCGTGCATCTTGCCAGCCGGGTTGATAGCCAGCAATAATGAATGAAACTCCCAGGATGCCGTGCCTAACGCCGGGTGATATGCTGCGTCCGTGGCTTCGGACCAGTTTCGAGGCGAGCTATTCCTCGAAGCAATTATCTGCAATGCACGCCTATAATTCGGAGTTGCATCGACAGGCATGTCTGATGCTCGATGAATCGAAACGACGGGCGTCCAACGCAACGTACACGAGCCGAGGACGATATCCCAGCACGGGGCTGCATGCGTGATGGACCCGTGTCTGTATTTCCAGGTCGTTGATCGTGGAGCTCAACCTAGAGCTGGCCCGAATACGTCATCCGCGGCGGCGAGTTTCCTCCGCTTGGCCTCGCGGGATTCCGGATCCGTTCCGAGGACACCGTCTGCCGGCGCGTCGGGCTTCTTCGACTTGACGGCCGCTTGTGCGCGGCGCGCCTGCTGGAGCGCCACCAGATTCGCTCGATCGGGGTCCCTGCATTTCTGTAGCTTCTTACGCAGGGGCTTCATCGACTTGACAGTCTCGGGCTACTCAAGAGTTAGAACCATGACCGAGGTCAACCTTTGAGGGGGACTGCAGAGCTTACCGCTCCCCAATACTCCGTCATGCGTGCGGGAGGCTCTTCCTCGAGCATTTTCCGGCAGGCCTCCAAGGCCGCGAATATCTTGTTCCGCATCGCTGTTTGCTCCGTCGCCTTGTCGTCGGACGCCTCGGGCAGGGGGATCAGGACGTCGACGAGGCCGGCGTCCGTCATCAGCAGCGCGGCCATCATGATCTGGCTAGGGGCGTAGTAAAAGTACACGTCCGTGATCACCGCGCTGAACTTGAGGATCTCTCGCGCCCGCACGTGCGCCGCGCCTATCCGGTCCTTCTCGGCCGGCAGCTGCCGCCGCAGCTCGAGGACGGCGCCCTCGAGGGCCCGAAAGGGGTGCCTGACGTCAAAGGCGAACCTGATACCCTGGCAGAGGAGGAACTCGCCGGCGAGGATCTGCTCGCCCGTGGTGTTGGGGAACTTGTCGGCGAACTTGGCGGAGCGCATGTAGAAGCCCTCGGCCTTGCAGCCGAAGAAGAGCGACGTCTTGAGCAGCTCGGTCGGCGGGTAGGTCATGACCGAGTTGGTCACGTAGAAGCGGCGCAGGAAGACGGCGGCGGTGGAGCGGATCTCGGTCGGGAGGTCGCAGAACTGGCCGGCGCGGATCAGCTCGACGGTGAAGAACTTGACGAGGCGCACCTCCTCGTCGGGCGTGAGGAAGTCGGGCGGCGCGTCGGCGCCGAGGCGGGCGGCGATCTGCTGCTGGGCGAGCGCGTTTGTTTTCTCGCGGAGCTCCCTCAGGCCGGCCTGGGAGAAGGACCAGAGGCGGAATTGGCTCGACTGGCGATAGCGCTCGTCCTCGGTGGCCATTGCGGATGGCGCCGTGCGAGGCGGCGATGCTGAGTGTTGAGCTTGGCCGTGTTGGAGAGGAGAAGTGGCTGAGGTGTGATGAGAAAGCGTGAAGTTGGAGTAGCTTGGTGATGGTGGTGGGGAGATTTGCTGTGTGCGCTAAAACAACTACCCTGTAGCAGCAGCCAGGCGCGCACCGTGTGGTAGGACGACTTCGATTTTAATGCGGGAAGAGCAAGATTGAATAAATACGATATTAATTTTGATTAATTATCCTCAATATATTTTGTATAATAAGCACGTCTATTTAACTTCTACTATTTATTTAGTTGATTTAGATCTATATTTACAACACCACTGTAGATTACTGTAGCTTCACTTTACGAGCATAACTGGCTGTGCAACGCTTGACCTTTCGTACAGCTTATACATGTAATAATTAACAAATAAATTAGACACTAGAAAATTCAAATGAAAGTAAGACACCCTGGTAGCACGTCACTGGCGCGATGGCGAAACATGAAAACATTCGCGAATTTTACTCTCCTTCTTCCCGCCCCTTACTCCTCGGCCTCGCGGTTGATCTCGAAGCGCTTCTTCAGGCGGTAGGCGACGGCACGCTTGCGGGCGCCCTCGCTCTGGACGAACGCGGCGGCGCCGCCAAAGGGACCGGCAAAGGCCTGGTTGCGGACGCGGACGACGCAGACGTTCTTGACGCCGGCGATCTCGCCCTCGCAGGTCATGCCCTGGGGCATCTTGACCGTGATGGGGTAGTCGGTGTTGGTGGCGACGGAGAGGCCGGAGATGCCGACGCCGGGCATGTTGAGCGGCATGCTGGCGCTCTTGAAGGCGGAGCCGTCCTTGCCGCCGGAGGTAGGGTCGATGGCGGCGGTGAGGGGGCCGGCACCGTCCTGGTTGACCTGTGTTGACACGCGTCAGTAAGGCCGATTGATCACTGGAAGTTGCTGACGAGGGATTGAGTGCTTACCTGGCGGTAGATCAGGCTGACCTCGCCGTTGTCGTTGCTGGTGGGCATGCCCTTCTCGGCGCCCTGGCCGGCCATGTCGCCGACGATGGTCTCCTTGGGGTAGTCCTTGGGGGTGCCGCCGAGGCCGAGGACGCCGACGACGGGGAGGTTGAAGATGCCGCTGAAGACGCCGCGCATCTCGTTCATGTGCTCCTCGCGGCGCTGGGCGCGCTGCTGGGTGAGGATGTTGGCGGGGATGCTGTCCTCGACGCCGGTGGCGCCCGAGGCGCCGTTGTTGGTGGCCACCTTGCTGCCGCGGCCCATGAAGGAGGCGACGACCTCATCCGGGTGGACGTCGCCGTTACCCTGGGTCCAGCCGAGAGGGCTACGGCCACCGGAAATGTCGGCGTCACGGATGATGCAGGTGTCGGCCTGCGCACCGCACGCGTTGGAGGCGCAGTTGCGGGGAGTGCCATCGGCAACTGCATTCAGTCGTGTAAGTCAAGATGCGCGCCAGAGACAACGGCCATCAGCAACACGTGGTATGCTTACCTCCAAGACCAGGCATGGAAACGCCATTGGCACCGACAATGTTGCGGATGACACCGTGGGCCGAAGCACCAGCGGCGAGAGTGGTGAAGACGATAGAGTACTTCATCGTGTATGAGAAGCTTGAGCGCGACGGGGAATAGGAAAGATGGACAGGTCAACGAGAGAATGAAGGAAGCAATTAGTGTCTCCGGGACGATTGGAAAAGAAACTTGAGCAAGATGTAGTAATCAAGGCCGACTTGGGGTGTGTAGAAGCTGTAGGACATGAGTAAGTTGGGAGCCAAAGCATCTAATATATCTGACGGGCTCAGACTCGGACCGTCGAGGTGGTGCCCGGAATCACGGCTGCGGACAAAACTCTAAAAGCCGTCAAGGGATTGGCCTGTGACGCAAAATAACAAACCACCTGATAGTTTTGCAGTTTCGTTCCATTGGCACGGGCTTGGGGGGAGGGTCCCTGGCATCCCGTATGGACATCCCCCGTTTGGCCCTTTTGGTCCTTTGGCCCTTTGGCCCTTGTTGGGGGTTGCGGGCTCGTAACTCGACTTGGCGGCAGCGGCATCAAAACTTGGCCTGAAAATCGGCGTGCCTGAAACGCTTTGGCGAACTGAGCGCTCGGGGTGGAGATGTGGGCGGCGGAGGAGGAGGAGGGTCAATGTCCAAATTTGGCAAAACGGGAAATGGAGAGCGAGGAAAAGGCAGGGGGGGCTCCTGCGGCTGGAGATGCGACCAGGCGCTAGGACGGTGATGATTTCTTCATTCAAAGTTCGGTCAGCTCGTCCGCGTCCGCCCGCTGTGGCCGCCTGACCATGATGCCCTGCGATGATAATAGGCGGTGTCGCCGGACGGAGCGGGTGCCGCCGTGCAAAAGGGCGGGTTGACGGTGGACTTGTTTTCCCGAGCGCTTCTCGTGCGCTTCTCGTGTGTAGGGCTCGGATCGTGTTAAGGCAAAAGTATAAAAAAAATGAAGTGAAATGAAATGAAATGAAATGAAATAAACTAAAATAAAAATTGAAAGACGTCGATGACCTCGGCAAGGGCTACTGAGAAACAGTTCTCCAACACAGGGCAGAGAGCATGGCAGTGGTTTGCTAATAAGCCGTGCTTGTTTCGGCGATCAAGCAATGCAAGCCACCAACGCTAGAAGACAGGCGGAATGACGGAGGATTTTAGGATAAAAAAAGACCAGTTGGAAACAATTGTGCGTCAAGTCGAAACAAAGGAACCCCAGCCAGCACCCAGGCCGCCAGCTGAGATGGGAGTCGACAGCAACCCCTTCCTTGCTTGGCTTGCACCCTGGATGACGGTTGGCGTTTGGCTAGCTAACTAATAATAATTACCAACTAGTTACTATTCGGTACATTATAGAATTACTGCCTATATTTGCTGCAGATGTGGCTCCTCCACACGGGAAGATGGATATAATTGATTTAGCAAGGACAGGGTGGGTAAGGACCGACAATCACAAGCTGAGACGCTGAATCGGTCAACTATTCCTTGCACAACCATCATCATGAACATGCATCCAGTCTCTTCTCTGCCCCTGTCCATCTTCTGATCTTGACTTCTTAATTTAGCCTTCTGCACTAACTAACTAACCAACTAATTACCCTCTGCAAGGCGGCTGTGGCGCGGACTCAAAGGTCGGCCTTGTCGCCCAAACTCTATTGAGTTGCCCGGACGCTTGCCAACTTGTGGTTACCAGTATGAGCTTCGTCCAAGCCAGCCCAACAGGGGGGCCATGCGGATCGCGTTCTTGCTTGCATGAATGCACGGCCTCGCGTAACTTAAGAGATACGGTAGTGGTATGCTTCCCACCGGATAATAGCCCCAAACGGAAAGAAGAGGGAACAAGAAGGTATACAGCCGACGCCCACTTTATCATCGTTTCGACTGCCCTGCCCTGCCCTGCGCGTCCAACTTGCATTCTGCACCTGAAGAATTGTCACCGTTCCTGATACAATCGTCCGAGCGCCGGCACCCGCATTTTGCCGCCGTCGCGTCCAATGACCTCGTCCGCTGGTCATTTTCAGCGCCCGATTAGGTAGCACTCGAGCCGGCTCAGGCCCTCGAGTCCCGGTCCTGGTCTGAGTGTTTGAGTTTCCTCCGTTCCTGGCTTTCTTCCTCATTGTGTCGTGATTTTTCTCTTGGCCTTTTGCGGACAACCAGAAAGCCAAAACAACAAGCCCGTAACTCCTAATTCCCGAGCCACGCTCAGTAGAAGCAGCCCGCACACGTGGAATACTTAAGCCTCGCTCTTCGCTCGTGTTGTCAAGTTTATCTCTTGAATCAACCCAACAAGCCACTTTCAGCCCTATCTTTCCTTCTCCTCACTTCACTTCAAAACAACCTTCTTTTCATTTTCGTCAAGTACGACATAAAACCACTTCTTTCTTTTCAAGATGAGATTCACCGCCATCGTCGCCTCCCTCCTCGCCGCTGGCTCGGCCGTCTCCGCCGCTCCCGTCGAAAACGACAAGCGCGAGATGAACTTTGGCGGCATTACCGGTCCCCTCGGCGGCCTCCTCGGCGGCGGCGCTGCCTCCGGCGTCACCGGCTCCGCCCAGAACGGCGTCGCTGACCTCTTCAAGCTCGCCGACACCATCCTCAACATCCCCATCGACACCATCCGCAAGGCCGTCGAGGGCGACCCCGCCGGCGCCGCCACCGGCCTCCTCCAGGCCATCATGAAGGCCGCCTCCGACGTCCCCAAGGACGCCATGGGCCTCGTCACCCCCATCACCAACCAGGCCACCAAAGCTGCCAAGTCGTCCTAAATCAGACCTCTGGATGCCTCTGTTTTCAGAATGAGGAAGATTGTTGGCGAGGCATGTCTTGCCTCCTTCATCAGCACAGCAAGACCTGCCAGCTAACAACCACTCAGCCGTCTTGATTGCGTGCACCGGTCGCGCAAGGTGTCAACCGCCTCCACAGTGCTGTCGCTCCCTGACAGTTTACTTTGTTTTCTTGATAATGTTTATATTGATAATTTATTCCATCTAAATTTAACTGGCTTAACATCTTTGTCACCGTTTTTAGAGTGCACTCGTTGTCGTGCTGCAGACCCCGTTGCGAATGCCAGTGTCAACTGCCACGGCATATTAATCCAGGCCATAGAGAAGCAACAAAACGTAATCCCATAATCATCAGCTCAATCACTAAAAAGTTGCGAACTCACTGCCAGCACGCTTGAGTTCACAAGTGCCTGTTTTCTCTTTCTCCAGGCCAAGCCTGCACCAGTTACCCTCTGGTGTAGGCCAAGTTTCCCTCCTCAGGATAGTAGCTCCTGGATACAAATGCAGCTACCCTGTACCTCTTGCTGACAATCACTACTTGGAATATCTGACAGAACGGATCGAGGCATTCTGGGGCGGATTAGTAAGGATAGGTATTTCTATACTCAACAGAAAGTTACTTCCATTCTTGTGCTTTCTTCCACACTCAGCATCACTTTGCGGTTCTTTGTTTGCAGGTCACACGACAACAACATTACTATTTGCAGAAAGCTCCCTGAAGCTACTTGCTCCTGTGGGGTGAATAGTCGAGAATAATCAAGCAGACGACAGCCAGGCTTCCAGCTAGTGCCTTTTCTGTTGGGTGACATCGGCCCGCCGGAGCTGAGATCGGCATTGGCGAGCATTGCATATGCAGGTCCTGTTAATATTCAGTGCTGAACTAATGGGTTTATAGTTAGTGCCTGGAAGCTATCACGGCGACGTGCGCCCCGGAGTTCTCGCGTGGTGTCTCGCGGCCAAGTCTACGCGGTAGCCAACAAGAACGGGATGCAACGTGCCAACCCCATGGCTAAACACAATGGGATTAGCTAAACGAGGATACTATTCAGGCAGCTGTAATTGGGCTTGCCTAGACGGGGCAGAGATTCCGGGTTGGTTGGGGAGGCTTGTTGGCGCGTCGTGCTTACAGAACGCGGTCGCGAACCATTCCGGTCAGAGAAGATGCCGAAGAATGGCATTGGGTCCTTGTGGAGATGCCGACGAAGCTCATGGTGCGACCGCTAACTAGCTGTCATGATATCTCGGATTGTCAGATACTTTCGGGAGGTGTCTACGTATATATAAAGCGCGATGTTTGGGGGAGGTGGAAGCGCTCTGTCTTCTGGTTCAGTGTCCATATTCTATTCTGAATGTGCTTGGCTCATTGACATCAACATGAAGTTCCTAATTGTTGTTGCCGCCCTTCTGGGTGTCGCGGCGGCTGCCCCGTCGATTTCCATCCGAGACGGCGGCTCCAATGTCACCATTGTTCATCCCGGCACTGTTCAAGATATGAAGGTGACCAAGGAAAACACCCTCAACGGCACATATCACGGGGCTCAGACACAGATTGTCGCGCCGGCCGACATCTCTGAACGTTCGGGAAGCTCAATCCCCCTTGAATTTGTCAACAACTTTCTCGGGAAAGCCGTCAACGCATACCTCGTCGGCCTCGACCCCGCAGAAGCGCGTCGTCTTCGTCCGCCAAGACGGCACCCTTGTCTACCCCAGCTCCGGCGGCTCCGGCGTGCCCGTGGCCGTCACGGAGTCGATCAATATCCCCCTCCCCGGCAAGGGCCGGACGCTGTCCATGACGCTGCCCATCGCGCTCGAGTCCGGCCGTCCGCGTGCTCTCCCCGAATGACTACGCGGTCGTCGACCCGCAGGGCTTTGCAACATACTGGGACGACCACGTCGACCGCGTCTGGGCGCGGTACGCGAAGCGGCCGCTCGTCGTGAACACGCAAGGCGACGCGGGCAGGGTTCACTGCCGCGTCGGCGCTTGACCAGCGACTGGTCTGCGCCCGGCGACGACCTCGGCTTCGACAAGCCGTCGGGTAGAGGACATCTGGGGGTGCGACAGCGGGCCGTTTGCGAACCGCAGCAACGGCGTGCACCCTCGCGGCGGTCGCGCGCATCTGTGCCGCCCTCATCCGCTCGACGCTGCTGCTCCCCGACGGCGACGTGCAGCCCGGCCCGGCGGCCGGCGAGTACTACAAGACGGACCCGACGGATCATTACAGCCGGCTGGTGCACGAGCGCGAGATGGACGGCCGCGGATACGCGTTCCCGTACGACGACGTCAATCCGGGCAACGAGAACGCGTCGGGCACCGTCTCGTCGGGAAGTCCCAAAACGCTGACGGTCTACGTCGGAGGCTACTCTGCATCAAGGTCGGAAACTTTTGGATACATGAAAATTCACAGGAATACATCTCTTGTGTATATACTTTGATAGACGCAATTGCACATACTTTCTACTTGACAAAACTACTTGACAAGACCAAGCTCCGGCGACGACGGCATGTAAGGACTTCTTGTACTGGATTCTGGAGGAATATCGTGCACAGGCACTGCCCTTGGAAAGCTCAGCAAATAAATGCCTGGCAACGGGTAGCCGGAGATGTGGCGTGCGGGATAGCCATCATTAATAATTAATCTGTCATTCCCCGGCTAGTTAGCTTTTTAGCAGATTGCGCGAGATTGACAAGAACATTAGTAATGGATCCCAACGTCCGCCGCGGGCAAAGCAGCAAGCATACTTATCTAACCTCTTTCCTCTCCATGAATTTTTTTTTCTAATTTTCGTTTCGCTTCATCTTCCTTTATTCGCTTTTTCAAAATGACCGCCTTCAACATCCAGGTGGTCTCCGACACCGTCTGCCCGTGGTGCTTCGTCGGCCATCGCCAGCTGCAACAGGCCATCAAGCTCTGGCACGCCAGACACCCAGAGTCCAGCGACACCTTCAACATCGAGTTCCTCCCCTACCAGCTGCAGCCCGAGTTCCCTAGGGGCCCCGGCAAGAGCGTCGACAAGGAAGCCTTCCTCCGCGCCAAGTTTGGCGACGCCCACCGGCTCCGGGCCTCCGAGCGACTCACCGCGATCGGCGCGCCGCTCGGCATCGCCTTCCGCTTCGGCGGCCGCGTCGGCAACACGCGCGACTCGCACCGGCTCATCGAGCTGGCCAAGGCGCACGGCGCCGACGTCGCGAACAAGACCGTCGAGGGCATCATGTCCGCCTACTTCGAGCAGGAGCGGGACATCACGACGCGCGAGGTCCTGGGCGAGGTGGCCGCGGCGGCGGGCATCCCCGCGGCGGACTTTCGAAGGGCCATCGTGGAGGGCGACGAGTACGGGGCGCGGGTGGACGAGGCTTCGGCGGCGGCGAGGGAGGGCGGCGTCGATGGCGTGCCGGCGTTTACGATCCAGGATCGGTTCCGGTGGTCCGGGGCGAGAGACCCGGAGGATTTCGTTAAGCTGCTGGAAAGGGTTAAGCAGACGAGCTCTTGATGCGGGCGGAGGGATTGCGGGATGCCCGTGTATGAAGATAATGTTCAAGTACTGATTAATATGGCGGGATGAAGAGGGGGTAGCCCACAGACATGCTATTCACTAATTTCAAACACTAGAAGCTCAAATCCACGGAATCGAGACGTTTATTTGTAAACACTCTGTGAACGATGCAAACCTGATTCATTCGAGAAGAAAAGAAGAATTAAAGAAGCAACTCGCTGTTCAGGACCGGTCCAACGTCGCGGAGTAAAAGCTCGGCCGAAATAAAATAAAGATAAATAGAAAGGGCAGATAAATACACGCATCCACAAGCATAACCAAGTACAAGAATCCGAACACATCCACAAGCATAACCAAGTACAAGAATCCGATCCCGCACGCCTCCCATCATCTTCTCTTCGAGCTCCCCTTCTTCCCACCCGCGCGCTCCTTCCCACCATACCGTCCGCGGTCCGAGCCGCCATCATCCGAGCCGGCCTTGCTCGACGGCGGCGACGACGCCCACGTGTTGCTCGTCCCCTCCGACGCACTCCCCGGCGAACTCGCCCCCTCACACGCCGAGCTGCTCGCCCTCCACCCCCTCGCCACCCCCGCCACACCCTGCACCTCCTCTTGGCTCACGTTAGCCCTCCGGCCGCCCTCCGCGGCACCATCCAGACCCAGACCGGGGGTTCATACCTGTGCCGGTGCAGTCGTCGCAGCACCCGTGGTCGCACGTCGCCTGGAGCTGCCCGGCCAGCACCTCCTCCCCCGGATCCAGCCCGACCACCTGCGCGGCCGTCATCCTCTGCGCGCACCAGCCGCGCGTGTTCGGACCCCGTCCGCACTGACAACACACCCACCCCCCGCCGGCGCCGGAACCTCCCTTGGCGGCGAAGCGGCAGTGCTGCAGCGGGCAGCCGGCCTTGGTCGGCTGCGAGTCGCTCATGATGGGGTTGCCGCAGGGGCTGACCGCACCCGTGAACATGTCCAGGTGGGCGGACGGGCAGTAGTACCACGACACGCTGGTGTGCGCGCAGCGGTGGTGCTTGGGGTGTCCTCGACACATGGTGATGATGAGGAGACAAGGTGGAAAGTGGAAAGTGGAAAGTGAAAGGCAAGTCAGTCAGTTGGAAAACGTTTACTTGGAGGAAAGCTCGGGGAACGTTTGCGCTATGGGCAACGGGCAACCAGTAGAGGCATACGCCTTGGCTTATATACACCCGTCTGCAGCTATCCGTGCGGAGCAGGGCGGCGGCCTTTACAATCCTTTTCTCGCCTCAAAGTACAGCTGAGTCTTCCAAGCACAGGTGTGTCTGGCTTCTGATAGTCTAGGCGCGAAACAAAAGAGTAACTCGATTACTTTTCACGACGCCTATCCCGTACAACGAGGATGGAGAATTCAATGTCGTGCGACGCAGCACCGACCCAGCTTCCTGGGACAGGGTGCAAAGACCAGCTTGCTTGCTTTCCCCCGCGGAGACGGTTGTGCCCGCGGTCCAAAACAAGACAAGGACAGGACAAAACCAGGGATTCGGTTGGACCAATCACAGCGTCCGGTGCTCCCTCAACAAGGCATTCGACGACGAAAGGGGAAGTTGCATGGGTGGCGAGAAATTTGTTTCGGGTGTCTGCCAGTAATTCGTAAGCTGTAGGCATCGGGTGACGAGGACTCCATGTATGCCCTGTATGCGCTGCAGCGGAGCGGTCGTCTCCCTGGTCCTGGCTTCCCCGACATTTTGCGAAGATTTTCGGAGCCGGTACGTCTCTCGGAGCGGATGTCACCGTTGGATCGTCCACTCAGCTGCGGGCAAACAGGGCTGTGTCCCGGAATCCTGGATTCTGTCACGCAACACGAGATGGATAAAGGGACAGCCTGCATGCAGCCATCCCAGGCTGTCATTTCCTCCGTTCCGAGTGCTTGGGAAAAAGCAAGGCGGCGTGCGATGGCGAGACTGAGACATAAGACATCTGTGACAGGTTGGGTTGGGCCTACAGTGTCCCGAGTGAGTGGCCTGGGAGTGTGCGTGCATGCGTAATCTGCAGGCTGCTGCTTTCGGCCGAGTAAGAGAAAAAAGAAAAGAAAAAGGAGGCAAGTCTTGTTTGTTCTGATTAAATACCTGTACAGAGTATCCGTATTATTCCGCTAAAAAATAAAGCCACAACCTAACCACAGATGTCGTGACACCTCGACACCGTACCGTACCGTACCGTACCGTACTGTACCGTAGTCCGGACAGGTTGCATGCATACAGCGAGTGAAACCTGACACTGCCTCTTTGTCTCTTTGCCTCTTTGCTCTTTACTCTGCGGCGGTCTCGTCCGCACTCGAGTAGAAGTTGCTCGTCGCCCAGCCATTAAGCACGTTGTAATGCTCCAGCGGTGACGTCCCGGACAGTTGCTCGTAGTGCACTCTCGTCTCACCGCAAAATTGCGTATTGTTGTACACCTCCAGGCACTTGTTCTGCATCACCGACGCGATCTGGAATCCGGCCTCTCGGCCCTCGAACCAGGCCCCGTGCAGGAACCCAAAGTACTCGGCACTCGTGGCCTCGCCGGCAAACCAGAGACGGCCCGTGTTGGCGCGCAGGTTCTGGTGCATCTCCAAAGTCGTGCCGGCCGGCCAGTTGGAGTAGCTTCCGTAGGCCCACGGTGTCTTGGTCCAACGCGGGTACATGAAGGCCGTCGGCTCCGGGATGCTCACGTTGGGATACATGGCTCGCAGAACTTCCATGACTTCGGCCTGGGTCTGCTCGTCCGTCTGCTGCTCGACGCGGTACGAGCCGTCGGCGACGACGGTGACGAAGATGATGTTGGACCCTGGCATGAAGCCTTCGGTCGACAGAGACTGGAAGACAGGATACCAGCCGCGCCTGTTGGGGGACGCGTACAGGAAGTATTGCGTGTCTTGGGGCCAGAAGGTCTCGTTGAATTGTAAGAATATTTTCGTGTACGTGCCCATGGTGAATTTTTGGATGGAAGTGCGTTTCCACTGCGGCAGCTCGGGCTCAAAGGTTACGGCGTCGTTCTGGAGCACGCCGACGGAAAAGGTGCAGATTGCGTAGGCCGCCGACACGCAGCTGCCGTCGTCACTGTGGATGGTGACACCGTCATCTGAATAGGTAATATTTGTGACGTGATTGTTGAGGCGAAGTCGAGGGTCGTCCTTGCCTAGAAATGCAGCGGCTTCCTGTTTGATAATGTAGTTGTAGCCGCGGGGATCAATGACAAGGTTGTTTTCGTCGCTGAACTGGTTGAAAGATAGATTCGAACCTGCGACACCAAAGATCAAAGACGACTGCTCTGGCGGCGCGGCACTCTCCCAATCTGTCGCAGAATGAGTGTTGGTTAGCGGGCGGACAGGACAGGGCGAGCAAGGGTAGGGCACTGCCATCAGGGCATCTCATCTCATCTTACCCCAGTTCCACCATTCAACAGCCTGCGCAGCCATGTCACTGTGCTTGGGCTTCCATCCCGCCAATGCCATCCCTGTACGAGCCGTCTCATCCTGTAAATTCTCCGCGAGGAGGCGTCCGGCGCGCGCCGAGGCTTTGGCGTAGGCTGTGGCGTATTGCTCATTCAAGTCCATGAAATCAGCAGGCCCGGTTTCGTTATAACTCAGAATGGAGCTGTAGTTGGAATACGTATTTTTGAGCCCGTGCTTCTTGGCCTGCAAGATGAGACGATGCATGTTAGTGATGCGCCCGCTTGTCCTCTCCCACCCCCTGGACAATCTCTGGACAGGTCAACTTACAAGGCTCCAAATGGGGTTCTCTGATGCGACAAGGGTCAGCATCAGCATCTTCGGTAATGAAACCTTTCCTCTCCCCCCCCGCATGGCACGTACCTGGCCCGCCAGGGCGACCAAGGCCCTGGATCTACACAGCTGAGTGTCAGTTCAGTAACTACCTACCAGCGACGGCCCGTGCCGAGCATCCATCCCAACTCACCCAATTGGCACCCAGCTCAACAACATAGGGCGAGCCGTCTTCCTGCTTGCCAAAGTCTGCATGTCGTGCTCGACCACCGAGTCCATCATTGTACTCGAGAATCATGAAGTCCGTTATCGAATTGTTCGTGAGGGCTTGCTGTATTGTGTTGTCCTGTTAGCGGGCGCATCCGCTGCAGGATACCTGTGTACCCAGGTACGGATAGTAGTTAGAGTGCCACCTACAGCGGCCGCAACTCCAGCCATGCCGCCACCGCTAAAAATCATCCCGTCAGTGGCCGCTTCCAGCATCTTCAGGTCAGAGACAGGAGGGCTCTCACAGAATGGCGACAGTGGTTCTTGTGCATGATCCATCAGTGGAATTCCTCGCCACAAGCCCGACAGCAGGGGCCGCGAGGCTGGCCACAGCAATAGCCGTAGCGATATGACCAAGAGTGGGCATTCTGGGGAAATATCTGCAGATATTTGCAAATATTTGTTTTGCTTTGTTCGATCTCGTCTTGGTCGGTCGTCGTCGTCAAGAAATGGCGTTACTCCCCACCACTTCATATACTCGTCCGCTCAGCGAGCCTCCTTCCCCTTGATAACGGCGCCCGCGGGCTGTCCTGAAGCCTCAGGGCGTCGATAGATTGACCGCTCCAATTCCGTCCGCGGATCCCGTTGTTCGATAGCGCCCAGCTGGAGGCGGGGGGGATGCAGATGTACGGGCGCACCAGCTCGAGATGATGATGATCCGCGATTAATTGCAGGCGGGGAGCAGCACGCCGTTTTATATCACACGAGTTCAGTTCACAACTGTCCGAGACAACGAGGTCAGCGAATACGATGCTAGCTGAAATTGCTGAAAACAGGAGTCGAGGAGCTGAAATGCGACGCGGTCTCAGTCCTCAACACGTACAGATTCGATGAACGAGCTTCAACCCGACCAAGATGATCGCGGGATCTGCGCCCCGTCAATTCAAGCTTGGCGGCACGCATTAGACTCATTAGACTAGACGGGGCACTTGTAGTGTAAGGCGCTGATGGGCTACCTGCCCCATTCGGACCAAATCATCGGATTTCGGCGAGGGTTCAATGGGAAGGCGCATCCTTAGTCCTTACAAGCATCATCTTGGCTTATCGCTACGACTTGGTAGGTAGGAACCGCCAGTGTTGAATGTTCACCGCACCACTTACCATATCTCTCACCATATCACTCACTAACAAAGTGCAGCCTTGCATTCCGACGGGTCCCAGTCCGTCCTGCCGATTATTACGCCGCCTGCGTCGCCGATCTGTACACCCACCATGCCTGTCAGAGCAGGCTACCAATAATTGCTGGTGGCTGTCATCATATGTAACCCAACCCTTCCTCGCCAGTCGGCTTTCCCTTCTTAATTTCTGCCTTTTAACTCCGAACACAACACAAACATCCTTACTTTATTGACCAGAAACATCATGCCCAAATCGAGCATGCAACAAGATGACGCCCAGCTGGCCGCCCTGGGCCACAAGGCGGAGCTGAACCGAAACTTCTCCATGCTGTAATAATCCCATCCCCCCCTGACCGACTGCTGGCCCTTGCCGTTTTAGGAGTCTCGGAAAGAAAGCTGACCTGGTTGTTGATTAGTTCCATGCTTGGACTGGCCTTTGCCGTGCTAAATGTGAGTTTCCGTACTTTTATGCCAAGACTATGCGATAGGCCGAATTGGGGAAGCTTGTTTGATCATCAATACGACGAACCTTTTCTTGACTGACTTGGCACAAACTCGACTAGTCTTGGACTGCACTATCTGCGAGTCTCAGCGTGAGCTTGTCCTCTGGCGGCAGCACCAGCATCGTCTGGGGTGAGCCACCCACACACACACCAAGACAGGCCAGCCAACCTTTACGAATCATCCAGACTAACAATCTGAAATCTTCAAGGCCTGGTAACTGCGGGGATATGCAACCTCTGTATCGCGACATCGTTGGCGGAGTTCCTATCTGCATATCCAACGTACGTGGCCTTGATGCATCTCGGGAATGTACTTCCCCGGCTCACTGCATGTATGTCTAGGGCTGGCGGTCAATACCACTGGGTTGCAGGCAAGTTCACCTCCCGGCCTCCGAGTACAGCCTCAACTGACACATGCATTAGCGAGTATGAATAATTCGTATTTCCTCTATATCTCATGTCCGTGGCTAATAACAGATATAGTCTCCTGGCCACAATGGGTGCCCATCCTGTCGTGGGTGACTGGCTGGGTGAATGTCGTCGGCTGGGTAGGAAGCGCGCCGCTGCCCTTTACCGAGAAATTGAGACAACTCATTGACCGTTGTCGCCCCAGGTTGCTCTCGTCGCCACCAATGCGCTGCTCTCCAGCCAGTTGACCCCCCCTGGATAATTGCACGTTTGCCTGACTTGGACGGCACAGGGATACCAAGTCGCGAATTGGCAGCAGTTCCTCATCTACATTGGCTTCACGCTCATCGCGTTCCTCCTTAATGCGTTTATGAACTCTGTCCTGCCCAGGATTTACAAGGGAGCGCTCTTCTGGTCACTGGGAGGATTCGCCATCGTGTCCATCACAGCCCTGGCTTGCGCATCGCCCAATTACAATTCCGGCAAATTTGTCTTTACAGAATTCATCAACCAGACTGGATGGCCTGATGGCGTCGCTTGGCTTCTTGGAGTAAGCGCTGGAATAGCATGAGATAGATGCGTTGTCCCTGGACACCACTGACGAATTCTCCAGCTTCTTCAGGGCGGGCTCGGCCTCACAGCTTTTGTAAGTTCAGAAATGATGAGTCCAAACAGGCTTGTAAAATCTGACTATTTGTTCACTAGGATTCTGTTGCGCACATGATTGAGGGTGCGTATTGTTGCATCGACCTGACTGCCCTCCTGGCCACTGACTCATAAATCCAGAAATCCCGCAGCCGTCGAAAAAAGGACCCAAGATCATGGTCGGCTGCATCGGCATCGGCATCTTCACCGGCTTCGTCTTCCTCGTTGTCATGCTCTTCGTCGCCGGCGACATCCAGCAAGTCATCACCTCCGGCGCCGGGCCCCTTCTTCAGATCCTCATCAACGCCACCAGCAACACCGCCGGCGCCATCTGCCTGCTCATGTTTCCGCTCGTGTGCCTGGCCTTTGCCACCATATCCGTCATGACGACGAGCAGCCGGATGATATTCGCGTTTGCGCGCGACGGCGGCCTCCCCGCCTCCAAGTTCCTGGCCCGGGTGCACCCCCAGCTGGGCCTGCCCCTCAACGCGCTGGTGCTCACCTCCGTTGTCGTCATAATCTTCGGCCTCATCAACATTGCCTCGACAAAGTGAGGACGTCCCGTTCTCAAATCGCAAGCACGCTAACTGACGGTCAACTCTAGTGCCTTCAACGCCATCATCTCCGCCGCCGTCGTCACCTTGGATCTCTCGTACGCCATGCCCATCGCCGTCAATTGCCTGCAGGGACGCAACACCTTGCCCGATCGCGACTGGAAGCTGCCGACGTGGCTTGGATGGACCTGCGACGTCATCGCGCTGTCGTACATTGCCATCACCACTGTCCTCTTCGTATTCCCGCCGGAACGACACGTCACTGGCAGCAACATGAGTATGTGCATCCTGATCCCAGGCTGAACCAGTGCTGACGCGGCTCCAGACTATTGCATCGTAGCGTTTGCCATTATCCTGGCCATCTCGGTCTTCCAGTGGATTGTCGATGGGCGCAAGAACTACGCCGGGCCACGGATCGACGTTGCCGTGGCGGGCATGCCTATAGTTTCCAAGGAGGAGGAGGAGACTGCGCATGCGGTGGAGAACAAGCCTTGAGGGAAGAGTACCCGTCATTCATTTTCTTGCTACAGTCAAGCGATCGCTGAAATGCTGAAATGAATCTATATTTTGATCTCAGATCCATGGGGGTATGTACCATAGCAGAGGCTTGCAAACTGGCATGCCTGCCTAGAACCTCTATTTCGAAATGATTATAAATGGTAGCGGCGCCACTCGTACCATTCGTAGCGCCCGACTTTGCGACGGCGCGCATGCCTGTTCTACGACAGGTGGCATCCGTCTTGTTTTCAGGGGTTGAATTATTTTGTTGTCGTTAAAATCTGATAACCTGTTAGTTAAAGCCACCCGAAGGAGTTCCAAGACTTGCCTTATTTCATAGGAGCCCGCCCGCGTCATGTACCGCACCCACTTGACGCTGGAATAGTTGCTCTTCTCAAACACCTTCAGGTACCGCACCAGTAGCCCCGAGCTCGTAAACATGAGCAGGCTGAAATTCAGACTCAGCGGCGGCCGGCTCCACGCGCGCTGGTTCGTCATGCTCGTCAGCTGGGCCTCGGCGCTCAGCACGTACTCGCTCTGCCCCGTGAAGCGCGCAATCTTCCAGACGATGCAGTTCTCGCTGGGCTCGTACCTGGCCTTGCCCTGGGTGCAGCGCTCCACGATCTTGGCCGTGTTGAGCGGCGTCGGGATGCGCACCACGACGTTGGTGGCGAACAGCTTGGGGCCAAAGTTGGCCCGTACGCCGATGCTGTACTCCACCTTGGACCGCCCGACCTCGTTGACGATGGCGTGCACCTTGAACGGTAGGTTGACGTTCTCCGTCGCGCGGTACCGCATCAGCTCGAACTCGCCGTCGGGCGGCACGAAGCTGATGATGCGGTCGCTGTCGAACTTGCCGAGGCGCACGCACTGGTGGAACTGGCAGTCTTCCAGGGTCACGCTGCCCGCGGCGGCCTTGGTCGCCTTGGAGCCGAGCTTGTTGCCGCTTTGCAGCGAATTGAGCCCGTCGTTGTCGAGGAGCAGCCGGTCGTTGAGGCCGAACTTGCACTCGGGCGTGCCGGAGAGGTACGCCCGCATGACGATCTGGCCGGTGACGTCGGCGCGTAGGACCGCGCCGGTCGCCGACATGAGCAGGTTGACGTCTTCGATGACGTCGACGAATGCTTCGTTTTTTCGGTACTTGACGTCCGCCTTGCGCCAGGACAAGGCGCCCGTGGCCTGCATCGTGATCTTGGAGGTGTCTTCTGGTCGCGCCTCGGACTTGACGCCTTCCGTGGTGATGTACATCTTCAACGTGTCCGTTTCGGTGTTTTGAGGGTATCCAAAGTCGATAATTTCTACAAAAAGTCAGCTGAAACGAACAATGTCACGCCCGATGCCGCTCGTTTCTTACCATCTAGCAATTCGTAAACCAAGACAAAGTTGTTCTTGACGGCCTCCTCGTCAAACTTGCCAAAGTAGCCCTTGCCTAGCTGTATGAGGCGGTACAGGAACTCAAACACCAGCGCCGCGTTGGCATTGCTCTTCGTTATCGCGACGAGGTAGATGTTCTCGTGCTTGACGTGGCTGAAGGTGGTGCTGCCGAGCGTCAGGATGGGAGACCGGACCTGCGCGTTGGAGATGACCTGGATGCGGAAGACGTCGGCGAGTCGCGGGCGGCAGTCATTGCGGAAGGCGCGAAAGATGAGGTTCTCGCCTTTTTGATTGAATATCAGCACGCCGGAAAGCATATTGGCGACGTCCCGTGTTGCTGTGATTTGTCGTTGACGGGATCGCGGTGACGAGTCCTTCCCTGAGGGGCATTCAGGGACGGCTTTCTGCCGCGGCCCTTGTCTGGTGACTAAGGCGGTGAAGATGTTGGTTCATCCACAGCAGGCGCTTCAGGGCTCTGCAGCGCTAAATGCCCTGGAGTGACCGCTACAAATCCCGCCGGGGCAAGCGCTAAATGGGAGCTCGATAGAGTGCACTGCCACCACTAGGCATGGAAGCAAGCTGTGTGCCTTGATATAGCTTCACAACAAAGCACAGCAGCACGTTTGCCATTGCCACCCTCCTCGCCATTCACTCCCAGGCGCGATGGCTTCGCTCTTTCCTGCGTCCTTTGTTGACCCTTGGAGAGACCTCATTGGGGCGCACGAAAAGGAGCAAGCCAATGACTTTCCGTCTTACAGCTCAACCGCGCTGGAGCCCCTCATCACCACAAGCACCCCGACAGAGCTCTTCGTCGGAACAGGCCACACCATCTACGAGCGCGCTCTCCTGCCCGCCATCCGCAACGCCAAGCGCTCAGTCCATCTGGTCACCTGCTTCTGGGCCGACTCGCCCACGGCAAACTCGATCCGCGCGACCCTCTTTGAGCTGGCCGCGTCCCGTGCCAGCCAGAGTGACCTGCCAACGCTCCACATCACCATCGGCTTCTCGTCTCGCGGACTGTTCCAAAAGCTATTCCACACCTCTTCGAGAGATGGCCACGTATATCCGCCGTCCGAGTGGAAGGCGCTGAAGCTGCCAGACCAGCAGACGTTAAGAAGCGGGTCGATCGAATTGACTGTCAAGACGCTCTTTTTCTCGCCCATCAGCGTGATGCACCCCAAGTATCTCATTGTCGACGATACCGTGGCCTGGGTTCCTAGCTGTAATATCAGCTGGGAGAAGTGGTTCGAAGGATGTGTTGAGCTGCGTGGCGGCGCAGTAAATTCTCTCCTATCCTTCCATGAGCGCGTCTGGGGATTGGGGACAAGCCAGGGTGCAACGGCCTTTAGCGATGACGCGCAGCCAATTGACGACCCAGCGGAGCAACCAACAGACAGCTCTCTTACTGGAAATACGAATGCATCCCGCATTGGCTCTGCTGATGACTTGTCTCCGACTCAGTCAGTGAAGCTTGCGCTGGGGTCGACTCCTACGATTCTTCTTCCATCATCCCATCATCGAAATCCCGGCTTCAGTTGGATCCCATTTCTGAGGAAACCGAACCCACCAATGACGCCCCTGAACGCTGCGCTTCTGACCTTGTTCGCCAACGCGCAGACAAGCATTGTGCTAGTGACCCCAAACGTCACGGCCAAGCCGGTGATCAACGCAATACTGGCCGCGCTCGTTCGCGGTGTGTCTGTCGAAATCAGGACGAACGAATCCATGATGCTCATCGAGCAGCTCATCACATGCGGAACCACCACCAGTCGCTGCATGAACAAGCTGATGAAGGAATACTCGCGACTGGCCCTCGCACACGCCCGTCGCGCCCAGTCCGACCTCGAGGCCCAGCCCCATCCTCTTGGACAGCTACAAATATTCTACTATCAACACCGCTGGGAAAGAGAGGGCGAGGCAGACGAGCCGGTCGTCAGCCATTTCAAGATGACAATGGTGGACGACAGATACCTCGTGCTGGGCTCGGGCAACATGGATAGGGCAAGCTGGTGGACGAGCCAAGAGCTAGGGATACTGTTTTATGTTCCTGGGTTCAGCGAGAAGGTACTTTGGGAGAGGGCTTTGCGTTGCCGCGGGCGGCGCGCATTCCCACCAGCATAATAAATGGACCGCGAGGTGTTGGCGCGGAAGCTACGTGGCGGCTGCTGCATCGCTAGTCAATGGTTTGCAGGTATACGTTCCGCGAGCGTCTTCGGAACAACCTGTTTCTTGATCAAACTCTAGCTATCAAGCAATTTCACAAAGAAACGAATCTATTTACAAGATCCACCAACCCCATCGTGCACCCGTGTTCTCCTCACGCACACAGACAAAATCTTAGAAGAAGACGTGCGCGATGCGTCTCCACCTAGGCCAAGAAGCAACTTGGGCGCGGTGGGCGTTGATTTCCTCCCAGTCAAGTTCGCGTCGACCGGTATCGACGTCGATCTGAGACAGCCTGAGGAAGCCCTGGCGTTTCCAGAGATATCCAACGGCCCAGAAGAAGAGAATGACCGGCGCGGCCAGGTATGACTGGAAGAAGGACTTGGCCGTGCCGAGGCCGGTCTCGCCGATCGGGGCAGCGACCGCGGTGTAGAACTGGACTTCTGTTAGTACGCTCTTCTCACAATTGTTTCATGAAATGCAGAGTCATACCTGAGCCATGAGCACGACGATGTTCAGGAAGAGTCCGAGATACGAGCCCCAGATGCCGCAGGCGGCGCGGAAGGGGATCTCGTCGACTGTGTGGCCCTGGTACTTCCACGCGTGGCGGAAGCGGATGTGGGCGAGGCAGACGGACCCCCAGGTGAAGAGGGCGGCGAGGCCGGAGATGGCCTGCAGCCAGGAGAAGACGACCGGGCCGGTGGCGTCGAGGCTGACATACGCGATGCCGCCGCAGAGGATGATGAGGATGACGGAGAAGAGCGGGCGGCCGGACTTGTCAATGTAGGTGAAGAGCCGCGGGGCGTAGCCCTGCTGGGCCATGGCGGTCAGGGTGCGCGAGCCGCCGTAGACGCTCGACACGCTGATGGAGAGCACCGAGATGAGAATGGTGACGTTCATGAAGCTGTCGAAGCCCTTGAGGCCGGCGTACTTGCCGACGAGGACAAAGGGCGAGGCGTGCGGGTCGTCGTAGGCGCCGGCGTTGAGCAGCTCCTTGTCGTTGTATGGGATCAGCAGGCCAACGAAGAAGAGGCCGAGGATGTAGAAGAGGGTGATGCGCCAGAAGACCTGCTTGATGGCGCTGGGCAGCGCCTTGAGCGGGTTCTTGGCCTCGGCGGCGGCCAGGCCGACGAGCTCGGTGCCGGAGAAGGAGAAGGCAGCGGTGACGAAGACGGAGCAGAAGCCCTTGAAGCCGTTGGCGAAGGCGCCCGGGTCGTACCACAGGCTGGCGCCGATGTAGTGGTTGTAGCGGCCGTCCGAGGGCCCGCCGCCGAGCACGAGGACCAGCGCGATGATCATGAAGATGACGGTGGCGGTGAGCTTGAAGAGTGCGGAGAAGTACTCCTCCTCCGCGTAGCCGATGGCACCGAAGACGTTGACGATGACGATGACGACGAGGAAGACGGTGATCCACACGGCGATGTTGATGTCCTGGTTCCAGTACTGGATGGTGATGCCGCAGATGGTGAGCTCCAGCGGGAGCACCGACGCCCACTGGAAGACGTAGTTCCAGCCCATGGCGAAGCCCCAGGACGGGTCGATGAATCGGGCGGAGTAGACGTAGAAGCTACCGGACACGGGATACATGACGGCCAGCTCGCCGAGGGCATGCACTGGGAAGGTGTTAGTGAGGCAGGATGAAGCGTGAAGTAGAGCTTTGCTTGCCGACGTTGAACATCATGACACCAATGATTAAAAAGTCGATAAATAGCGAACCAGGGCCCTAATCCAAAGTCAGCTTTTTTTTTTTTTTTTCGTTTTATTCGGATTCATAGATGATGCGCTTACACCGTTGGAGAGGGCACTGCCGGAACCAACAAAGAAGCCGGCACCGATGGAGCCGCCGATGGCAATCATGTTCAGATGGCGCTGCTTCATAGGCCGCTCCAGCTCGACGAGGCCGGGGCCGTAGTGAGCGCACTTGAAAGACTCAACGTTCAGGCCGGTCCTGGTCATGAAGTCCGGGTGAGGCTGCACGGAGGCGACCTGGTTGAGGACGGCGCTGTGGCCGTGACCCTCGGTCACGACCTGGCCCTTTTCCGCAGAGCCTGCATCCTCTTCTTTCCACGTCATGGTCTCTTTTCTTTTTCTTTGTTGTGCTTGCCGATATTGCTAGAGAGAAAGGAATTACCGCAGATGCAAAAATTCAAGATTTGGATCGGGTTGTTTGTCGGAGGAAGCAAACAGGCGTTGCACATGCAAAACACACAAAGATCCTGTGCCAGCTTGCGGAGAGGCTTACGCAGGGTTCACCGGACAAAGATAGGGGAGAAGGAGGGGGGCAAGGTACTTTTATCTAGACTTGGTCTTCTAGAAGCTTGATGGCGAGGATCCCTACATTGTGCTTGCATGGGCCGGATAAGAAAGAAGGGTGCGCCACCGCGCAAGTGGCTCCTAAACGACCGGACCTAATAAACGACTCGCGCGGCATTGTGTATGTATGTATGTAGTAGTTGATAAGTTGTATGGTGTTGGAGACGAAAGGGAGGCAAACTACTAAGCTAAAAGCGAGCAGGACGCCCAGCGCCACGCACCAGCGAACCAAGGCAGCTAGGCCCCGTGGCTTGCTTCAACTGGGGAGGTGGCCTCCGGGTGCATTCACGGAAATTGACATCTATCTTTGGATCCTTGGCGATGGCTTTTCGCCTTCGGGGCCGATGTCTGTTCACCGCCGACAGAATCGAGACAGAACAGATAGATGGTTTACCACGACCTGGTCCACAGATCCAGATGCAGAAGGAACGAGAATCAACGGCCGCCCGCAGAGTCGCCTGGTTGCGACCCCAGCTACCCCACGTCGCCCGCTGAGAAACTTGGGGGAAGCAAAAAGGGAAGAAGGAGGAAGTAGTCCGCCGTAGCGACCGGCCCATGCGGAGGAAAGGGAAAAAGGGTACCCACGCCGATCCCATGGGGGCCCCCCCCCCCCTCGACACCGGCCTAGCCGCTCAGTGGTGCCCGCTCCGGGAAGGCTGTGGAGAGGGAGGTGCGCCACGCGGCATCATTCATCCGAGAAGGAACTGGCCGGGCGATGGGCTTGTCAGGCTGGCTAGCTGGGCTGGCAGAGCTAAACCACGTTGCGGCAAGGCGTGGTGAGCATGATGCCGAGTTACCCCAAGTTCAGTGGTGTACTCCGTGGTACTCCGCAGGCCGTCATCAACATGCTAATTTACAATGTCCATGCCGCTGCCCCCATGTCAGTGTCTAGAAAATGCCCGGGTAAGGAAGGGCTTGGTGAGGCGGGCACAACAAGTTCCTCGCAGATGCACGCACGTCTGCCTTCCTAGTGGACCGGGGAGACGAGGGCCGTGGCGGGATGATGCCTGTCTGTATGCAGGAGTTGATTGCCCACGGCGCGCGTGTGGACTCGTGAGATTGCGACAAACGTGGTCGTTGCGTCATGCGAGTTGTGCTGGTCCGCGGGAGGCGGGCGAGAAGAAACTTAATTTTACACTCTGTCTAGATAAACTTGATTCTTATCGGGCCATCGCCGTAACAGGAAGTCCCTCGTTCGCCACTGGTGACAGCCAGCATGTGAGGGCACATGCGAGGCACTCTATTGATTAGTTCGCCACTGGTGACAGCCCAGTATGTGAGGCACATGTGAGGCACTCTATTAATTAGTTCGCCAGCTAGCGAAACCAACTAACTATACGGAGACTTACAAAAGGCCGTAGGGATGGATGCAGCTATATTCCGCAGCTTGCTAGTCTACTGTAGCGCCAACAACGTCCGCAATCAGGCTGAGGATACCATCCAGCTAGCCCGTTCCATCTATGTAGGTTCATCAACAAGAACACCGAAGCTATGCATTGGCCTCTCTGCACTGCTGCAGCGTCTTCTTCTGCTTGCCGTTTTCGTCGAAATTGCCCTCGTCCAGCCAGGCCTCAAAGCCAGCCTCGATCGCCGGCCACTCGTCGTCCGTGATGCTGAACCACGCCGTGTCGCGCCTCCTCCCCTTGACAATCATGTGTTTCCTTCCCTCGTCAGCGAGACCTTTTGCGCATGTTCTGTCGCCCAAACTTTGCCCTTACCGAAAGATGCCCTCAAACGTGAACCCCAGACGCGACGCCGCGGCCAGGCTCGGCGCGTTGAGCCGGTTCGCCTTCCACTCCACCCTCTGACACCCCATGTCCTCGACCGCGTGCCGGAGGAACAGGTAGAACGCCTCCGTCGCCTGCCGCGACTTGACGAGCGCGCCGCCCAGGATGACGCTGCCGATCTCGACGCGGCGGTGGTCCGGCACGGCGGCCATCAAGGACATCATCCCGACGGGCTCCGAGGCCGGGTCTGAGAGCGGTCCGGAATACACGGCGTAGAAGAAGGGGTCCTGCTGCGCGGACCATGCCGCGATGGACTGCGCGCACGACTCGGCGGTGGGAAAGCCGCTGGTCATCATGTACGTCCAGCGCCAGAAGTTGTCCTCCCCGCCGAGGTGCTTGTAGAGGCTCGGCGCGTGGGAGGGATCGAGTCGTCGCAGGCCGGTGTACCGTCCGCAAAGGTCGACTCCGGTCGGCAGTTGCGCGCGTTTGGTGGAAACGAGCTCCCCGACCGGTTGTTCCATTTTGTTGATGATGTGTAGAAACTATGCATCTCTGGCACTGTAGGCAGCACCCGTCAACCAAGATAGCTTCCCCGTTCGACTCATAATGACTCAAAATATACATACACAATTATCACTCAATTTTTTCATGGCAGAACTAGTGTTAATTCTGTACTATTTGTTTTTGATGGAAATTCGGACAAGACTTGCCTGTCTGCTTGTCTGTGCCGTCCTGGCTGTACTCAACCTTGTTGGCTCAGCTGTAGGGTAGGAGAGACGAGCAGCTTATTACAGGGGGCCCCCCCGGACGCCCCGGACGCCCCGGACGCCCTGGCCCACGGGTACCCCGGATTTTGAAGACACCGTTACGCAGACCGGCTCTACCCAGTGCAAAAAGAGTCATGTCATGGCCCAAACTTTTCGGGACGATTCATCCACTTTTGCAGGGCAAGATCGCGCCCGGAGTTTAAGATGATCCAGTCGGAGAATTCCTTCGTAATCGCTCCGCGGGAGAATGCCCAAGTGACATCACCGGTAGAGCCACCAATGTAGATGCGTTGAGGTGCGGGAGTTGAACTCTAATAACTGATATAGCCTAAAGTAAACGACATATGACATCCGAGGGGAACGGGTAGATGAGCCAATCATGCATCGCAGTTCAGGCGGGGTGCGGTCTTTGATGAGGTGAACTCGCCCTGTCAAGCCGTGAATAAAGAGGACGTGGCCGCGCAGCGCATCAAGTGGTTATTCACGAACCAGAACAATTCAACAACACTCCAAGAAACAAAAACACACACCGAAAATGCCCTACTACGAAGTCAGCCACTCCTACCCCCTAACCGGTGCCCAGAAGCAAGATCTGGCCCGCGCCCTCACCCACAGCCACATCAAGGCCTTCAACACGCCGTCCATGTTCGTCAACGTGCGCTTCATCAAGGAGGACCCCTCGCAGGAGAACATCTTCGTCGGCGGCGAGCTCGAGAACAAGACGTACAACGGCATCGTCGGGTACGTGCGCACCTCTGCGGCGCGGACCAAGGCCGACTTTGACCGGCTCGCCGCGGAGTTTGAGGAGGCGTGGTACGCCGTCGTCGGCAGCGGGACGGCCGACAAGGGCAAGCACCCGTACCTGACGCAGGATGCCGAGGTCAGGCTGCACGTCATCGGGCTGCTGCCGATCGTGACGGCGCGCGAGGCCGGCTTCGACATCCCCGTGGCGGGCGAGGAGGCGCCGTGGGTGCGCGAGAAGCTCCCGGCGTTCAAGGAGCTGGCCGAGGACGGACACCCGGGGTTTGTGAAGCTGCTGTCCGAGGTCAAGGCGGTGACGGGCGGTGCAAGCGTTTGACGGGTGGGTTGGTGCAGGAGAGCATCGGAAACGTCCAGATTGTCAATCCAGCATTAGGTAGCCATGGCGCTAATATGCGTTTCGAGTGTCAACCCGCCCACGATTGGTGACTATGGCAGCCGATAGTGAATACGCTGTTGGAGCAAGTGGCGTATGTGAATGAACTGCCAGAATTCCATGAATGTGTAGAAAAAAGGTGAAACCAAAACATAAAGCTGTGTTAATAAAAGATAGACGGCCAAATGGTTGAATTATCATCGCTTTTGGTTGTTCTGATGGAGCTCGACGTTTTGTCGAAGCTTGGACAACTTCACGATATGCCTCAGGAATCAAAGGGCAATTTAGAAGGGTAATCAAGGTCGGATGAAGAAAGTCAAAACGGCAATAACCAGCCTATGCATATCGATTAGTGATTAGTCCAGCCTGCGTTCTACGGCTTGCGCACTAACCCGTAGGTGTGCAACAACTCCGCTTAGTGTTGAAGGCTTCTCGATAATGAATAGCCGAGATGATGTTGGCGCGGTTTCATAGGAAGCCTTAACTGGAGAAATCTCTTCAATGCCACCTGAATCTATCGTGATACGGATATATTGCGAATCCGTTAGCGGCTCGTCGCGGAGAGTTGGCTCTCGATAGCGATGCCAATACTGGATATCGCCGAGGCGCAGGATGCGGGTTTTCAAGGTCGGGGCAATCTGTAAGCTAGTAGCCCGCTTAATGACAGTTAGATACCGCCATAATAAGCTAGGTCCGATGAAACTAGCAATTATTTCTATTAATTCTGGGAACAGGCGCTCTATTATAGGTAGATGTAACTGTTCGCTTAGGAGCAGCAGATCGCCTACTTCACGTCGGCAAGTCAAGTATAGATGATCAGAATGCCTCCATGGGTGCATACTAGTGGATGCTCGCCAGAGCCGATGATATTTGTCGGGAACGGCACATCGTCGCGAAAACAGTTGGAAGCAGTCGTTATGAATCGTCGCTGTCTCGGGCTGCGCAAGGCAATAGCTGCAACTAGGGTACCTGCAAAACTTGACGTCAAGCCGAGCCCCTTGTTCGCAGTAACCATGACTCGTGTATTTCTGCGCATCGTAGCATTTGATGACATCCCCGCGGCAAGTGACTCGAGAAATCGGCTGGTTGGCGGCGTGTATGTAGTGGCATAATCGGAAATGCTTACGCGCGATGAGTTTCTCGCCTGCTTGGAAGGGCTCGTGGCAAGCACCGCATTGCGCTTGGATGTGGACATGAGGTATTTCCGGTACATTCGGTGTTCTGCCAGGCATTTTCAGCTGCTTAATGCGCTGGCGGAAGTTTGCATAACAAATGTATGGCAAAGAAAGGGGAGTTGGATTGACGATTGCGTACCGTACACGCGCTAAAATAGGGTGGTGGTAATGTGGCGCGTGGCTGTGTTGCTGCAAGTGGCTGCAAGAACATTAAAAGAAAATCTATGTATACTGTCCAGGACCGGCCCGCACCAAAGGGAGCCTTGGTATAGTTATCCGGTAACTTACCTGGTACATGAGGATGCCGTCCTGCGTGACGGTTAGTAGTATCTGCCATTGTCTCCCGGATTTAATTTATTATTCTCATGGGCCTTCCCTTGGGCGCCCGCCCTGAGGTCCTCCACCTGCTTCAGGACGTACTGTACGTCCTCTTCGCCCCGCGAGAGATGCTCGTGCAGGCGCTCGGCCAGCACGCCAATCTCCGCGGCGGAGGAGGGCAGCGGCTCATCTGCTGTGTACGTCTACCTCTGCACGATGGTGTCCCCGACTGCTCAACGAATAGACGTGCCGGGTTTTCTGTAGCGCCACTAATTCAGTCCAACCGTTAACTTATGTACGTGGAGAACCATCTTGTTACCAGGTGGTGAAGGTGCCACCAGATACGCACGACGGTCTGTGCACCAACGAGGCTCCTTACTGACCTCTGAGTGTCCCGCAGATCGGGGCAATCTTGCAACCCATCGCCTTGGCATCTCAAACCCTGCGTGACCTATAGGCGAAAAGGGGAAACAAACAAGAGAACTTGCCAATTCTTGCAAAATATTCAATCTCATCGGCCTCGCGAAACCATGTCCGTCAAGGCGCCCGATGACTTGGCCGACGCCGACGCCGTTGCCACCGGTAGCGCAAACGACGCGACCGTTGAGCGCAGAGTCGTCAAGAAGCTGGACCGAAACTTTCTCTTCCTCCTATGGTTTCTCTGTGTGTGACCCTGCAGAAAATAAAACAGCTGCCGCCACTGACATTCTCATCTTGCAGTCCTTCTTGCGTTTCTCGATCGCTCCAACATTGGGTGCGTTTGCTCCTCCACAGCTTCATCAACCCCATGCTAACACACCCCCTCATGAAGCAACGCGCGAGTCGCCGGCATGGACAAGGACCTATCGCTGAGCAGCGACCAGTACCAATGGCTGCTGACCGTCTTCTACATCTTCTACATCCTCGCCGAGCCGCTCACCCTCATGTACAAGGTCGTCTCGCCCCGCGCCTGGGTGCCCGTCCTCGTGCTCGGCTGGGGCGTCGCCGCCACCGCCCAGGCCGCCACCCGCTCCTTTGCGGGGATGATGGTCTGCCGCGCCCTGCTCGCCACCTTTGAGGCCGGGTACGGCCCCGGCACCATCTATCTGCTATCATTCTTCTACCTGCGTCGCGAAATTGGACTGCGCATCGGCATATTCTTCTCCGCCGCGCCGCTGGCCACGTGCTTCGCGGGCGCGCTGGCGTACGCCATCACCTCCGGTCACTCCCGCCTGGCCAACTGGAGGCTGCTGTTCCTAGTGGAGGGGATACCGGTGTTGGTGATGTCTGTGGTGACGTACTTTGCCATGCCGAGCTCCCCGCAGGACGCATGGTTCCTCGACGAGGACGAGAAGAGGGTGGCGCTGGCGCGGGGTGTGCGACAGGCGGGCAAGGAGCCTCGCGTGGGTAGGATTAGCTGGAAGGAGACGTTTTCGACGCTCCTCGATTTGAAGGCGTGGATCACGGCCATCATGTATTTCTCCTGCAACGTTTCCTACGCCTCCCTGCCAGTGTTCCTGCCAACCATCCTCGAGGACTTGGGTAAGTTTGTTCTCAGCAGCTCCCCGCGAGACATGCTTTATGTTAACATGCAGCAGGATACTCTGGACTGAACGCGCAAGGCCTATCCGCCCCGCCGTACTTTATATCCTTCCTTGTCACCATCTGCTCGACCTTCATCGCGGACCGAACCCAGCAGCGGGGCCTGACCGTCATCACGCTGGCGCTCATCGCCAGTGCTGGATACGTCATGCTTGCTGCGGCCAGCACCAACGCTGTGCGTTACGCCGGGGTGTACCTCGCCGCGCTCGGGCTCTTCCCGACCATCGCCAACGTGCTGCCGTGGGTGCTCAGCAACCAGGGCAGCGACGAGCGCCGCGGCGCCGGCATCGTCCTGCTCAACCTGGTCGGGCAGTGCGGGCCGCTGCTGGGCACCCGCCTGTACCCGAAGAGCGAGGCGCCAGACTACACCAAGGGACACGCGATATGCGCGGGGTTCATGGGGTTCACGGCGCTGTTGGCGCTGTGCCTCCGGTGCCTCCTGGTGTGGGAAAATCGCAAGCTGGCGCAGAGGTGTCCGGCGGTGGAGGACGAGGAGGACGTGCAAGGCGAGGAGAACTACGGTCCATCTTTTCGATACGTGCTATAGAATGTCTTTACTAGTACAATAGAACGACATTGCATGAGACGATGAACTTGTCATTCTATCCTCAGAACATCGGTTGCTTCATGCCGCCGCCGGTCCTCGCGGAACTCGGCAGCGGTCGCGTCGGCGGGCACAAAGGCGCCGCTGCCGGCCCATTGGCCGTCAGAGTCTTGGAGCGAGAGGAGGCGGGCGCCCCAGCCCGAGGTCTCGATGAGGGCGCGCTCGGGGGCCCAGTGGGCGGGCGGGAGGGAGAGGAGGTCGCGCATGACCTGCCACCGGATGGAAGGGTCGGAGTCGAGCAGCCACTGTATCACGGGGGTTTGTTCCATCGTCGCGTGTATGAGAGGGTTGTGCGTGGGAAATGAGGTTGCGGGCACAACCCGGTGACAATGTCTTCAGGACTAAGCCTCGAGTTCCTAAGTAACGGGGGGGAGGCGCCGTTAAAATAGATCTTTTAGTACAGCAGCAAGTGCGCCACGACGCGGACAAGGTTTTGGGGTTAGATTCCATGACACATCGCCAGACTGGTGTAAATGAGTAAGCCAAATACAAAGTTCAATCCTGTTTTATTGTCCAACTTGGCTGCGACAGAGATTTGCGCCGCCGCCAAGACCAGAGTAAAGATGAGGCTATCACGTACAATCCGCCCAGTTGCCCCGGTCATCAAGCTGGTCATCAAGCACACACTACGATTGCATGATGAATAAGTCATGTAATAATGAGTACACACTACTATTGCATGATAAATAAGTGAGGTTAATATTGAGTACTATAGAATGAAGATAAAATGTTTAATACAAAGAATGAATATTTACAACCCCATCACCGCCCCCTCTATTTGACCGCCTCCTGGTCATAGTACAAATCACACGCATGCGGATGCTGCAGACAATACTTTGGCACCACCGGCGTCGCGCCCACACCACTCGCCACCAGATACTCCCTGAAATTCAGGATCCTCTGCGTCAACGCCGTCGTCCTCTTCTTGCCCGTCTTGGGGTCCCGGTTCCCCGACCACACCAGCTCCGCCAGCGCCGCCGCCCGCGGCCACATCTTGCCGCTAATCACCGTGTCGTCCACCTGCTCCGACCACAGCGGCGCCGCCGCCCCGATGATGTGCTTGGCCTGCGCCTCCGTCAGGTTGGCCGCAAAGTCGTAGTCGTAGATGCGCTGCCAGGTCTTGTACGGCGCGCACCAGGAGCCGCCGATGCCGCCGTAGTTGAACGACGGGGTGGCGCCGGTGGGATCCGGGTTTTCTTGGACGTTGTACCGCGGGTCATTGGTCACGTAGCCGCCGAAGCCGCAGTCGAGGTACAAGAAGTCGGCGCTGGACACGATGACGTCGTACCCGGCGTCGACCAGCTTGCGGATGTTGGTCACCCCGTTGTTCCACGACTGCATGATGACGTCCTTGGACACGTTCTTGGCCGCCGCGTCGGGCGACAGCACCACGTCCTCCCACATGACCACCCGGCGGTCCTTCTTGCCGCCCGTGTTCTTCTCGCTGGTGAAGATGGGCATCGCCGTGTCGACCCAGTGCTGGTTGAGGTCGGAATAGGTGCGGCTGGCGTCCGCGGCGAACCACTCGCGGATGGTGCGGCTAAAGTTGAAGCAGCCCGTCTGCAGCTCATCACCGCCGACGTGGAAGAATTCGTCCGGGAAGCGCTTCGACAGCTCCGCGTACACCTTCTCCACCGTCTTGTACGTGTTGGGGTTGAGCACGTCCAGCTGGCCCGGGTTGGGCTGCACAGCTGTGTGCAGCGGCCAGTTGTCGTTGGACCACCAGCTGTTCTGGCAGGTGACGATGTCCTTGTCGTGCTGCTGCCAGCCGGACGACGAGTGGCCCGGCATGTCAATCTCCGGCATCACGCGCACGCCGCGCGCGCGCGCGTACGCAATCACGTCGGCCACGTCATTCGCAGAATACGTCTCGCGCTCCGAGTAGGCGTCCTTGGTGAACTCGGGGAAGGCGTCGAGGCGCATGGGCCAGGACTGGTCGTCGGTGATGTGCCAGTGCAGGATGTTCATCTTGGACAGCGCCAGGCCGTCAATCTGCTCGCGCAGCTTGCCGACCGAGATGAAGTTGCGGCCCGTGTCCACCATGACGCCGCGGTACGGGTAGTTGGGGTGGTCCTTGACGCTGACGGGCTGCTCGACGACGAGCCCGCCGCGGCCGTCCGAGATGACCATCTGCTGCAGCGTGGTGAAGGCGTGCAGCGCGCCCCAGGCCGTCTTGGCGGTGACCTGCACCTGCGAGGACGACGCGGTGATGTCGAGCGTGTAGCTCTCGTCCACGCCGTGCTTGAGGTCCGCGGTCCAGTCGGCGACCTTGAGGCTGACCTCATTGAGCCAGCGCGAGCCCGAGGAAGCATCGGCGGCGGCGGCGGCCCGCTTAGCATTGCTGCTGGCGTTGCCGTGGCCGGGGAAGGGCTCGAAGACGGGGATGGGCTTCTCGACGGCCTGGGGCACCCAGCGGATGGTGGTGATGGCCTTGAAGGCGCGGTTCCAGGCGTCGTTGACGATGCGCACGTTGTCGTGAGTGCCCCAGTTGGCGTTGACCGTCTGCAGCGACAGGTACCCGACGGGAATGGCGCCGGAGGAGCCCCAGCTGATCTCCTGGGGCGCGGGCAGTGGGTTCACCTGGACCGTGGTGGTGCAGTGGCCGGTGGCCGCGGCCAGCAAGACGAGCAGGGCGGAGGGGAGGGAGCGCATCTTGGTGAGGCTGGCGAGGTGCGAGGTAGGATGCGAGGGAAGAGTTCGCGTCAGGGCGTAGGGACCGAGACTGTCTGGAATTCTTGTTTGTTGATCGTCGGGAACTCCCTACCTTTTGTATTCCAACCCTCCAGGGAGTGTGGGGTTGGACGGGAGCACTTACACCCCTGAGGCACTAACCGGCCCTTGCGGTGAACAATATCAAGCTATGTAACTAGGTTAGTTAGCCAGGTATGTAAGTATCTAGTTAGTTAGTTGCGATGGCAGAGAGCTTTGTCGGGTATGGGGGCCTGGAGGCGGGATGGATGGATGGTCAAGTCATCGGTATCCGATGTAACCCTCCTTCAAGCAGATGGCACGGCAGGCAAGACGGTGAAGACTTGTGCCGTCCTCCGCGAGACCAAGTTCGATGAAGCCTGCATGTATCTCCAAGTTGGTGTATGTATCTAAATCTGGTTGGGAATCCGCCCAAGCACAGACACAAGTCAGATTGTAAGCCCAACGGCCGGAGCGCCATCACACGCAACTTTGTGTCACCAACAGTCAGGATAAACTTTTGCATTTGATGACACACTGGTCTCTCTCTCAAACTTGCAGTCAATGGGAGGTTTCTGTCTGTACGGATGAGACTTGGCGCTGCAACGGTGGCGCTGGCCAGGTGAGATTAAAGGACAGCGGCCTGTCTCGGTCAAACATGTCAGTTTGCGCCACCCGAAGCCCTCTGTCAACGGGAATTTACCCCCATGCCAACAAAATAGACCACGATAGGGCCACCGGCTCATAACTAGATGGGGGGGAAAATCGACTCAACTACCTACCCTGCTAGCTCGTCCTTCAACTTCCTTGTCCAGTAAGATGGCCAACACTAATTAAAAGCATTCCCCAAAAACAACCCCGCCGAATGACCGGCCGGCTGAGTGAGTGCTACGTTACGCCCCCAAGCCCTTTGTAATTGGGGGGTCTTCAGCGGGCATCATGTGCAAGCCCATCCAGCGTCGGCTAGATATTCTCTGGCGACGTCACATACATGCTGCATGCGCCACCCGTCCATTATTAAATCAGTTCATTGTGAATTCAGCCAAGGGCGCGCTACTTGCAAGCTCGTAATTGGGGTTGCTGGTGAACCGTGTTTCTGGCTGCTGTTATGCCGACTGATTACAGGCCCTGGGGCTATTAGCTACAGTAGTTAGTGGCTGCCGTTGCGCCGCCTCTACGGTTTATACAGTACTGCGCTAACTTGCATCCCCCCTTTCACCTATCTATATGTTTGCATATTGATTCTTATTTGGCGTTTACCAACTGCCCATTTTCATCGGGCACGTCTTGGCAGCTGACATGCTCGCCTCGTGTTTCGAGCAAATTGGGCGGCTATTGCAGCACTCCCTCCTTGCCATTCACCAACAACTTGATGTTGCCTTGCACCACGCCACCGAAACAGAGTCGCATGCACAAAGCCGCCTTGAAAGACCAATCCAATCACAACCTCAGCTGGGTATCTGCCCCAGAGCAGGGCTTCAGCAGACAATCTAAGAGGATGGCAAGCTGAATGCAGATTACCTAGCAATACTATGACTTCTGCAACCACAACTTACCGGATGCTGCTCCCGCACATGGTAAAATGACCACGACTACTTTATATTAATGAACTACAGTACCCCACGTCTAGTTACTAGGTACAGTACGTACATAGGTAGTTAGTGACAGCATTGGTCGGATAGCCTTGTACCCCGCACTGTGACAGTGCCGTCCCGCCAGCGACCTGCCCATCACTAATAATAAAGAAACTTCACCATCAATTCCCACGAGCTCGGCAACCATGTCCACCACCACGGACCCGAAATGGAACACGACGCCATGGAACACGCCATTTGCCAACATGGCCCGCCAGGCCATCGACAATAACCTGCCCGCCATCAAGAAAATCAACCACCAAGTACCTCCCCCCCGTCCCCATCCCATCCCCTCCTGGGGCCTCCCCCGCTGACAGCCCGCCTCCAGATACACAGCGACCCCGAGCTCGCCTACGAGGAGCACCACGCCCACGACAACTTCGTCTCCCTCCTGAAATCCCTCGACTTCGCCGTCACGCCCTCCGCCCATGGCCTCGCCACCGCCTTCTCCGCCGAGTTTGGCTCCGGCGGCCGCCTTGTCGTCTTCAACGCCGAGTACGACGCCCTCCCCTCCATCGGCCACGCCTGCGGGCACAACCTGATCGCCGCCGCCTCGTTCGCCGCCTTCCTCGGCGTCGCCACCGCGCTCAAGGGTGCCGGAATCCCCGGCCGCGTCCGCCTCCTCGGCACCCCGGCCGAGGAGGGCGGCGGCGGCAAGCTCCGCCTCATCGAGGCCGGCGCCTACCGCGGGGCATCCGCGTGCATGATGACCCACCCGGGGCCGCAGTACCTCCTCCGCGAGAACATCACCGGCGTCGCCGATGTCAAAATGCTGGCAAACGTCAAGTGGCGCGTGTCCTTTGCCGGACGCGAAGCCCACGCGGCCATGGAGCCCTGGAACGGCCGCAACGCGCTCGACGCCGTCTGCCTCTCCTACAACGCCATCGCCATGCTGCGGCAGCAGATCCGCCCGCACGAGCGCATCCATGGCGTCATCCGGGACGGCGGCGACCGGCCCAACGTCGTCCCCGGCTCAACCTCCGTCGAGTACTACGGTAAGCCAACCCATTCCCTTTCCCAGTCGGCATGCTAACACGCGCCCCAGTCCGTAGCAACACCCTGGCGGCCGCCAAGCGCCTGTGGGAGCGCGTGCAGCTCTGCTTCGAGGGTGCCGCCACCGCCACCGGCTGCCAGGTCAGCTACGAGCCCATCAACTCGTACGCCGACCTCCGCTCCTCCGCGGTGCTCTGTGACGAGTTTGTCAACAACATGCCAGAGGGAAGCGTCTCTCTCAACGAGCCGGCTGACTTCCTGGCGGGCTCCACCGACATGGGCAACGTCACGTACGAGTGCCCGGGCTTCCACGGCGCCTTCGGCATTGACACGGAGCGCGGGCAGGGAAACCACACCAAGCCGTTCGCCGAGGCCGCCGGGCTGGACAAGTCCCTGGATCGGGCAGTGGAATGGGGCAAGGGCATGGCGCTGGTGGCCCTTCGCGTTCTTCTCGATGACAGTTACAATGATGTTTTGCAAGAGGATTGGAAGGAAGACATGAAGCGCGCGACACAGTAAAATTGTCAAATTTTGTTCCCTAATTGCCATCCCAGAGTATCCGCGATGCTCGCTCGGCAGGCGCTAAAATAGAGTTGAAGAATGAACGGTGATCAGGAAAAATGCTGAGCTATGGCGCCTTCGGTTTTATTCTCCCTCGAGGAGACGCCCTCGCTTGATCGGTTCACTTAGGAACACGTCCACTGGTTCCGGTAGCTCGATCGGAGTAAAGCATGTCGTGGCGTGCCGCAACCAGGCGGCGTAAGTGTTGGGCACGTCGTCACTCCCCGCGTTCTTCTTCCACAAAGCTCCCAGTGTGTCGCCCATCACTCTCAGAATGAGCCCGGTGGCCAGCTTGAAGGCGAAGCTTCTCGTCAGGCATTGCTCCACAATCTCCCTGGCCTCCCTCTGGTCGGCCGTCTCCTCCTGCCCGTCAACGGGGAGGCGCAGGGAAAGCAGCTCAAACTGGCGGCGTCCGTCCCAGCCCGTGAGGCTGTTGATGAGCTGACTGCCTGTCAAAAAATCAATGGCGAAGACGTGTTCCTTGCCGTAGCGTGGCCCGTCCCAGCCAAGCGTTTCGTCAACCGTGCCCATGACCATGTTGATCGTCTGGCCTTGGAAGAGGTAGTCGGTCAACATGCGGCGGCCCTCGTCCAGACTAATAGTCCGGCCATTCTCCGTCCAAGTCAGGGCTACGTTGCCTTCCCCAGCCAACGGCAAGCCCTTGAACAAGGCGCTGTGATGCATACCTGCCGGGCTCGTCCGTCCTCCGTTTTCGCCCCAAAGCTTGATGAGAAATTCATGGCAGCGCTTGAAGAAGACATTGTCGCGCTTGCCAGCCATGAAGTAGTTTGTCACAGTCTGACCCTTGGCCTCGCCAAAGGTAAAGATTTCGTAGGGCGACCCGGCATTGGCAACGGTCTCGTTCCAGAGACGGTCCAGGTCGCCGATGGGCAAGACTCCCGTGTCGGCATAGAGGCCGCCGTAGCGAATAAGGAGGGGGAACCGCACCAGGTCGGAATTTACCTGTGCTGGGTAGTCGCTGCCAATCGTGCCCTCGCGGAACGCCGCAGTAAAGAGGGTTGGATCGGAAACGTCGAGATAGTTGGCAATATTCAGCGGCGAGCCTGGCTCACGGTTTACCACGCGAACTTTCCAGCCAAGCTTGCCGAACCGTCGTTGGTAGGTGCGGACCGTGCGCTGAGCTGTAGGATACATGTTCTCGTAACCATTGTGCCAGTAGAACCATATGTTCTTGTCATCCACGACGGGCTGATGCTGCGTCAAAGCTTGGTCCAGTTCTGCGTCGGCTCGCAGGTCGAGTTGGCTCGCAGGGATAGCGCGGAGGCCCTTGGGAATCTCGTAGCTGTGCTCGGTGCTCATGGCAAACTCGGACAATGAGACTTTGAATGATGGATTTGGTTACTCGGAGATCAAAAGTGTAGTATTGAAGGGAAGAAACGCTGGCCGCGTTTGCATGAGTGATAAGTAGGGGGGTGTTGGAAAGAAATAGACCAACACAGGGACCACTGTCAGGTGTGCAAACGAGCCTGAGCAGGAACGACCACAATGAGAGCCTGGTCTGAGTTGCTGTCCCCACCAACAAACACTAACTGTTGGGCCATTTCGGGCGATGATTCATTCTGAACAAGGTGCTTTGATAAATTAAAAACGAAGAGTGGCTCCAAGTCTCTTAAATCTACTGGCTCAAGTCTCTCTCTAACAGTCTCTGCTCCTGTAGCGATGTCGGGAGTCATCACATCCCCAACACACACGCAGGGCACGCAGGGCGTGGGGGTCAACCAACGAACGGATCAAAGCAGCGGTGTGAATTGCCGCGCGCAAAGGATTAAAACGCCAAAGAATGTGTATAAAGTTCCATGGCTAGGTAAGTTACTGTGATTGATTGCTATTGTGATGCTGGCTGCCTGCTCTTGGCGCTCCTCTTTCTCACAAATAATCCACTCGCCTTTTCCCGAACCGCCCTGACCAACTTGAACGGCAGCAACAAGTAGCCAACCACAATCTGGAATATCCACAGAGAGTCGGCCACCACCTCTTTCAGTGCCCATTCCAGCGGAAACGATCTCCTGGGAGAAGCCTGCACGACCGCGGCCGTTGATCCCGGGAAGTGCGCCGGCCCCTGGCGGCCGTTGGGCTGCACGAGCAGGTGATGGTCTTCGTGCTCGCGCTGTTGCACGCTGTCCTTTGTGAGCTTCTCCCGGATCAGCGAGCGCTCCTCGTCCGGCAACTCGCTCCACCAATTGTCCACCGTCATGAACATGTATTCCTGTATCCGCGACTTGTCCTTGACGAACGCCGGGTGGTGCATGATCGTGAGTACCTGGTCGATGGCCTTGTCCGCGTCCAGTTCGCTGTCGTCCCAACACTTGATAACCTCTTGCGCTGTCCAGTTTGTGGTGACGGTGGCGATGAGGCCCGCTGGCCTGTTAAGGACGTTGCAGAAGTGGTCCTTGGAGAGGTCGGAATGGCTGGGGTCTGAAGCGGAGGAGCCCTCATCGTAGACCGCTGCCGAGCCGGAAGACGCCGCTTCCTTGTCGACCCTAGCTTTGGCCGCGCGTAGGGTTGCCCTCAGCTCCTTGACGGACGATTCAATAACGACGCGCAAGGCCCGGAAGACCAGTTGGTTGGTCAAATCGCTCATGTCGGAGCTGGTATTTTCGGGGAATTCTTGGTCATCGCTCGCAGCTACCTCCTTCAACCACTTCTTCATTCTGTCATGAAAGAAGAACAAGGGCTCGAGAGCCTGCCATACAATAGAAGGGTCAACCTCGTGCTTCGGTTTCTTGGTTTCGGCGGAGGAATTTTCAGAAGAGCTGTCGGCGCCGCTCTCATCATCAGACGTGGTGGGCGAATCAGGCTTGAATTTCTGTAGTATCAAGTGCACCGCTTTTAGTTGACTTAAGAGAGGGTTGTTTTCCGTCGAGAAGGTTTGAATGGAGGCGATGCCTTTCTCTATCGCGTCAAAGAGCTGGTCGAAGGCGGTGGCGCCGTAGCCGAGATGCGTCTGAACTTCATACAGCGACCCTTGGGATTGAAGAATGGCCATATCATCAGCCTCCCCGAGAAGGCTGTGAAAAATATCCAGCATCCCAAACGTGCCCGTGACAAGAGGTGGCACTTTGCGGTCGCTTCGGAAATGCGAGGGGAGAGGGATGCGACAGGCATCACCAACAAAGGCAAAGACGTCCTTCTCCCCAAACTCTTGCAAGCAAAGCTCAATGTAGTTGCTGTGCGCGGCAAAGTCCTCGAGGGTATGGAGTGCGGCCCCGAGGTGGATGAAGGATTCCTTTTGCGCGGCATGGTCGCCGGCCCTACCGCGACGACCGAGGTCGATGGACTTGCGCAGCTGGTCGCGGACATAATCTGCAGAGGTTTCCCACGAGTTGCCCGTGTTTGCGATGTAGTTCTTCATGCCGCTATCGGGGTCAAACTCGAGTTCGACGGGGTCCACGGGCCCTCTTAGGCGGGGGTCGATGCTCTGAGCGTTGCTGCCGTAGCCGCAGGGGTTGTCAATGTGCTCGACGTGTCTGTAGCATCCCAGTCTCTCTCTCGTAACGTCGAACTCATCCGTCGCGTAGCCAAACTCCATCATGGCCAGGATGGAGACAATGGCGCGAAGGATGGACTCTGGGATGTTTTCCAGACATGTCGCGTCGACGACCTGGGAAAAGTCGCGCAGCCAGTTTCCGAAGTATATCTGCCGTCGCTGAAGCTGGGTGAAGCCGGTGTTGGTGATGAAGCTCGAGGGCAGGAAGCGCAGGACCTCTACGATGTCGCCATGGCGCCAGACGAATTCCTTGAAGTTGCTGCCATTGGCCACCGAGCCTGCGCCGAACGCCGAGACACTGGTAGCGAAGCCGAGGACCAGGAACAATAGCAGCGCGGGACGAGCGGCGCTTGGCATATTGGGGTGGGCAGACGCGGCCGCGGTACAAGTTTCGGCGCGTGTAAAATTGGGATGTTGATGGGAGGAAGCGATGAATACTCCAGTTCAAGTCTTGAACAGCGTATTCGTACCTGAATGAAATATTCCGACACGTCCCCACAATAACAGGCCCATGTGCGATCCGTGTCGTCATAAGAGGAGCTCGCTACTGTTGCAGCGGCCCATGTTCAAGCATCAGAAGTAACCTCGGGTTAAAAATTACTCCAGATTAATTACGGGAATTACGTGTGTTAAAGTTGAAGATAGAAAACAAAGCCTAATTCTGACAAGATCTGAGACTTGTAGCGACGTCCCTCCTGGTGGTGGGATCCCCAAAACCCACTGTAACATCTAACGTTAGTTACTTCCTGTGCAAGTATGTTCCTGAATTCTAGTTCTGTCAGACCGCTGCCTGATCCAGAATGTGTTTGTTTTGTCTTCCAATTACATTGAGAATCATCTTATCATTTCCGCACGTGGCCCAGAGCCTAGGAGAATATTCTCCTGGCGCTTTCATTGGCCGCCAATCCGTTCGTGAGCAAGAATGTGCCAGCAGCCGCAAGGCAGAAACCATCACCCAGTCTAGACTTGCAGACTTCCGCCTTGTCCTTGCACATGGACACGGCCGACGGCCCGCATCATGGCTGACCGACACTAAACAACGCGGCATCTCTCTCCCGCGTTGTGTAAACTAATGCATGCTTGTTCCAGCTGGGCGCCTCTCGATTTTGCCCAAAAGTGGCTGAGGCAGCTGCCTGTTCTTTTAAAGGTTCCTTGGCCGTAGATTTAGATGCCTTGTCACGCCTTTGATGTATGTCATTGGCCGGGAAGGCTCCGGGGAGCAAGTGCGTAACCCCAACACATTATCTGGGATATGAGTTAAGTCCCCTGGTGCGAGTGCTGTAAGGGTACTGCCACGAGCTGTGGGAAAGTCGTCTGGCTGGCTAATGCTGCCTCCTAACCGCACAAATGCAAAGTCTACTAGCTTCGGAGCTGTTCGTACATTTCGATGTCTGTATGTTATTATCAACTGCGGAATATCGCCATCACAAACCCCAACTTACACCGCCCGAGTTAATTGAGGCGCGGCGCAGCCTCACGCAAATGTGCCCAATTTGGTTGCGAGGCCCGCCAGCTGAAGAGGCGACGATTCGACTGCAAGCCACTTTACTTGTAGACGCGTGTATAAAAAGCGCCCAGCCTGCCATGAAGAAGTAACGAATAAACCCACTCTCTGTATTTCTCATCATCTCCCTTCGCTTTTTTTTACACACAACCTCTACAAGATGCAAATCCCCGTCATCCTCACCGCCCTGCTTGGACTGGCCGCCGCGAGCCCGGCGCAGGAGCTGCCCAGCGTCGAGAAGCGCTGCACCGCCGTGGGTCAGAACTGCGGCCAAGCGCAGGTGTGCTGCCCTGGGTCGGCCTGCAGCTACCAAAACTACCGGTGCACCGCGTACGGGACCGCCGGGCAGTACTGCGGCAACGCGGTGCCCTGCGCGGCCGGCCTCGGCTGCAGCACCTCGGGCTACTGCACGCCCTACGGAAAGGCCGGGCAGTACTGCGGCAACGGCGTGCCTTGCGAGGCCGGGCTGAACTGCAACTGGAAGGCCGTCTGCGTTTGAAGGACGGCTTCGGGCGGCGGGCTATATCGGCGACTCTAAAAAAAGAGAGCCAGTTGGCAAGGTTTAGGGTTGTCGGTTTCTTCACGTCCGTGGCGAAATAAGTGTATGGATTCAATGACCAGAGAAAGGGTGCGCACAAGCTTCAATTCCAACGCTCTGAATGGTCTCACAACAATAAAATTAGAAATTTGTTCACTTGCAAAAAGATCTAGTCACTTATAGAGAAGAATACTTCATCGTTGAATTAGGCTAAATCGTTGGAGTGCTACCTTGTTGGTCCTGTCCTGGATTGCCACTGGTGACAGCATCTTTCCTTACCAGCAAGTTTTACGGATAAGTACATGTATTATAAAAAAGTCGAATGACAATACTGAGCTTGTATAAAATGGTGTGGCAACTGTGGTCCAATCAAGAAGAGAGAATATCTCAATCCCATCGCCTTTGCTTGGCATTTGCAATTAGTGGACGGCGAAGTTTACAGTGGCGCCCTAGTGAAAATTTAGCCTGAGGACCCTTCACCTTTGCTTTCCTTATCAATCAACTACTTGCATTTTTGAAGATCTCCCTTATAACTCAGGCACCCGTGCAGCTTGCAGCGTGCAGCGTGCAGCGATGAAGTCTCCCATCCCCGACTATCTCCAAGCCGTGCTGGAAAACGCACGCTCCATCACGGGCGGCGCGCCCGCCAGCTACATCGAGACGCTGGCCAAGGCCGACACGTCCAAGATGGCGGTGGCGCTGGCCATGGTCGACGGCAACCTGTACTCGGTCGGCGACGACCGCGTCGAGTTCTCGATGCAGTCCATCTCCAAGGCCTTTGTCTACGCCATGGCCATTGAGGACGTCGGCCTGCCCAAGGTCCTCGACAAGATCGGCGTCGAGCCCTCCGGCGACGCCTTCAACCACCTCTCGCTGGAGCGCGGCACCAACCGCCCCGTGAACCCCATGATCAACGCCGGCGCCATCACCGCGCACTCCCTCCTGAAAGGCCGCACCGCCGAGGAGCGCACCGAGCGCGTCCTGCGCGGCCTCTCCCTCCTCGCCGGCCGCCCGCTGCGCGTCGACGAGGAGGTCTACCAGGCGGAGCTGCGCTCCGCCGACCGCAACATGGCCATCGGGTACATGCTCAAGGCCGCCGGCGTCGTCACCGGCGACCCCCAGGAGATCGTCCGCGGGTACATCCGGCAGTGCGCCGTGACCGCCAACGTGCGGGACCTCGCCCTCATGGCCGCGACGCTCAGCAACGGCGGCGTGCACCCCGTCACCGGCGCGCGCGTCATCCCGCAGGCCAGCGTGCGCCAGGTGCTGTCCGTCATGACCACGTGCGGCATGTACGACGCCGCCGGCGACTGGGTCTCCAACGTGGGCATCCCCGCCAAGAGCGGCGTCGCCGGCGGCATCATCGGCGCGCTGCCCGGCCAGGTCGGCATCGCGACCTTCTCGCCGAACCTGGACGAGCGCGGCAACAGCGTGCGCGGCGTGGCCATCTGCGAGAAGCTCTCGCGCGACATGGGCCTGCACATGATGGACGTGAGCCAGATCGCGGGCGCCACGGTGCGCACGGCCGTGGCCACGATCGTCGCGGGCGAGAGCGAGCCGGAGCACCCGAACAGGCAGCGCGAGGTCATCATCTTCAACCTGCGCGGGGCGGTGCGGTTTCCGGGGTCGGAGAGGCTGAGCAGGGCGCTGGTGCGGGAGCTCGGCGCGGCGGACCCCAAGGACCCGGGGTCGGGCAGGTACGCGGGGGCGTGCGCGGTGGTGATTTCGCTGCGGGACGTGTACTCGCTGAACGTGGTGGCGCGGCGGATCTTGCTGGAGAGCATCGAGAGGCTGGCGGTCGAGGAGCGGACGGTGGTGGTGGTGGACCCGACGGGGGTGCTGCAGCTGGACGAGTCCATCGCGATGGGCCGGGCCAGCCGGGCTCGCGTGGTCAAGTCGGAGACGGAGGCGCGGGACTACATTGGGGGGAAGGGGTGCTCGGCGGTGTTGATCCAGGATGGGTGGTGAGGGTCATGCAACATGGACTCGTTGCCGCTCCCATCTGCCCAGGTTGAAACAGCACGCCATCATCACCACCTGTTTAAGCGTCGCGATTCGAGACGCTGGAGTTGAATAGGGCACCGAGGAATAGATATGAAACATTAGATTAGAGCACTAGAACTATACCCACAATCATAGAAGGCAGGAGCAGATAGATGTCATTTTTCAAGCTCCATTGAGTCCCTGCGTGAGTATCTGGTGGCTGCCACCATGACGAGGTGATAATGCATGGCGCTGAAACACTGCAGGCAACTGGCGGGATCGGCTACGCCCAGGCTGCTTACAGCGCATCTGAAGGTGCAGAGTACAGATACGCTATTTCCAAGTAGCGTCTGCGGCCATCTAGAAGCAGGGATGCAATAAGGATATATTCAGAGTAACTGGATATAAAACAGCATAGCATTTAGAGTGGTGAAACTCGGTTCTAGAAGCAGGTCGTGAGGGTCGCTCCAAACGTGGCCCGGCTGCATGTTGATTGTCATCGCCCATGTATCTGATACATTAAGCCATGACTCGACGGGGAGAAAAAAATGGCAGCACAATATCAAGCCGGGGAATGACCAATTAATTAATGTGCGTAAATTTTAGACCGACAATCTTCTTTTTTTTTTTTTTTTTTTTTTTTACTGAAATATCCGCTTGCGTGCACTCGCGTGCCCTTGACTCGTTGGTCTAGTGACTTGACAGCGTGATCTGGAGTAGGACGCTATAGGACGCTGGACGCTGGACGCTGGACGCTATAGATGACACGCGACAAGCTTGCTAGAGGAGGTGGCTGCGGTCACCAAAACTGCACCAGAATGCAACGAGGCAACGTAGAAACAAGGAACGAGAAAAAGCCCCTGCACAACTCTAATCTGTAAACGTACCCGGGTTTTCCTGAGACGCGGGTGGTGTCAGCCGCTACGGGCTTATGCCACCGATCACACTCGGTTAGACCGGGACCAGCCACCATCTATCTACCTACCTACATACCTACCTACTGGGTTAGTCGTAGCGGTAGAATAGAGAGGTACCTAGCTATGTAGGCATGCTACTATCCCCCAAAAGTCCTAATTCTGTGCTATTAAAAGCCAAACCCAGGCGGCGCGGATGCACCGGAACCAGGAGCCACTGGCCGAGCGCCGCTGATGGCGGCCATGACACGAAGAGCAGCGCAGGTTTTTTCAATGTTTCCCCGTTTACACCAGACAAGATATACTATGCCATGCCAGCGTTATATGTCGTGATATATCCCGTCTCATGCGAACCCTTCCTTTTGGCGAGCCGGTGAACCTGTGCGTCATTTTCCCGCCAGCATGCCGCAACCTGCGATGTGTGACGGCGCCGCCGCCGCCGCCGCCGCCGCCGCCGACTGGCCCCCAGGCACTGTCAAGCTAGAAGAAGGTGAGTTTTTGTTTTTCCCTCGGAAAATTCACCAATCTGCCCAAATTAACCCAACGATATATCCAGGCGACCTCAAGAAACTCATCCTCCATCCCACGCCCACCTCGGACCCCAACGACCCCCTCAACTGGTCCGCCCCGCGCAAGGCGCTCAACTTCACCCTCGTCTGCCTCTACACCCTCCTCACCTTTGTCCAGCTCGACGTCGGCTTCACCGCCTGGGACCAGTACTCCGCCGAGCTCGGCTTCTCCGACGACACGCTCAACGGCTCCGCCGCCGCCAACTACCTCGGCCTCGCCCTCGGCTGCGTCGCCCTCGTCCCCCTCGTCCACAAGCTCGGCCGGCGGCCCGTCTACCTCCTCAGCACCCTGCTGCAGCTTGCCTCGTGCATCTGGTCCGCGCGCACCAGCACCGTCGGGGACCTGTACGGCAGCAATGTGATTTCCGGCGTGGGCGGGGCGATCAGCGAGACGATTGTGCAGATCACCATCGCGGACCTGTTCTTCGTGCACCAGCACGCGACGGTGAACGGGCTGGCGCTGCTGGCGACGTTTGCGGGCGCGTACCTGGGGCCGGTCGCGTCGGGGTACGTGGTGGAGGGCCAGGGGTGGCGCTGGGTGTGGTGGTGGTGCTCGCTGCTGTTCGGCGTCAACCTGCTGCTGGTGCTGTTCCTGTTTGAGGAGACCAAGTACGTGTGTCCCGGGTCCGGGGTGGTCTCCGCCGCCGGCACGACGGAGAACCTTGTCGAGGAGGGCGGTGATGCGCGGGCGGCTGCGCTCGGTACACCCCCGCAGCCCGCCGGCATCGACGCGTCCATTCCGATGAGGCCGCTGCGGCGGCGCTTCGCCTTCCTCACCGTCACCGGAGGGTCGATGCTGCACGACGTGTACGAGCCGCTGGTCATCCTGCTCACCTTCCCGGCCATCACCTACACGGCCATCGCGTACGGCGTGCTGCTCGCCTGGTTCGCCGCGCTCGTCTCCGTCCAGGCGACGTACATGTTCGACGAGCCGTACAACTTCTCGGCGATAGGCATCGGCCTGATGAACATTGCGCCCTTTGTCGCGTCCATCCCGGGCGTCTGGATCGGCGGCTACCTCAACGACAAGTCCATCGTGTGGCTGGCCCGCAGGAACGGCGGCGTGTACGAGCCGGAGATGCGTCTGTGGATGATCTTCCCGCTGGCCATCATCGCGCCTGCCGGGATCCTCATGTTCGGACTGGGTCTCAACAGCGTATGCGCACCGCCCTTTTCTCTTCTTCGCTCGGTTGCTGACTGTATTAGGGTGCTCCGTGGCCACTGCTTGCCGTGGGGTTTGGCATGTACGGATTCTGCCTCACCGCGGGGGGCGTCGTCTCGTTGGCCTACGCCATGGACTGCTATCACGATGTAAGTTCCCGTGCTCGTTTCGGGGCTCTCGTTGCTAACTTGCCAAGGTCATTGGAAACGCCCTCGTCGGCGTCACCCTGATCCGAAACCTCCTTACCGTCGTCATCTTGTTTGTGCTTACGCCCTGGCTGGATGGCATGGGGATCCAGGACGTGCATATTCTGATAGCTGTGCTGACAGTCCTCGTTCTTGTTGGGCCCGTCGGGCTCATCATCTGGGGCAAGAAGGCCAGGAAGAAGACGGCGGCCGCGTATAGAAGCATGGCCCAGCGACAACCGACCAGGCGAGACAAGGAGTGGCAGCAGAGCAGCCAATGATGATAAGACCACTACTTTTGCATGATAAAGGACGGGAACTGATTACATTATACCCAGGCGCAATTGATGATCTTTTCTTTTTTTTAAATAGAAAGCAAAATCCTTTTCAGTGCAGTTTTGAAACAAAGAAGAAAATTATCCACGATACGAGATCCAAGTGTAAAAGAAAATCGTGTTCCATACAAGATAAAGATAGATTTACGAAATATGCCTTGATCAGTTTGCGGCAATAATCTAGCTGCTGTCTGTCTTGTCCTCCCTCTCAAAGACGGGAGGCGGCCGCGGCACCCTTCTGAACAGGACGTATCGCTTGATGAACCATGGAACCTGCTCCTTCAACTCGTATCGCAGGAACGTCTTTGTCGGCACCGAAAAGACCTCTACAATGTGTGTTAGCGCCGTCTTGAAAGAAGACCAAATAACAATAACAATAATAATAATAATAATAATAATAATAATAAAGCTTGCAGAGGACTTACGATCGATTTCCTCCAGCGTCAGCTGCTTCGTCTCGCGCACGAAGCAGAAGATCATGGCCCACGCCACCAGGTTCAGGCCGGCGTAGAATCCAACTAGTGTGCATTAGTTTTGCTCGTTGCCCGAGGCAGGGTCGATGGACTTACAAGCTCCGGTGGATGTCATGACCGTCTTCATCCGCGGAAAGGTCAGGCCCAGAATTCCGGCTGTTGATCGGCGGTTAGTCAATGCAGCTAGTACACTTGCAAAATGTCGGATCCTCACCGAATGTATTGTTGATGCACACTGCCCACGCCATTCCCTGCTCACGCTGGATGGTAGGGAAGACCTCTGCCGAGTATTGGAAGGCAACGGGCCCCTCGCCGAGGGAGTAGCAGATGGTGAACAAGTAAATGAAGCTGTCGCAATATTGTCAGTCCTCCCTGATCATCCGGCGTGCCATCTCCACACTAGATTCAACTTACAGCACGACAGGGCCGATCCTGGCACCCTTTGGCCGCATGTCCATGGCCGGGTTCTGGTCGCCCTGCGGGGAGATGTGATACGCGCCGTTCGGAAGCAGCGACAGACCAGCGGCGAGCAGAAAGATGCACATGAGCGGGAATGTCTGCCAAGTTAGCCTTGCCATCATCTCAAACGCCGTCAGTCACAGAAAACTCACAATCATGGTCAGCGTGCGCCGGCCCTTGGTGTCGATCAGGAACAGCGTCGGGATCGTCGACACGACCTGCACCGCGCCATATCCCAGCGACGCGTACAGCGCCTCCGTCGCCGTGTACCCGACACTGCTAAAGATGCTGGAGCTGTAGAACGAAATGATGTTGATGCCGCACATCTGCTGCGCCAGCATCACCGTCGACGCGCCGTAGTTGGCCCTCCGGATCCGCGGCACCGCGAAGCAGTCCTTCAGCCGCGCAAAGTAGCCCGCGCCGCCCGCGGCCTTTTGCTCCTCCACGTAGTTGACGTACGAGTAGTAGTAGTCGCGCGCGGCGATGATGTCGTGCGTGCGCAGCTTCTGCATCGAGCGGAAGCCGGCGGCGAACTTGCCGTGCTTCATCAGCCAGCGCGGGGACTCGGGGCAGAAGAAGATGCCGAGGAGCAGGATGAAGGAAGGGATGAAGGCGGAGCCGAACTGCAGGCGCCAGGCGATCTTGCCGACGTCCTTGACAATGATGTTGGCAGCGAAGCCGAGAAAGATGCCTTTTACGGTGTAAGCTGTTTGGTGTTGCGAGGACGGTGAGGGTGAGGTTGGTCAGGACTTACCGATGACAACCCACAGCTGCCAGAACATGACGAGGGCGCCGCGGATGCGATGCGGCGCCATCTCGGCCGAGTAGATGGGCACGGTGGCGTTCTTGGCGCCGATGCCGATGCCCATGACGAACCGCGCCCAGAAGAGGCCCTGCCAGCTCTTGGCGAACGCGGAACCGATCGGGGTCGCGGTCAGGCACGCCGCCGTGAGGAAGATTTCTCCTCGTCGTCCGAGGTAGTGGTTGAGGGGATCGACGATAAACGCGCCACTACACCACAGGTCAGTCGAGACGACAACGACAACGAGCAAGATGAGGGGGCTCACATGAGACCGGCAGTCAGAAAAATGATGGAGTTGATCAGGCCGACGATCCATTCATCCCGTCCTTCGCCCGTCAGGCCAAACTCCTCGGGGAAGGAGAGGTTGGCGCCGTTGGCGCCGGTCTGGTCCCAGCCCTGGGTGGCGGCGCCGATGGCGCACAGGCTGATGGAGTACCACAGCATCTTGGAGCCGTGCCACTTGTGCGCGCGCTCGTAGGCGAGGGCCTCGCGCTCGTCCGGGTGCAGCTCCGACATGAGCGCAAAGTTGTCCGGGTCGCGGGCGACGAGCGCGGCGCGGCCGAAGAGGCCGGCGTGCTGCTCCATGCCATGGGCAGTGGCCCACTGCTCCGCGTCCTCGACGACGAGGGCCTCTGGTTTGCGCTGCGCGGGTTAGTCGAGGGGTGGGCGAACAATGTGAAAGTGAAAGAAGGTTAGGGGATTCTCACCCTGAGGGGGTTCTCGATGATGTTGTGGGCGACGGACTGGCGGCGACCACCAAGCTCCTGGCCCAGCTCCCCTTGACGAAGCTCATCTTCGGGGATGTGCTCGGCACGAGGCGCGTCCGGCGAGTCTATGGAGGTCTTCTTTTCCATGGCTGCAGTACAGGTGCTTGAGAGTATACTGCCGTTAAGGTGAGGACCACTCCAGGCTCGCAGGTCAGGCTGGGGGGACTGGGCTATTTATGAAGGTTGCAGCCCGCCGTTGTGAACGCTGCCTCCCCCAGGTTCTGCATCCGGATTTGCAACATTGCCGTTACATGGGGTCGCATCACGCACACAGACAAAGAATCCCCGCGAAAACGAAGGCTTGAACGAACTACCCACCCGCGAGGAGGCTGCCATTCGGCGGTGTGGTGTGGGGGTGGATAAGCCAACATGGACCAACTACTCTAGTCGGGGAGAGTTAGTAGAGTTAGTAGAGTTAGTATGGAGTAGTTGACTAGTTTGATCCTTTTGGCTGATGTGTGCATGTATTACTGCGGAGATTTTCATATGTCTGTCAGAGTACGGAGTAGTGCTGGTTGGTTGCCCTGCGACTTGCACCCAGTCGCATGCGGCACTAGGGAGAGACAGAGAGTACCGGAATAGGTCAGTGACTCGAGACAATGTCTCCGAGACACCCGGAAGACAATGCTTTGACGCATCCTGCCTGCATACTGCATATATCCCTCAGGAGGCATGGGAAGTTTTGTGGCAAATTATTGATTACAATTTTCCTCCTCGCCATCACAAATGATGCGAGGTGATGCTGAGGCTGGCGCATGGACAGGGAACCAGTCGGCAGGCAGCAGCATTTCCGAGGTGCTGATTGGAGGGCTTGTAGGGGCCAGCAGGGCGATCGGTGGGTTCCTGGCCACCAAGAACTGACAGTTTCGGCGCCTCCGACAAGCCACTGACGTGCCCTAGCCAGCCTGGAGATTTGCTCGCCTGTAAAGGTTGGGGGATTGGGGAGGGGGGAATGTGGGGGAGTCGGAGAGAACTTGGGGAAATCGAAAACATGGCTGGAAGCAGGACGGGACTTTGTTCCTACTGGCTCGCATAAACGCAGCAAGCCTCGACGCCGACGCCATCGCCCTCACCAACTTGGCCGGCAATGTAAGCCAACAGCATAATTGAGGCTTGTCAGAGCGCGCGTCTAGAATTCGGTACAAGAGGAGTCTGACTCGTGCAGAAGATTGCTGTCTGTGAATTTCACCGACTTTGCCTACATGTGTGCACTTTTCGAGTCGGCAGTTGGCCTTGCCATTGCGGTGAGGGGGGGTGATGAAAACGGAGGAGAGCTGCGTCACGAGATTGTGCAAGTCAGGATAGCGCCACCAGGGTACGGGACCAAATGTTTAACCCGATTCAATGGCCATTCATCTTTACCATCCATGCCTTTGATATTTTGCAGAAGTAATTGATGAATTTACATCTAGTGCGCGATAACCATGTACATGGTTGTGTAGGAAGGAAGCTACCCTAGAGAGCCCCAAACTCATCCACGTCCCAATGCAGCCACCGTATAAGCAAGCACCTCGTGTAGCAGTCATAGTCATCTCCAATTCAACCAAGTCTTTCTCTTTTATTCTCGTGCATCGTTCTTTATTGTCTGCAGCTTTGTGCGGGGCCGTTCTTCGGCTTCTAAACTCACGCACACTCGTCAGCGATGACCGCGTGTAAGTCAAGGACGAGGATCTTACCAACTCACAGTTGGAGCCGCCTATGCACCCCATCAAGGCACATACTTAGTAGCAGAGCTGTCCGAATCCGCAGACCATGGGAGGCACGCAGGGAACCTCGGCGCAGGACGCGCCGGGGCGGGCGTACGGGATGCACTTGCTGGTCTTGGTGCTGCAGGCGAGGCCCTCGCAGCACGCCGCCGTCGAGGCGCAGGAATCACCGTTGGCCGCGCAGGCGCGCTGCTCGAGCGGGCTGGCGGCGGCGAAGCCCATGAGGGCGGTGAGGACGGTGAGGACCTTGACCTGCATCTTGTAGAGTGTTGTGTGTGTTTGTGTTGGAAGTGAAGGATGAGGAATGATGATGATGATGATGATGATGATGATGATGATGTCGGATTTTCTGCTTCATCAACGGCAGATTCGCTGCCCTTTTATACATCGACGGCCCCGCAGAAGCAGAACTTGGCCGTTACATCACGAGCTGTCTCGTAACGTCGTAAACGAACTACATCAACAGCTTGCTTCACCTCGTTTACGGACCATAGGACCCTATTGAGCAGCTGCTGCTGCACGAGGCCCCGAGGATCCGTTCGACTTGTCGTCAACCGGCAGGTCGCCGGGGCCCCATCCAAGGAAACAAGAACGCGGAGTTGCGTTTTGCCAAGTTACCACTTAATAAGGTCAGTTAAGGTGCAGCGATCGGGAGGGAGGGGGAGGTTACCCCGGGTATTCACGCCAACGCCGCAGTACCCGAGCCGATGGCTTGTCTCGTCTGCCACTGTCACGCACCCTCTTTATCCCCGAGAGACATACATGCATAGTTTGGCGAAACCCTGGCAGGGTACCTGCGTGCTTCTTTACGTAAGTCGACGGGGGTGCGCACCACACTGGGCGGAGTGCAGCGTCAGTGCCTGGATACTGAGGTCCGCTGTCAAGTTCTCACCAAGATTTTGTGCTCGGGTATAGTTTCCTCAAAGTTATGCACGGCAATATAGACTAGGGTAAAAGCATATACGTCTACTGGGTATGTATAGCGTTGTGTTGTGCTGTGGACTCGGCGAGCCCACCACAGCTGAAGGGCGTGTACTGGGTATAGAGATAGAGCCCCTCTGGACAGCCTTGGCAAAAGCCACACAACGAAGATATCGCGGGATTGAAGCCACGAAACCTCGGGAAGGGCTGTAGCTGGGGGCGGATGTGCACAAGATTGACCAAGTTTTGCCGCCCATCAAGATGTAATTGCCTCAGAGGGGCGGGTTTTATGTATCCTTGATTCCGAGGATAAAATGTCTTTTCCTTACCTGGATAGGAAGTTCTGCAGCGAGCATAAAAATGCCCCGCTGGAAAAGGTTGTCGTCAAGCTAAATCGGTGGGCTGGACGCTTACGCTCGGCACTGGGCTCGCTTGGATCACACACAAATCTCACACATCTTATCAATCTCATCAGCAGCCAGGAAAATCCAAGAGTTGTGGTGGCTTGCGGTTAGACATGATCGCCCTTATTATTACAACAATCAACACTTTTTTATCCCCATGGCTCATATCACATCCAATAGCACAAAGATAACGATGCACTATCACGCACTTACACCGAGTTTACCGCGTCAAGAACCGTGCTTCTTCTTTTCCTTGCCTCTTGGACCGGACAGAGCCGACATATTCCCTTGATCTCGGCGATTGCGTGAACCCACCCGCCGCAAGACCGGCGTCCTATACCAGCTCGGCATTGCGGAAATGATACAGCTCACGGGCCTGAGGCTTTCGGACCCAGTGTCAGCTTGAATAGCATGAGCAGGCCCATCGGCCTCTAGCTTGCGGCGGGTTCCTCCCCGTGCGGTGGACACGGGGCGGTTGCTGCATTTCCGCCCTCCGGAGCTTTCCTCTCAAGGTGCCTTGATTTTTTTTTAAGTTCCCTGAGCTGAGAAGCGGGCGGGGCCAAGGCGAAAAGCCTCGTTATCCATGCAGGTGTGCATCTGCAGCGAGTGAAACAAGCCGCCAACTTTGCACGTGTGATTGCACTGTCCTCTCGTTTATTCTTCGCCCAGGGTGTATTCCTCATAACCAGAATTAATCTTCAACACTGTGCATTTATCCCATTTAGCCTGTTTCGTATTTCTCGTTCCAAGAAAAGCCGCGGCGGCCCCTCAGTCAGGCCATCTTATCAATCAGATAATCTGACGCTTGGACTCGACAGTCCCGCTTTTCATCAACTTATATTAAACGGCATTGGCATTTCCTCCCCCGGTATAACGATAGCAGAGGCGTGTGAGTAGGGGAAGGGCATAGTGCAGGGATTTTACAGAAGCTTATTACTAGGTTAATAAACAAGTCATGAAAAGTGCAAGTTATTGCAGCTATAGATTAGACTGCTGTCAGAATCGAAGAGTCTTGTAGCGAGATGAGTATGCTGGGCAGAGTATAGAGTAGCATCCATTGCTATGCAATTCAACTCACTATATATTACATATTACTATTAATTAATTCTACGTCCCGAGGATACTAGCAGTAGTGCAACAGACTGATATTTACCTCGTCTTTTCACTCTGTAATTGCATCATGTTGTACTCATGAACTAGTTGGAGGGCGTGTAAGCACCATGCAGGACACCCTGTTTGCGACGGCCCCGTTCTCTGAAAAATCTTGGTTCTTAAAAGCATGGGAGTACATCTATTAATATCCGTTGACATATGTGATGAACATGGGAAGCCGTTGCAACCTTGATTGCAGATCCAAGACCACGCCTAGAGCTTCTCCGCGCAGCATCACGGCCAACCGCAACAATGTCCGGGCCCAAGAAGATCTTGATGCTCACGAACGCCGAGCATGGCCAGGCCAACGTCTTCCTGGCCACCGCCCACGAGATCCTGCAGGTCGACCCCGAGGTCGAGGTGCACGTCTGCTCGTTCCCGGCCCTCGAGTCGTCCGTGGACAGCATCCGCGTTCTCAACAAGTCGGCCGACTCGAGGCTCAGCTTCATCAAGCTGGCCGGGCCGTCGTGGAAGCAGGCGCTCTTCGGGCGGCCGGAGCACCAGTTCCAGGAGCTCAACGACATCCGCCCGACGATATGGAACGTGGCCAGGGCGGCCAAGCTGACGCGCATCGCCTGTCCCTGGACGTCGGGGGAGCTCTGCAACTTGGTGACGGAGATTGAGAAGATCATCGAGGACCTGAATCCGGCTCTTACAATCGTGGACAACCTGTTCACGCCTGCCGTGACCGTCTGCTACAAGGTGAAGCCGCACTGGATGGTGCTCTCGCCAAACACTTACAAGGAGTTTGCGCTGGCGAACCAACCGAACCAGCAATACTACTGGAAATATCCTCCGTGAGAAAACAAAGAACCCTTGAGTGAGCTGTAGAACCTCGGACTTTGCAGCTAACTTGATCCGACCAGCCCGCGCTCGACGATCGCCTTCCCCGTGCCGTGGTACCAGATGCCGCTCGTCTACTACATGGTGCGCACCATGTACCTCAACCACAACGACCCCTTCATGCTCTCCCACGCGCGCGAGATGAAGGCCGCCATCGACACCGACTACGCCGACTGGGCCTACATCTCCATCGTGCCGCCCCCGGGCCTGCAGATCCTGCTCGCCTCCCGTCCCGAGGTCGACTTTCCCTTTGACGTCAAGCCCGCCCACATGATCCCGTGCGGGCCGATAATCCGCCCCGCGCCGCCCGTTGCCGAGGCGGACCCGGAGCTGGCGAAGTGGCTGGCGAGGCGCCCGACGGTGCTGGTCAACTTGGGCACGCACGCGTCGTACGACGCGCAGCACGCGCGGGGCATGGCGGGCGCGCTGGACAGGATGCTGAAGGAGGCAAAGGGCAAGGGCGAGGCGCTGCAGGTGCTGTGGAAGCTGAACGGGCGCGAGGGCGAGGACGTCAAGTTGGAGGAGTTTACTGGGAGGTGGGGGGATGCTGTCAAGGTGGTGAAGTGGCTGGACGTGGAGCCGAGCAGCATCCTGGAGTCGGGGCACGTCGCGTGCTCGGTGAACCACGGCGGCGCCAACTCGTTCTTCGAAGCAATCAGGTAAGTTCTCATGGGCCTGACGTGGCAGACTTGTTGTGTAGGCTGACGGTGTAATAGTGCCGGTGTACCGCAGGTGGTGCTTCCGGTCTGGGGCGACACGTACGACTTTGCCAAGAGGGCCGAGTGGCTGGGCGTGGGCCGGTTCGGCAGCTGGAAGCACGCGCCAAAGGTGGATGAGAAAGAACTCGGGGGCGTCTTGAAGGATGTCGTACTGGGACCAAAGGCAGCAAGCTTCAAGGCAAAGGCTGCGGAACTGGCGGCGCTGTGCAAGAAGGAGGGCGGGGGAAGACGTGTCGCGGCGAAGACAATCCTTGCCGCGCTTGATGATAAGGGAGATTCATCTGATGAGTAGTGTATTATTGGTTCAACTGCTCTATTAGGGTTCTTTTGAAATTGTGTCAGCCAGATTCAACCCACGCTGAACAGCGCTGTCTATAGCTGTCCCTCGTAAAATTTACGTCAACTGCAAGCAACGGTGCCAGCATTGAACAAAACCTAGTATAGGGCAGATGTGCGAGACTGAAAACGCAAAAGAGGAAATGTTCATTAAAGATAAAGCAGATGAAAAGAAAATTTAAAAATATATAATCCATCATCATGGGGCACGGCCTCAGTAGTGGGAGACGCATACGCTGGTAGCAGGAGACTCGGACGAGGTCGTTTGCGATTCTGACAGGCAAATTACTGAAATAATAGAATCCAGTCAGAAACGCTAACCTGTTCAAACCTAGCACAGGCCTCTTTTGGTGACGATCGTAGCAAAGAAGACCAGCAACATTCACTCACCCAGTCGTCAAACAGCGGCAGAACTCAGATGCAGTGCAAATCAAAACTTTTATTAAAGGTGTAATGAGTGAGAAACCGTTGAGAAACCGTCCAAGTATGCAAAGATGAAAAGTAAAAATCACTGCAGCATCTGCTGCATGGCGTTGAGCCTATAACTCTCATTCCTCTCCACCAACTCCGCGTGCCTCCCCTGATCGACGATCCTCCCCCCCTCCACCACCAGGATCACGTCCGCCTTGTGCACCGTGTGCAGCCTGTGCGTGATCGCCAGCACCGTCGTCCCGCGCGACGCCCTCTCCAGGCCCTCCTGCAGCGCCGCCTCGCCCGCCGCGTCGAGCGCGCTCGTGCTCTCGTCCAGCAGCAGCAGCCTCGGCTTCCGCACCAGCGCGCGCGCGATGGCCACGCGCTGCCGCTGCCCGCCGGACAGCCGCGACGCCGACGGGCCGCACGCCGTGTCGTAGCCGTCCGGCAGCGCCATGATCTCCTCGTGGATGTTGGCCACGCGGCAGGCCTCCTCAACCTCCGCGTCGGTCGCCTCGTGGCCGGGGACGGCGCCGAGGGCGACGTTGTGCCGCACCGTGCCCTCGAACAGCGCCGGGTCCTGCGGCACCAGCGCGATGACGTCGCGGAAGGAGTCGGGCAGCGTGGAAATGTCCATGTCGTCGATCAGCACGGCGCCGGAGGTCGCGGCGTACAGCTTCTGGACCAGGTTCATGATGGTGCTCTTGCCGGCGCCGGACGGGCCGACCAGCCCGACGAACTGCCGCGGCTTGACGGAGAAGGAGACGTCGGAGAGCACCGAGGAGTCCGGGTTGCCCGGGTAGGAGAAGGACACGTCCTTGAAGGCCACCGTCACCCCGCTCTGGCCCGGCGCGAATGGGCTCGGCGTTCGGCCCTCGGCGGACGACTCCGTATCACGGCGCTCGTCCAGCGACAAGTCGGAGCCGAGGTGGATGACGGCCATGACGCGGGCGAGCGCAAGGCGGGCGCGGGAGAACTCGGGCGCCAGGGTAAACATCGTTCCCCAGAGCTGCGCGCTCGTCAGCATCGCCACCAGCACGATCAGCAGGTCGCGCTGCGTGTACTCGCCCCTCATGATCAGCTGCGACCCCCACCAGTACGTCAACCCATTCACAAACGGCGACAGCGAGTGCGACAGCGCGAGCATGATGTTGGTCAGCGCCGCCGAGCGCACAATCTGCCGCGCCGGCGGCTCCAGCAGCCGTCGGTACGAGTTCATGTAGGTCCTCTCCAGCGAGAGCGTCGCCACCGACCGGATCGACTGCACCGCCTCGGTGGCCAGCGCGTTGGCCGTCGCGAACGCCTCGTTGTGGCGCTCCTCGAAGCGCGCCAGCACGCGCAGCTGCATGATGCCGCAGCCGAGCAGCACCGGGATGGTGACGAGCGTGACGAGCGCAATCTTCCACGCGTACACGTGCGAGACGACGATGGCGATGATGATGTTGACGCACACGGCGAAGACGGTGCCAAACGTGGACCCCGAGAAGCCGCCGATGGCCATGCAGTCCTTGGTGATGACGGAGAGCAGCCGCGTCGGCGTGCGGCCCTCGGAGGAGTGCCAGGCCAGGTCCTGCGCCAGGAGCGAGCGGAAGGAGAGCCGGCGGAGGGCGAGCAGGGTGCGCTCGCCGATGATGCCGAAGCCGAGCCAGGCGAGGAAGTTGGCGACCAGCTCGACGGCGCCGAGCATGAAGATCATGCCGGCGAAGAAGCGGCCCATGGACTTGATGCCGTCGACGGTGTTCTGGCACGGGTTGAGCGCGCCGACGGTGTAGCCGAAGATGAGGCCCGAGCCGGAGAAGGTGGCGCCGACGATGGCGGCGGCCACGAGCGCGATGGCGAGCCAGCCGAGCGACGGGCGGACGAGCCAGGCGATGCCCTTGAGGACGCTGCTGAACGGCTGCTTCGCGGTCGCGTCGTCGTCCTCGGCCTCCTTGGCGGCAGCAGCAGCAGCCTTGGGGACGGCCTTTTCGTCGCTGGTGGAGGTGACCTCCGCCTTGTCCATCTTTTCGTCGACGTCGTTGGTCGAGCTCCTGGAACTTTCAGGCGCACCCCCGTCGTCGCCGGCTCCCATCTTCTGCAGCGCGATGAGGTGCGCAAACTTGCCGCCGTCAATGGCCATCAGCTCCGCGTACGTGCCCTGCTCCATCACCCGCCCGGCCTCCATGACCACGATGTTGTCCGCGCCCTTGATCGTCGACAGGCGGTGCGCGATGGAGATGATGGTGCGTCGTCCGCGGGCGGCCTCGCGCTCGATGGCCGCCTGGATCTTGCGCTCGCTGGCCGAGTCGACGCTGGCCGTCGCCTCGTCCAGGATCAGCATCCCCGGGTCGCGCACCAGCGCCTGCGCGAGCGCGATGCGCTGCCGCTGGCCGCCGCTGACAAACGTACCGCGCGGCCCGACCGACGTGCCGTACCCAAGCGTCAGCCCGGCAATGAACGTCGCCGCGTCGGCCTTTTCCGCCGCCTCGATGACGAGCTCCACCACCCGAGAGGCAGCTTCGCCCTGCGAGGCGGCCCACGAGAGCGCTTCCCGGCCCTTGGTCGCGGCCTCGGCCAGCAGCGGGCCGTCCAGCACGGCCTTCAAGTCCTGGTGCTCCGGCCGCGGCGAGTTGACCAGGCCGAGGGCGATGTTCTCGAGCACGGAGCAGTCGAACAGGGACGGCTGCTGCTGGACAAAGGTCATGGCGCCGCGAAGGGAGCGCACGTTGAGGGCGCGCAGGTCCCGCCCGGCCATCTCGACGGTGCCGGAGGTCGGGTCGTGCAGCCGCGCGATGAGCGAGGCGACGGTCGACTTGCCGCTGCCGGACAGGCCGACGAGCGCGGTGTGCTTGCCGGCGGGGAACTCGAGGCTGACGTCGCGCAGGGCCGGCTGGCCGGGGCGGGTGGGATACTCAAAGGTGACGTTGCGGAAGGACACGGAGTGCTCAGCGTCGGGAGCGAGCTTGTCACCAGAGTCCGAGGTGGCGTCGATGGACGAGGGCGTCTCGATGTCGCCCATCAGCCGCTTATACGCGGCGACTGCCGAGCCCAGGTACGGAACCAGGGGCGCCAACCCGCCCAACATGACACACGCTACATCCAGGTCAGCACGTACGCCCTTGCACGAGAGAAGCTGTTGTCTTACCGTCGATGAGGAGGTACACGATGGCGTAGATCTGGCCGATCGAGGACCCGCCGCTGTTGTCCGCCGCCGCGTCGCCGATGCGAATGCTTCCCTGCCAAAACGCCAGCGCGTTCGCCGAGTACGCGATAAAGTACAGCAAGCCCGTCTGCACCGACGCCACCGCCGCCTTCTTGATCGCGCTGCTCCTCGCGTCCAGCATGAACCCCGTAAACATGCCCTCCAGCCGTCCCGCCGCGCCGAACGCGTGCACCACCGGGATGTGCGACAGCGCCTCCGACGCGACCGACGATGCCTTGTCCGCCGCCTCGTTCTGCTTGCCCAGGAACCGGGCGATGTACTTGCTGCTCAGCGTGCCCGAGATGAGAAACGCCGGCAGCACCGAGATCAAGATGCCGGCCAGGCTGGCCTGCGTGGAAAAGGCAATGACGAAGACGGTCGCGATGAAGCTGATGGTGGTGATGATGGTGCCCACCTTTTCCGAGGTGCCGGACTGGATGGCGGCAATGTCGCTCTGCAGACGGCTCGACACTTCACCCGCGGAGCCGCGCTCGTCGAAGAAGGAGGGCGGCTGGCGGAGGAGCGCGGCGAGGTAGTGGTGGCGCATGCGGCGGGCGAGGCGCTGGCTGACGATGCCCCAGCAGGTCAGGTGGCAGTAGATGAGGACGAGCGCGATGGCGCCGATCCACGCCGTCTTGGCCACCTTGTCGTTGATGGCGGACTCGTAGCGGAAGGGGTCGGCGCCGGCGCCGCCGTCCTGGGCGGCGCAGGTGGCGCTGTTGAAGTCGTCGACGAGCTGACCGAAGAGGACGCCCATGAGCGGGAAGGGCACGCCCGCGGCGGCGGCGCAGATGGTGCCGGCGACGATGAGGAGGATGTCGATGATGGTGGGCTGCGCGGCGAAGAGGAGGCGGAAGTAGACGAAGAAGTTGCCAATGTCCTGGCAGCTCAGGTTAGCATGGCGTCGGTTGATGGTAGCAGACTCGTGCATTCATGGGATGATGATGGCAGATTCGTTTCTTTACTCACAAGGCCCTTCTTCTCTTTGCCCTTGTCAGCATCTTTGGCGACTTCAGCGCTCGCGGGAGGAGGCTGCGGGCTGCCCGCCTTCTCCGGAGAGCTGGCGTCTTTCTCTTCTGCCGCCATTGTTCCCCTAATCAGCACGGAGCCGATTCGCGTAACAGTCTGCGAGATTTGAGGCAGGCCCAGGAAGAGGTTTCTTTCACAGAATTCAACAAGGCGATGAATAACGAATGTCTAGATGCTCGGTCAAGCAGGTCGGGTCTGTGCCTAGTGAGTTTGTAGAAGCTGCATTCTCTTTTGTGGCGAGCTCTACTAAAGATGCAAGCCACGCAAATCTTTCGCACGGCTAATCAGATAAAACCTGCCAATCTAGTCTCCCTGCTCGGAATTACGATTCAAGAGGGTCGGAAATGAGGGCCGAGACGGTGGAAACGTCAGAGATGGGACCTGACGGAGTCGCTTATAAGATCTAGCTCTTGCCCAGCGCGCAGTGTGCAGCAGGAAAAGAAAAAGAGGACAAGGCCAAGTCCAAGGGAGGATGCGGTGGGGGCGGCTGATAATAACAGCATGTATATCCGAGAACGCAGGGTGTTCGGACTGCATTGTTGGCGTATCAGATCATCACGTCTTGCGGTGGAGTTGAGGGCGTGAACACGATATAAGCATAAGAGGTGGGTTGGGCTTGGCGAGAGAGGCAGACTAATAACTAGTTGACTAACTTAACTAGCTACTCGAGGTGTTTATAACCGATCTGATTTTTCTCTTTTTTTTTTTTAGCTCAAGTATCTGTGCAAGGGCCGTTGATCTCTCGGCGTTGAAAATTGCGAGCCACTCAAGCAAGCATCATGGTCAAGGTGCCGGCTGAGTGGATGAGCCTCCACCACCATCAATTAGCGATGACGGCTCTTTCAAGCAGTTTCTCACCTCTTCCCTAGTAAACCTGATACCTAATACTTGCAATACATGCACGCTGTTAATAAAGCTCTCTAGCGGTGGTTGTGCTTCGCATCGTCACCTCACACCGGACAGGCAGTAGACGCCGCCATGGAGACGCAGCGTCTCCTGTTCCTGACCAACGCCGAGCTCGGCCAGGCCAACGTGCATCTCGCCGTCATCGAATGGCTTCTCGCCAACCGCCCCGACCTCGAGATCCATCTCTGCTCCTTCCAGTCCCTGCGGTCCGCCGTGACCGCCATCAACGGCCATGACACCACCGCGACGCCGCGCATCACCTTCCACGAGCTCTCCGGGCCGTCCTGGAAGGAGTGCCTCTTCGGCCGGCCCGAGCACAAGTGGGAGGAGACCTGCGCTCTCCCGCCGACCGTCTGGAGCGTGTCCCGCCAGGCGGCGCTCATGCCGCGCGTGGCGATGCCCTGGAACGCCGAGGAGCTGGTCGACCTGACGCTGCAGGTGCGGAGCGTGGTGCAAAAGGTCGAGGCCGACCTGGTCGTCGTGGACAACCTCTTCACCCCGGGCGTCACCGTCTGCTACAACGCCGAGACCAAGTGGTGCGTGCTGTCGCCCAACACGTACCGCGAGTTCATCCTGGGGGAGCAGCCGCGGTACGAGGCGTTTTGGAAGCACCCGCCGTGAGTCCCTGACCACTGCTGTGAGGAAACATTCGCTAACCTTGACAGGACCTCCTCGTTCATCCCATTCCCCGTCCCCTGGTACCTCATCCCCTCCGCGCTCTACCACCAGCGCGCGTGGCGCAAGAACCGCCAGAGCACCTGGATCCACGACAACGCCGTGCACCTGTGGGAGCACACCGCCGACAACATCTACTACTCCGACTGGGGCCGCCTGACCTTTGACCGCCCGGCCGGCCTCAAGATCTTCCTGCCCAGCGACGCCCTCGTCGACTTTCCCTTCTCCGTCGTGCCGGACCACGTCGTCTCCTGCGGGCCGATCCTGCGCCCGGCCGTCGCGAAGCTGGAAGAGGCGGATCCGAAGCTGGCCGCCTGGCTGCGTCGCTGGGACACCGTGTACGTCAACCTCGGGACGCACGTCGCGTATGATGGCGATACGAATGCCAACTTGGCGGCGGCGATCAAGGAGCTGCTGAGCGCAGCGGCGGCGAAGGGTAGGGATGTGCAGGTGCTGTGGAAGGTGAACAAGGGCGGCAAGGGCAGCAGCGCGGACCACGAGGATCTGTACAGGCAAGTCGGCGAGAGCAGCGACGATGGCAGGGTGTTGATCGTCGACTGGCTGCTCGCGGAGCCCGTCTCGGTGCTCAACTCGGGATCCGTCGTGTGCTCCGTCAACCACGGCGGCGCTAACTCTTATTTCGAAGCTGTCAGGTACGTCGTCCGTCCTCTCAAGCATCCTTTTTTTTTTTTTTTTTTTTACAAAGCTGACTGTGAACAGCGCTGGAGTCCCCCAGATCGTCCTGCCCGTGTGGTTCGACACGTACGATTTTGCGCGGCGCGTGGAATACCTGGGCGTCGGCAGGATTGGCAACCGAAGCAACGCACCCAAGTGCTGCAAGGATGAGCTGGGGCCAATTCTCAAGCAGGTGGTGCTCGACGACGCGGGCTGCGAGATACAAGCAAAGGCGAGGAAATTGGCAGAGGCGTGCAAAGCGAGCGGCTCGGGCTGCGAGAAGGCCGCAAGGGGCATTGTGAATTTGTTAAAATAAAAGTATCTGACTATTTCTGTTCAAAATAGCTACTCACCTAATAACCGCAGAGCCTGCCATCTCAAGAGGATCAAGCTGCCAACCAGCAACAATGCAGCACGGAGATTAGATGAAAAAGATCAAAGCACTGGCCTGTCTAGTCACTGTGTACTTTGTTTTTTTTTTTAACTGATCTAAATAACGACTGTGCTTATCGCACATCTTCAAATCGTGCGATTGCCGAAGCTACTCGGTAACTAGATCTTACTAGATCTTGGTAGATCGTGGGCAGCACTAAGTTAGATCCTTAGCGATAGTGCATTTGAGTAATTCTACATCCATTTTTCATTTTCCGCTCTAATCCCCATTTGTGAAGTGTTGACACAGTACATTCATGAACAAGTGCTCTTTCTAAACAATTAATATCATGGTCAGGTAGCCCCTTTAGCAATCAAGTTCCTATTACTCTCCAGCGCAATCATTAAACAAAAACTCAAGAAGGAAAGCTCGTCGGTTCCCCTAGTATCTTCCCTTCTCTTGAACGGTTAACATAAACAATATAAACCGGGAATGTCTCCATTGCATCCGTAGAACCCTCCCGCTTCTTGCTCTCTCCAATTGCATCCATCGCTGCCGGTCGGAGGGCGTCTTGTACCAGTTGAGTCACACCAACCGTTTCTAAACCGGGCGAAGTATCCCGCAGCTTGCGGATCCTTGTCTCAACGTCTTTAAGGAACCTCTGAGCAGAATGTTTAGGGAGTGTGACCGTGCCGATCTGCTCGCGAGATTGCTCTGTAGCTCCGTAGCCCCGAAAGACCTTGGTGGAAGAAAGGCTTGTTTGACTATAACGTTCGCTAACATTGTTCTCAGCACACGGCATGGAGAACATGGAGCTTGTCACCAAAATCGCCAAGTATAAGGAGCACAGAAGGGTATTTAGGGGACGCGAAAGCGTTCTTGAGAAAAGAAAGCATGAGTGAATTGCCGATGGTCGGATGGTAAAAGAAAGCTTCAGGCCAGGGAATATACTTGGCATTATCACGTGATGCACGCATCAGTCTTTATCACGCGGTACATTTTGGGCAATTATAACCTCAGTCGGCCTTGTTCCAGAAAGACCTACACTATGGCCCGTTACTCTCCTCTCTACGATGCTACCCAACGACAGCTCTCAGGAGCCGAGCAGCACTGAAGAGCTCGAGCAGCCTCCTCGGGAGCACTGGGCCGGTCTCCCCGAATTTCCTCGGTTGTCAGGACCGACCATGCCCGCCGTTGGACGCCAGTTTTTCAAGCATTCTCCCACTACCATCCTGAAGCTCGGAACTGACAATGGCGAAGGCATCATGACCGCGCTGGCCTATGCCATCTTAGGCCCCTGCGTCCCTCGTGTCATCAGCATCGTCACGATCCCGGTAACAAACCCGGACGCCCCAGCGCTAAACCATACCAGTCATGGTGTGGTCCTCTCACACCAACCAGGCACGCCGCTAGTGCAGCTCTGGCCCTCGCTCACGGCTCCTCAGCGAGAGGCCATCAAGGCGGAGCTCTGCCGTCTCCTGGTGAGGATGCGTTCGCGCCGCTTCTGCTACTACGGGCGGCCGACCCGAGAGTCATACCGCCTCTTCTCAGAATTCGGCACGGAGATACATCCATGCTGCGCCTCTCGCTCCGAGTGGGACGATTCGCGCGTCCAGGCGCTGCGGAAACACGCCCCGAGTGCCGAGCGCGCGGCCGACCTCGAGCGAGTGCAGCGCGGCACCGTCGGCGCGGAGGACTGGGACCGTCCCGTCCTCACGCACGCCGACCTGTCGGACCGCAACATCCTCGTGGACCCGGACACGCTCGCGGTGACGGGCTTCCTGGACTGGGAAATGGCAAACATCGCGCCCGCGTACTTTGAGTACACCATGGCGCGACTGTCCGGGGGCCACGAGCCTGAGTGGAGGAAGGAGGTGTTGGATGTACTGAGGGCTGTTCTACGCAGCGAGTGCGATGCTGATGAGCGCCGGGGAGACCTGGGTGCTGAGAGCTCTGATGACAGATACAGCAGGACGTTGGCGGCGTGGGATGCGGTCGTGGATGTTGAGAGGTTCGCGCAGGACTATGACGATGCCTGTTACTGGACTTTTGAACATTGACGAACCCTCTTTGCTCGATTTTAAGTTTATGCTGCCTAGACTATGCCATGCTAGCATTGTACTCATACGTTGTCCTGGTTTGGTGTCAAATTCCACGCATAAGGACAGGGTAATGAACCTCGCTTTGCGGTACAGATAGTATACCTTGAGTGCGTACTAAACATAACGGATATGACGCACATGACGAACATGACGAACATGACGAACATGACGAACATGACGAGATAAGAACATTACGAATACAACGAATATAATAAACACAAATTTTACAGAAGATTTTGTTCGCTTGAAATTCACAGAGCTTAACCTGACCCTTAAAAATGATGTTTGTATAGGGTACGAAGATGAGTATCAGGCATGTCCGGCCTGAGCCTAAAGACACCTTTTGTTGTTGGAAGGGTGTCTTCCTAAAATTGGTTGTCGTATCACTAAATACTCCTCTGCTTCCCACTTAGCTATTGTTCTCATAACTTCGTTCCGGTCGGTTGCGGACATAATATTATGTCTGCAGCTATGCTTGTCACAACAAGCATATTAGCTAGTGTATGAGCGAATGAAAGAGACAGCATGTACAGATATCCTTTCAAAAATGTATGATTCTAGAAGCAGGCATTAAATATGTATTGAAAAAAAAAACCATCCGAAACATCATAAGCAAAAGAGATATTAAAAGGATCGGAGATTATCTTGAATTATCAACGTAAAATTAAAGCGCGAGACGCGGGTTTGAAAAGAGACTGACTGCTATACAAATCCCAAACACCTGCAACATGGCCGCCAAACGGTAACTAGAACCCAACCGAACTGGCGAATCACGTGGCGTACGCAGACGTGTTGTGCAGCATGAGCTCACCAGGACAAGGCACGAGGGGGGCGACACAAGATGCGGCTTATCAGGTCCAGAGCCGAAAAAAAAGCCGTGTTTCCTGGGGAAATCTAGGTTGTCATCGAGTCGGTCTCTTGACAACCTGCACATGTCACTTTGCCCATCTAAAAATACACCAACACGCACTAACTCCAACGGCACCCAACTTAGTACCTACCTGTAGGGAGGCAGGTACCTCTTTGGACATGTCGCGCTCTTAGTGAAATTGGTAGTGGATACTGCCAACTTGCGCTGCAGCGCCGCAAAGTCCAGGTACCTGCCTACCAAATAGTCTTTCTTTGCAAGCACTGGTCACTACCATTCTTTGTACTCGCCATTGCTTCTTGCTCCGCTTCCCTGCTGACTGAACTGACTGCCCAAAACATCACCACCACACAAGCACGCCCTCATTCATATTCGTAGTCGTCCCGATGCTACACGGGCTCTTCTCGCCTCTTGCTCTCCTCTGCTCGGCTCTATAATCGCCTGCATCCCCTCCCTATACCACCGCCTCCACATCGACCGCTATTCCGCCCCTAAACCGACTCGTTTCTGCCCAGCCCGCGCACCTCCGCAAAACCGTATCGACCCGTTGCTCCCACAGCTGAGGCCCTGCCCTCATCGCTGTTTCATCGCCGACCGCCCCCAACACGCCTCATAATTGCTTCTGTCGGGAAAACTACTCCCCCCTCGACGCCGACCTGCCAACAGCTCGTCTCGGATCCCTTCGCCCCGTCTTGACCGCTCGCCTCGGAACACGCACTCGGTGGTCTGCCGTCTGCATCCGCCGCCGCGATGCGTCCTGCTACGGCACCGCCTCTCGAAGCCAAGGCGTCCCGCTCTTCCGTCGCCTTGGACCAAGATGACTCCTCGAGCGACTCGCCCGCCCCCGCCGACAACGAGGAGTCCGACTTTTACAACGCCGGCAACGACTCCCAGTCGTCCATCGGTGTCGCCAACTTTCAAGATATGCGCGTTGACGACCGATGCTGGCCTCCCATCAACCGCCTGCCAAACGAGATTCTCATCGGCGTCTTCGCTAAGCTTGGCGCCCCCGCCGACCTGTTCAGCTGCATGCTTGTCTCCAAACGCTGGACTCGCAACGCCGTCGATCTGCTCTGGCACCGCCCTGCCTGCACCAGCTGGAAGAGCCACCAGACCATCTGCCAGACCCTCGAGGCTCCCAACCCCTTCTTCAGCTACCGTGACTTCATCAAGCGGCTGAACCTGGCAGCTCTGGCCGATAGGATAAGCGATGGTAGCGTCACATCACTTTATGTTTGCGCGAGAATCGAGCGTCTGACCCTCACCAACTGCCGCGGCCTCACCGACGCTGGCATCATTGGCCTTGTCGAGAACAACACCAACCTACTCGCCCTCGACGTCTCCAACGACAAAAACATCACTGATCAGTCCATCTACACCATTGCTGAGCACTGCAAGCGCCTCCAGGGCCTTAATATTTCTGGATGCGATGGTGTCTCCAATGACAGCCTCGAGGTGCTCGCCAAAAGCTGCAAGTACATAAAACGAGTACGCTTCCCACCGCCCCCCGCCTTGCGCCGTTGCTGACTAGTGCTGTAGCTTAAACTCAATGACTGCACCCAGATCCGAGACAACGCCGTCCTAGCTTTTGCCGAAAACTGCCCTAATATCCTCGAAATCGACCTCAACCAGTGCGGTCATGTCGGAAACGGCGCCGTCACCGCTCTCATGGCCAAGGGAATTTGCCTGCGCGAGTTGCGTCTGGCCTTCTGCGCCATGGTTGATGACTACGCTTTCCTGGCTCTTCCTCCTACTCAGATGTTCGATCACTTGCGCATCCTCGATCTCACTTGCTGCACGCGACTCACCGATGTTGGTGTGAAAAAGATAATCGACGTCGCCCCGCGACTACGAAATCTTGTCTTGGCAAAGTGCCGCCTCATCACCGATGCCTCGCTCAATTACATTGCCAAACTAGGCAAGAACCTTCACTACCTTCACCTCGGCCACTGTGCCAACATCACAGACGAAGGCGTCAAGACGCTTGTAGCCCACTGCAACCGCATACGCTACATCGATCTTGGTTGCTGCGTCAACTTGACGGATGAGTCGGTGAAGCGTCTTGCCATTCTTCCTAAGCTGAAACGAATCGGCCTGGTCAAGTGCAACTCGATAACGGACGAATCAATTTACACTCTGGCCGAGATAGCTACCCGTCCTCGCGTTAGGCGTGATGCCAATGGTCTCTTTATTGGAGGCGAGTATTATACTTCTAATCTCGAGCGTATACATCTAAGCTACTGTGTCAATTTGACCCTCAAGGTATGCCAATCTGTTACCTCGCTACCAAACTACTCTAACACGGCGTAGAGCATCCTCAAACTTCTTAACTCCTGCCCGCGCTTATCGCATCTGAGTCTGACGGGTGTTCCCGCTTTCCAAGGAGATGAATTCTCACCCTTCTGCAGAGAAGCGCCGCCTGGTATGTTTCTGCAAGTCTTTGGCACGATGGCCTGCTAACTGTACAGAATTTACCAACCACCAACGCAACGTCTTCTGCGTCTTCTCCGGTGGCCAAGTCTCGAGATTTCGCGACTACCTTAACAGTGCACCTCAATTTGAAGACCTACGCGAGAGCCTCACTCCTCGTCGTCAAGCCCGCCCTCGCCAAGTACCGACCCAAATTCACCCCGCCACGGCAAGTGCCGTACCAACGGCCTTTGAAGAGGCGTATGACGACGAAATGGGCGACGAGAATGACGATTTCGAGGGATTCTATGCCCAGCCGAACAATACCTTTGCAGGTACCGGCTTCCAAGGGCATGGTCACTTGCCCATGATGGCCCACAGCCTACCCGCCCTGCCAGGCATAGACACCTTGCCTTGGGATTTGCCCAACTCATTTGTCGATGGAAACGGACTTCACCCCGGTAGCTTTGCCGCCCAGCAACACACACTAGCATCTCAAACACAGCAAGGCAACCTTGCTGCTCAGCACAACGCTCCCGCGCAACAAGCCCAGCAAAGCGGTCTTTCCGTCCACAACACGCTGGGCTATCCAATCCAACCAATGCCTCTATCGAGCCTGTCATCAATGGCAGGCAATGCGGGGCCATATGGGTACACTCCCATGAACGCTTTTGGCGTCTTGCAAGCCAGTATGGCCGGCCCAGCGACCACTGGTCCTAGACAGGCCAGCGCAGCTAGCGCAGCAAGCGCGACTGGGGCGAGTACGGCGCAAATGCACCATCAACAAGGAGCCGCGGATGAGCAACAAGACATGAGTGGCTAGGGTCCATTGATCCGACACAGATACGCCATTCGCAGACGTGACCAATGGCCCCTCAGCAAGCGCAGGCGATCCGAATGATCGTGAGGCTGGAGAGTCTGATGCCACTTGAACCTCAGGCTGCGTCAACACTTGCGCTGATTCTTTTTACTTTCGCTACGTAGCGCTCTCAGTTTAGGGTATGCTTTTCGAACGGCTATAGCATGGGCTTGACGCATCATGTTTCAACATGACATTTTTACGACGCCAGGGATACGGAGTTTCATCTTTTTTTCTCAAGGCAGGACAGCGGTTATGCATGACAGGGCTACAACTTCACAATGGATGATTTCGAATTGGCATTTTTCCTTTTTCTCTGGCTGGTCAAGTCTGGGGCATGGCAGTTGTGGTGAAAGGAGGTGATGGAAAAGCTGGTCGCGGCTGGCCCTGATGATTTAGCTTTTGTCGGCGCAAACGTGTTGCCAGGACCTGTCGAGCAGAGATCCATAGAAGCGTTTTGAAGAAGGAAACAACTGAACGCTAGCATTATTGTAACCCACAGATTATAGTACATGTTTACCATCGCATAGGCAGCCTCATTGTGACTTGCCTCGTGGAAGTTGTGCGACGTCGACCTTTGAACAGCAACGATAAAACGATGGCGAGTTGGCAGGCAAGGGCGAAGAGGATAGAGAATCGTATAAAGTGTACCTGTTTCTATCGAGTAAAATGCAACATGAGAGCGCGCCCATGATAACCCAGCAACGCCGTCACCACCACCAGCCAACGCCCGTAACAAAAAAAAGCCACACCAAAAGCATCCTCAATTCCCAAGCATCATCTACCATCATCACCTCATTGACTCCCCTCGCCACATCACCCTCGCCTTACGCCCCAACCTCGGCCCCCGCCACTGCCCCCTCCGCCGCGCCTGCTGCTGCTTCCTCCCCCTGCGCCCCTCCTCGTCCTCCTAGTCGCGCGTCTCCGGGCCCAGGAACAGCTCCAGCGTCGCGCGCTCCCTCTCCCTCGCCGCCCTGTCCCTGCCACCGTCCGCGCCGCTGCGGAATGCTAGCGGCGCCAGCACCTCCGCGTACCGCCTGCGTCTCCCCTCCGCTGCCGCCGGCGCGCCCCTGCGGAAACTCAGTCGCCGCTGCAGGCCGGTTGGGGTGGCGGGGGTGAGTTCCGAGGCGACGCGCGCGAGGGTGGAGGTGAGCAGGACAAGGGCGATGCTGTGGTTGGGCGAGGCGGAGAGGACGTCGAGCACGGCGACCTTGGCGTCGCTGCGCGGGAGGGTGGCGGTGGTGGGTAGGGCGGTGGCGAGTCGGGCGCACGCGTGTGCAGGGACGAGCCCGTCGGTGAGCGAGGCGATGAAGAGCAGGAGTGCGGAGGCGACGAGCTCCAGCCGGTTGGGCGGGGCCAGCTCGGCGGGGAGGACGTCGGCGACGGCGGCGTCCGTGTCTAGAGCGGCGACGATGCGCGCGTGCACCGCCTGCTTCTCGTCAGCGCCGAGGGCGCACGCACCTGGGTCAAATGGCCAGCCGGCGGTGGTGGGCGGCGACGCGGTGTCCCCCAGCATGTCGGCGTCGGCGGCGCAGCGCTCGGCGAGCGCCTGGACGGCCTCGGTCAGCTTAAACAGCTCGCGCGGCGCGGAGCAGTGGACGGCAGCGTCGTAGGGGATCGCGCCGCAGATGTCCTTGTCCTCCAGGAAACGGCAGATACCACCCTCCGGCACGCGGATGAGCTCGTCGATGGACCGTCCGAAGCAGCTCGGCAGCCACTGGCCGCGCACAGTGATGAAGTGGTCTCGGCCGTTGTCCACGCGGAGAACGAGCACTTCCTCGAGCAAGGCGCGTCCGTCGTTTAGGGCTCGCAGGAACGGAATCGAAGACACCTGGCCGTCGAGGACCGCCGTCACCGTCTCCCCGGGCTCGAGCATGACGTTCGGCCCAACCACCTCGCCGCTGCCGTCGGACTTGACGAACGATGCCGCCAGCCACTCGTAAAAGTGTGTGCCGCTGTCAGAGTCGTCCATGGCCGGTCTGTCGATAAATGAAAAGGTCGCTGGCACCCCGCCCGTGTTGGCAATGGTGATGGAGTTGCTCTTCCTCGCGAGGAAGCTGAGCCCTCCCAGGTCCACAACGTTGGTGTCTTGTGTCGCGTCTCCTTCAAGGACGAGGGTTATCACGGGGCGGCCCTCGTTTTCTGCGCGGTCAAGTTGGCGCGCCACCTCGGCATGGACCTTGGCCTTTTCTTCCGGTATCACGCAGTCGCACGTAAGCGTAAAGACGGACGACAGGGGCTTGTGGTCGGAAGAAGTGACTCGCTGATAAGAAGTATAGAATTCAAGGTTAGCCCGCTCCTTGACCGTACTTGCAGGATCAGGCTGGTCATCGTTCTCGTCGTATTCGTCATATTGATAGCCTGTGTCGGTGGACGACACTGGCTCCTGCTCACCCCCATCTTCATCCGGGTCATAGCTAAATAGCACGTCGTCATCGCTTTCCATTCCGCGAGATTTCATCTCCTCGTCTTTCTTCTTGGCAGCCTCTTCATCCAACATCTTTCTTTCATACTCTTCCTTGTACTGACGAGTTCGGTAGAGTATGCGATCACACCAGCTGGGCGCTCGGCGCTTTTCGCTTGTATCGAAGAGGGCCACACTGCCAACGTCGTATTTATACGTGGGCAAAAACGTGATTGGGCCTTCTTTCCATCCCTCGTGGAATGCTTTGCGGCGAGCAATGACCTGACGTAGTTGATCATGAGGCAACAAGGAATCCAGTGTCGCCTGCAATGAGGCTGGATCTTGGCTAGGATCTTGGGGGAAGTCGTCTGGATCGGGTAACGACGTTTCTGAATCGAAGCTTTGCTCTCTGCTGTGGCTGAATGAGGAAGCCGTCGTCGTCTCCTCGTCGCTGTCGACATCGTTCATGATGATAAAGGGTTCACCGTCTAGGGGCTTTTGTGGCTTGTCGCTTCCGACGTCATACTCGCCGCGCGTATGTAGCGTTAAAATCCTTCGGATGTCGTCGCCAGGTAGGCTCCCAAGTCGAAAGTTCAAGTCACCAAGCCAAAAGGTAAAGTCTTCGTCTCCGAACCGATCGCCGGTATCCTCGGCGACGCCGTTATTCACCACCGGGTCAAACTGCATCTTGGAGGCAATCTGGGCGACGTCCCAGCAGCGACGGTCAAGGTAGCTCGGGCCTGCACCACTAGCCAGGTGGGAGTTGACAAAGACCATGCGGGTGGTTTCGCCAAAGACGATTCGCGTCGCGACGGCGCCTTTGTTTCCGAAGTAGCCCAGGAGGCCGGTGCCAATCTGCTGTGTGCTGACGTTGGAGATGTGCTTGGCAGTGTCGGTCGAAGCGTAAACCAGGGTCAACAGGCCAACCATTTGGTCGGCCGAAAGAAACTCGTAGCCTGCGGGGATTGCGGCTTCTACAGCAGACCTCCATTTTGTAATCTGGCTATTGCTCTCGGCGTAGACTCGGCTGACGTATTCTTTTGTGGTGTTGAGGTCGACAACCTCTTGCAGGCCGAGGACGTAGAGATCAATCGCGCCAGTGTCGTTTGGCTCGTCGGCTTTCGCGGATGAAATTGTCAAGTTGGAGAAATCCCGTGCCAGGCCTTGATCGCGAAAGAACCAACTGCCGACATCCCTGTCGGTGCCGGGACAACCCGCCGTGTTCCAGGAGCCAATCTTGACCCGCAGCTGGCGCTGCCCCATGTACTCGGATCGTCGGAGGGTGAGGGCGCGGGCGAGAGAGTGGGGTGTCGAGAGAGACGCATCACCGATATCAGAGGGCTCCGAGCGGACGGAGCTGCCGCGCGCCGTCTGCATCGTGTGGTAGCAGCTGTGGCTGTAGCCGTAGCTGCTGCAGGAGGAGCGCTGGGATCGGCGGCGGCGGTGGTCGAAGTCGGCGGAGGGGGGGGGGGGGGGGGGGGGACGGTGTACTTATATAATGATGATGAAAAAAAGTCGGGTCAAGGATGCTAAACTTGAAATAATTGGACAAATCAAAAGGCGCGAGGGCTTGTTGAAGAAGGCGTTGACGCTCGGCTAGTCGTGGTGCCTGGGGAAGTTTAACCTGTCGCTCCCCCACAGTGACGTGCGACCGGATCCAGGCGCACAGAAGCCACAAGGGAGGCCCCACCAAATCAAAGGCTTGTCTTTGTCTTGAGATTTGCTGCGGCTAGATCAGGCTTCAATCTAGTTATCCCATCTCCATTACTGCCGCCCAATCTCGCCGCCAAAGTCTTTTTCCGACCAGCGCTACAATATCAACGTACATCGACAAACTTGACCATCCATCTTCGTCGTCATCATCGTCACTCACCACACGAAAGGTGGCTCCGGCTCTAACCGCCTAAACCATCTTCACCACCTCCCACCACCCACACAAACACCACACATCATGAGCCGCCCAACGCCACGCAAGGGCCGCGGCCACAAGCGCCAGTCCTCCAACCTCATCCCCGCCGTGTCCGACTACGAGTCCGACGCCGCCGCCGCCGCCGCCGCCGCCACCGCCGCCGGGACCACCGCCCGGACCAGCCAGTACGCGCCACCCCCCCTGCGCACCAACACCGAGATCAACCTCTCCGTGCTGCGGCGCTACGTGCCCTCCATCCGCGCCATCCTCAGCATCGCCGCCAACGCCGTCGTCTATACCTTTGCCGGCGAGTCCTGGGACAAGTCCGGCGTCGAGGGCACCCTGTTCGTCTGCAGCCAGGACTCCCCCGACGACAGCACGCCGCGCGCCTGCGTCTTCGTCCTGAACCGCCGCGGCCTCGGCAACGTCATCGTCGACCTGGCGCACGTCAGTGACGTCGAGGTCACCGCGGAGCTGGTCATCCTGCGCGTCCAGGACGGCGGGGAGCGCGTGCTGGGGTTTTGGATGCACAACGATCGAGCAGAGACGAGGCAGGTCAACGCGGCCATGATACAGGAGTGCTGGACGCTGGTGCGGGCTGCGGGCGCGGTGGAACATCAGCGGCAAGACGCCGGGCCGGCGATGCAGGCTATCGGGAGGCCTCTTACGATGAATGAGCTGTTTGGGAGTCAGGCGGTCACCCAGGGACATTAGATCGCCGTGGGCACCGTCGAGGATCTATCCTGACGTTTAACTGAGTTGAATGTCGGCCGGAGGGAATCCGCGCACCAGTACTTACGTCGACTAGGAGACTTTGCATTGGCATCATGATGAACGGCGTATCGTTGCATATATCAATACCCTTTAATCTACTTAAAATAATACACGTCACCAGATACTTGACACAAACTCCACAACACAAGTGGGAGATGAGGAAATCGTAAACCAGACGGACGTTCATTAACCCTTTGCTCGCCAGGCTATCATCTATGTAAAACCAAGAAATCACTTATACGCCGCAGGCCATAATGCATGGCTACCCAGCCGTTTTAACATCATATTATACCGTTCCGCTTATACTCAGTTCCCGAATCTCGTTGAGCACCTCCTCCACCCTCGCGTCCAGCTGGCCGTCCGCGTACAGGTCGCGCGTGTCCGCGTCCAGGTACTGCTGGACCTGCGCCATGCGCGAGTACGCCTCGGCGCAGAAGCGCAGCTGGATCTTGACGAGCGCCTCAAAGGTGGGGTCGAGGTACGGCACGCGCAGCTCGATCAGCTGCGGCAGCTCCGTGCTCAGCTGCTCGTTGAGCTGCTCGTACAGCTGGCGCGCCATGTCGAGCTCCTTCTCGGTGCGGGGCAGCTTGGTCGCGTCCTTGTCCGGCTTGTCGACCAGCCGCTTGACCTTGGCCCGCAGCGCGTCGTAGTCGAGCAGCTTGTGCGCCCGCTTCTTGATGCACTCGTTGACGTCGGGGAAGTAGGCGCAGAACCGCGAGATAGGCTCCAGCACCGTCGTCTGGTACGGGCCGTCCAGCGCCTTGATCGTCTCCGCGTCGAGGTCCTCCACGGCTTGCTTGTAGCTTCGGCTGACGCCGTCGCTCGCTCCCGAGTCGCCGTAGAAGGCGTCGATCGTCTCGGCGATTCGCATCTGTGACGCTGTCATGGCTGCGTTTGTTAGTCGTGTCGGGCGCTGCACCAGTGCGGGACCTACCTCTAAGTGAATCTAAATAGCCCTTGGATTCCTTTTGCAGCCGTAGTGAAGCGGCCTCCATGGTTTTGAAGCGTCTGCCAAAGTTAGTCGACGTAGCTGGGTGGGTAGGGTATCGTGGTCGCACCTCTCTTCCACCTCGTAATCGCGATCATTCGTTTTCTCGACATGACCTGCCAGTCGTTAGCGTTTCAAACACTGAGCCAATTTCATTGCGACACCTACCGGTCTTCATCATCACCTGCGTCGTCGCGCGGTTTACATTCTTCTTGAACCCTGCTTCACATTAGCCCCTCATTTTGCCGGACGAGGCAGAGATCGCGTACCCGCCCACGACATGATGCCGGATTTCGCAGAGATTCCTCGTTCTTGAATTTGTTATCCGAGCGGTATTTGGTATAGGGATGCCTAGTAGAAGAATTCGCAGCGAGGAGGATGTCGAGGAAGAAGGAGAGTGCCTGACCAAGGTTGATGACTTACGCTGCGCAGCCACAATTGGCCGCCTTGATGGGGCTCATCGACGTCAGAGAGCTGAGCCACTGTGCTAGGAGCAACGAGCAGCCACAACGCCTTTTGCTTCGGACTAATAATCTTCCGCGTAGACACCCTTCCTAGTACAAAATCAGAATACAATGTAGACTTTAACATCTACTTTACTTTGCTATTAAACTATTTATCTAACTATTTATACAGCGTGGTCCTAGAGAGGGGGACGGAAAGTAATATAAGCTTCCCTGAACTTCGTTCAATCGTTATTGCCTTTGTTAAGTGACGCGCCTAAAGCCACCCTTCCGCTGGATCGCAAGTTCTGGCTGCCTCGAGGCAATTTTCCGTCGTCCTCAACGTTGTCAATGTCACTGTCCGACACGGTTCCAGTTTTCCAAGGGGTGATTAATGGCGGAATGACTGTCAGAGAACGGAGATGACCTGACTGGATCCTGCTTATCATAGCGAGGTCAACGGGCGCTGTTAACCCTCCTTCGTTTCCTATCGTGTACAGCAGCTTTTTGGCTCCTTTTAGAGTCACAGCGTAACCTATAGTACAGACAGGATACCAAGAAGGGGCGATTACGCGAACGCGAGTTTTATTCAAAGAGTCAGCTCCCCAGTACTCGAGCTCCTTTGAATAGGCGTATGACATTCTAGCCGTTATACATTAGCAAATCGAACCGGAGGTAGCGGTGATAATGTAGTCTCTTCCATGACTAAACTTTTGATATAAAGCCAGTTATATTCAGTTGACTCACTCTGTTGAATTTGGTGCGTTGAAATCTTCGTAAATGTGCGACGGTGGGCGAACCTCAGCATTATTATGCCAGCAGGTACCGACGTATAATAAGTCCCAATCGAGACCTAGAGATATTTTAGCTCCATTATCTTGCACACAATCGCTGAAGATCGATCGTGGAATTCGTGAGGAGGAAATGTTGTATACCGTATGGTGCATGGGCAGCCTCGTAACTCGTGGGCTGCTCTTTCCTCAACGTGCCCTTTCTCATTTGAAGGCTGAGATCCCGGAATATGTCATGTACTCGAACGTCCCAGTCGGCGTCGTCCTCTAGAATAATAGCGGTTTGGATCTCTTGCTCAACAATTCGGCGCCAAACGTTGGCATGGCTTCGCCAGCAGCCTAATTGCTCTGGTCTTAGAGACTGGCCCCCTTTCGGTTTTGCTTTTTCGTGAATAGTATTGCCATCCACCTGTAGCACACTTATTAGTAACACCGAACAATAGAAGCAAGCGAGCAAAAGTACCCCATCCTGGAGAATCAGTCGTATATTTGTCGAAGTGGCTAACATAGTCATGCTATCTTGTCGATCCGACCGGCTGTGAACGACAAGGTTAGCTACTTTGGTTTCGTGGCTATGAATTGCGGAATAGGTGGTTCTGTACTGAGGCATGCTGATGTAAAAGATTTTTTCGAACCCGAGAGTCTCATTCTGTGCATGCTCGGACAAATCGTCATGATCCGCATTGTGTTGGTCAGAGGCCGTGTACGACGCGACCGCAGCGACGTGTGTGTTTTGTCCGGATACCCAAAACTTAACACATAAAAAGAGAATGATGAAAGTCCAGATGAGGGAAACTTTGGCACGGCGCGACCGCAGTATGAATTCCGTTTTTGTATGCATTTGGTAGCTTATTAGCACGAAGGTGTTACCTACGAATGCACGGAAATGTGTCGAAATGCCGTCTCGTCCCGCGAATTGCTCGAAGTAGGATTCATCTGAAAGAGAAACTTTGCGTTTAATGGCCTATATATACCCTATGTTTACTAGTGGCAACGTCGAGACACTACAAGGAAAATCTTCGCAACTCCTGCTCTGTGGTTCGTTACTCTGAGAAGCGCTTTTACTGACAGGTGAAGCATGAAACCAGGGCCCGGCTGTACCGAGTTTGGTCATCTCGGCCAAGTGGATATTTAACTTTCCGGCTTGGAAACGACACTTGAAGACAGGGGCCACCTGTTTAGACAAGAAATCGGAAAAAACTCGTCATCACACTCTTAATTACGCCGATTATGCGCCGTGTCCCATGACTCTTGCAGCCTTTGTCGTATGCTCAGGAGTATAGCCATTCTTGTCCCGAATTATATCTCATCACATTTTTAGGCGCTCTAACAACTCTCACTCGGTTCATGTTATTGCGGCGGCAACCAACGCTTGATTCCCTGGCCACGAACGCCAACGACGTTATCACATCTGCTTTCTTGTCCTAGGCTGCACCGAGAGAAAACGGGGTATTAACTCGTTGTTTTGCAGGGCATGCGTGCACTAACTATATCCATTTTAGAGCTTCCACAAGGCTAGCTAGCGCCGGTAGTCAACCTCCCATGCAGTTCTTAATAAGGTACCCTTGTCAATACAAGAACCTGGCGGCACGAACGTCGGCCACCCACTTCTCAGCAATAGTTACCCATTTTATAGCGAAGACACTCCTAGCCACCTCTTTGCTAAACTTAGAGTACTTGGTATAATTTTTTACACATTAATTTTCTTTAAAACATTGGCAGCGTGCGACATGTTAGCGCGCATATGCCCGGCAAAGTGCATGCGTCTTTTATGCCGGTTATCCCCTCATTGGGCGAATTCCTGCTCGTGTCGCGAAAAGCAGAGCTACGTGCTGGTCCAGGCGATGGGAAAGCCTGAAAGTTGATCCGCTGGATGTGGCAAACGTGGCTATCAGCAGCGGCAGGCAGCTCCCACCGACATAGCGCATAAACTTTCCAGCAGGGCCGATCGTTTCGGGTGGCAGTAGCAATACTGCGCGGGTCATGTTGGCCGCGTCCTCGAGATCCATTACCGCCGCTGACTCGCTTGGCGCCCTGGACACTGTTGTTTCTGTACTCCTTTACCAACTTTGGGGCGAATCGGCGGATTTTACCTCTTGCCCCATTGACCTGTTCTCCAGCGCATTGTCGAAACCTATCCATTGAACCCTGGCCCGCCCGTCTGTTACCTTACGGATCTTTTAATAGCTCGTACTTTATATCCTTAGGCACGGGTCGGGGGATGACGCTCTATAAACTGAGCAGGTCCTCAGGGCTGTCGAGATGCACCTCTTTCTCGCGGACAGACTCAGTTCCACCGTGTGATCCGACAGGCTTGAGTTCTAGGGACAGAATGCCTGTTTCACCTACTTGTAGCCTTTGTACTCCCACTCTCGGCCATTGTAGTGAATCATCTGGTTTGGAATAGATCTGTCTGACTGCGGTTGCTCGCTTGTTGATGCTCCATGCTCGCTTGGATTAGCAAGCGTGGTAGCATCGCTCGGCAATGCTGGTTCGCCCGGTGACGGTTCTTCGTTCGATAGGGCTTGATCGCCTGACTGCGGTTGTTTGTTCGATTGTGTTTGTTCGTTCGAGGCTTGATTGTCCGACTGTGCTAAAAGCCCCCATCTCAATGCCCAAAATGCTCGTTCTATCGTTCCAGGTTATGTTGAGATGGTGGAATTTTGGCATGCTACACAGCACATCGCGCAACCCCACCGTACACGCCCCCCGCCTTGG